TGATATGAATCTGTTATTTAATAATACCGGAACGAAGTAAAATCTTCATAACGAAAGTCCTAAAGTCCTAAGAGTCCTAGGCATCAAGTCCTGAGAGTCCTAAGAACAACAGCATTTCTGAAGATATGAAGATTTTGCCATTGCTCAGCCTTAATGTAGTCTCTCCCTCAGCACGCCTGCCTTTCCTCTGTGGACTCTTGCTTAGCTCGCGCGCGAGCCGCGTGACTTCGGCTTCGGCCTTAGCTTTTCCTTTTCGTTCCTGCACGACTGCGCGTTACATTAGAAGTTGCTCCGGAACAGTGCTTCTTTCTGAGCGTCAACTTGTGCTTTCTTCAAAAAATGCCCACGCTGTTGTAGATCAAGACTCCTTTCTCTATAATCAAGTTCAGCTTCTCAAATAGGAATACTAGAGAAACTCTCCATAGATTTAGATACTAGCTTTTTTTCATATACTAGAGTGACCGTTCCAAATAAGAATGAGTCCAAATAATCATATGATGTACGTCGCAAGCCTTAATTGCAACTGCCTGATGCGTTCCTGCATATGCGAAAGTTTTTGTTCGGAGAGGCCTAAAGGCACGCTGCATTCCGTATCCCCTTCTAGTGGGGACGTCATCATGCCTGCCTTAGCGCCTCTAGCTCGTTCGCTATCTATCTAGAACGCACTGCATCAATATGGGTTTCTGCAAAGTAACCTCACACAGCATCGTACGTCAACCTTGAATGAAATATTTGTAACTATCAAATAGCCTTAACTAAAAAGGACTCATTCAAAAACATGCGGCTCTCATCCAACCCAGTGCTCGCAGCTGGATACTCAGCAAGCTCCAAAGTCTGGCTTTCCTCTCCCATAGGACTAGCTTTAGTTCCTTTTCTTAGAAGTGGCTGGCTCTCCTCTCTCATAGGACTAGTTTCAACTCCTTTGTTTAGTAGAAGTGGCTAGTTACTAGTGTAACAGGATGTCCTGCGAGCGTTGACTGAGCTGTACCTTCTGAGATGATTTTTCACCTGGAATCAATCCCCAGCATAATAAACCAGCATTCTTCTCCTGTACAGGAAAATTGCTATGCTGTTGGCCAGGATTTAGCGACGACGAGCTGCTCTTTGTCAAAAAATCGTCCGCGGCCCTGCCACTCGCTAGGTTGCTCTCCGGGATCGCACCTAGGTCAAAGGATTTGTTATTGCTTCGGGAGCGGGCGGTCAATAGTCGCCTTTCTTCTAAGGCTCTCTCGAGTTCTTCCACTTTCTTTCTCAGCGTCTCCACCTCAGCAGCGTCCGGTGGTGGCGCGCCGGACGCTGACGTAGTCTTCGATAGTGTTGCGCCTGTTGCACCAGCTGGTGGAGGTGTGCCATCGCCGACAAGTGAAAGTGGATCGTATCTATCTTAATGTACAAAATGTTCGAGGTGAATGTACGTAAGTTCGAGTACTAAATAGATGTGCATCTTCCCGGTGTGCATCCATGGGAGCCATCGATGTACAAAAATGTGCTGAGCGTTGTTGATTCTTACTTTTTTTAGCAGTCTACGACTGCTCTATTGTCCTCTTACGCCAACGAACCCTAACCAATCAAGCCAGAATAGAAAGGAACGCCTAAATGATCTATCAAAAATGTCGTCATCACATGGGGCCTTAAATCTCCGCCTCGAGGAGGCGAGGAAGAGGAGGAGCTCGCGACTGCGGAGGCTCCCAATCCTTCTATCCTCAAAACTGCTCCTATCCCTTTATCCTCAGAACTCGTTGTACTCGCTGTCGCATTTTGCGCGACGTTGACACCCGTTGCGCTACTTCCGCCAGTACCCGACATCTTCATGAAGCTTTCTCGACAAACGCACATTAGAGCGGCCTACCGACTGATTGGATTTCTCGACTTGAGGAAAAGAGCCGAAGGGGGATTAGCTGACTAGTGCTGGGACCGAGTGATGGATAAAGGTTGGCGTACTAGGACGGCTACACGATTGCCTAAGTCAGAGGCTACGGAATTTTTGCACTCTTCAGCACATATTTCCTGGCCTCTCTTCTACTAGGAAATGAGTCAGGGATGGTAGTGAGGAATGCAATTCGGAAACCCTTAACCAAGGGAGTAAGCAAGATGAGCATCGGTGATGATAGTGTGAAGATGTGGTTGGTTTTTCTTGCCACTACCTTCCTAGGTAGCTGTGTTAGCACCTTCAACTTGAACTTCTGTGTTAGTAGTTGTGCTAGCCGTAATTCCAAAATCTGTTGTTCCCGCTTTTGTTGGTCTGCAATCCGCTTCTTCGTCGCGTCCACGAAATCCCGCGCCTGTCCCTCTGCGCGCTCTAAATTTTCCATTGCTTGAGATAGTGGATATTAGAACAAGTAGAAGACTTTGATTTTAGAACTTCTGACTACTTAGACGAGTGAACAGTAGACAAGACCAAGACATCGAGTAAGTAGTCCTACCTGCTTCAAGAGAGCGAGAAAAGATTTTTCTGACGACCACAATATCATTGCGACAGTATCTACTAAGAAGAAAATGGTCTGTCAACGGAAAATCTTCACCTTAGTGGTAAGCTTGTTCTCCATTCAAGATGTGTTAAAACTAGTGTCTCTCAATTCCATATTCAACATTAGCTTGTTCCATATTCAACAGTAGCTTTGTGCTGGGCTTCCATGGCTTTCTTTACGCGGACTTCCCGGTTTCGCACCACGGGTGCCAGAGCCATCGAGATTTTTCCATTGAATTTGTTCAATATTAGATATACCTCGGTGAGAGGGTTTGATGAATGAGATAAGACTAAGAGAGGCTCGTTTCACTCTGGAAATTTCATAGGATGATTGATTCTAGTACAAGGAAGAGGCATATTCTTATCATGTCATTCTTGTTGCGGAAAACTAAGTACCTACTCTAAAGTTCTTCAGAACACAACAGTATCCCCTTCTAACTACGTAGGAGGTATGTAATTAAAAAAAAAATCACCCCTCCTGGAAGTTTTTCATAACAACAACTCCTCCTTCTGTGTGATGGCCTTTGCTAGCGCTTCATCAGCAGTCTGCTTCTTCTGGCGTGCTGCAGACGCCTGCTTCTCCTTCACTCCGACTACGGCTTGGTGATTCTTCAAGAGAGAGCCATCCGTTGCAGCCTCAGACTCATAATCTGATCAGCAGAAAAAGGTCAACGAAGATCAAGAGGAGATAAGTGGTAGCACGATGTTCAGGATGTCGTGATAACTCTATCAAATACGTAGCTCACGCGGGTATAAGAACCGCAGGTAACAAAACTCGCACTTGTACTTGCATTGCCTCAGCCATTATTGATTAAATATCTGTGGTTCTGTCTAACATACTTCCTTGTCCTGTTCTTTTCTTGTTACTGTTAATCCTTCCGCAAGCATGAGACCTAAACAATAACAAACTAGTATCTAGTATTCATGTCTAAAATGCCTCCTTCTATTCTTTTGTCCTTGCAGCAAACTATGAATAAATAAAAGGACTAGTCTTGTAAGCTACCTTCTCTTTTCTTGCGTAGAATCTGGACCAAAGCTGTGTCGTTCCGGTTCCATTCGCTTGCGAGCCACGACGAGTCGATGCGCTGCCATTTTTCGAGGACGTCCGCCCATTCTTCTTTGAGCCTGTTTTCCTCAACATCGACAGGCTGACAGCGGAGCAATTCCTGATTGCTCCCCAGCAAGGCCCCGAGGGCCTGCAAGTCGTCCATAATCCTCCTCTTCTCTTCTCTTACAGAAGCAAGATGATGAAGTTCTTGGGAATCCCCTGCTGTCGTAGATCGTCCATTCTCGCTAGTACAGCAGAGCAGCCTGTTGTGAGCAGGATGCTCTAGGTCGTCAGTACAGAAGAACGGCCTGCTCTAGGTCGTCAGTACAGGAGAACGTCCTGCTGCAGAGCGTCCATTTTCCATAAACCTTCAACGCAGGAGCATCAGCATTGTGCGTGCACCGTACATGCTTCTTCTCTTCATAGGAGAACGGCGTGTTGTAGATCGTTCATCTTGTTGCTCTCTTTCTTACAGCAGCATCGTAGGGATTGCCCATAACGCGTCCATATTCTTTTCTTCATGCAAATTGAGTGGACAAGTCTTTTTCTTTTCCATTTTAGTCCTCTCTTCATAGCTCGAATGTAATACCCAAAGTAGATAGGATAATATTCGCATTTCCACCTCAAAGGAACTTCTTTCTACTGATCAATTCCCATTGTGGTGGTTGATTAAATCAATGAAATAGACAGTTGCTGGAGCTTGTTGAGTGACGTATTACTGCAGGCACACGTTCACATTGTTCCCGTCCAGGTCTCTTTTCCTTTTGATTTTCTCCATATCTATGGCTATGCAAGTAAGTGGTTTTTAGGTAGTGAATCACGATGACTTGTTAAATGTGACAATGAACCAACAGCACGAAGGAAAAATCGTAACCCTTTCATGTATCCTGAAATGTCCGAATGTTTTACTAACCCTCCACTCTCAGTAGATGAAGACCGACTAGCCAAAATCTGTTCGCATTATCATACTTTTCTACCTAGTAGTAGTAGTAGTAGTAGTAGTAAACGAAATCCAGGGGTACCTAAGACCTACCTTGATAATGATAACAGATTTGCGCTTCATATTAGAAGACCACAACGTCCACAACATGTCGTATTGCCTTTTCTTGATTCACTAGTATGTTCTGCCGTGCGTTCTTGGTGTCTTTGAATGAATGAATGTACCTACTCCAGGGGTAGAAAAGACAAAGACTTCACTACTGACTACTTCGTTCTACATCGCGCCTCATGAGATCTCATGATCTCCACCCTTTTCGCCTTTATTTGCATGAGTGTGTTCATCTGAGTTATTCACCCCAGAAGTGACATCTTCCTATTCCTGATAGGTACATCTTGTTTAACTACACTCACTCACATGAACACGAAAGAAGGGACGAATCTTCGAGTGATCGGCAGTTCATGCCATTTCAGGAGAGAACAGAACATCTCATCTGCAAGCCTATTTTTAGCACAGTGGTCACACACATATACGTCGCTGTATGCAGTTTCATATCCATCGATTTGTCACGGCTTAGTAGTTTGATCAACTTATATTAATATATTCATTCATTCAGCCGAACCAAGTAGCAGCCACGAGGGGCTCCTTGGTTTCGTTGCGACCCGAGTAGAGACGCGGCAGGTACATAAACAGACCGATAGGTTAAAGAGACCGATCGCTTACCGACATGACTAACGTCTTCGGCAGATGACATGGACCGACACGCTTTTCCTTCTGCCCGATATTAACAAACGACAAGATGCTTTACTTTATGTCTTCCTTGCATCCAGCATTCACAGCACTACCAAAATAATAACGTGCTCAACGTGAGATCATAAGTGCCAGAACTTTATAGACGAGAGCGATGCTCTTTGACAGCCACAAAAAACCAAAAAAAATCCAAAACAAAACAGTAGCGCGACTTCGGTGGGGGGTCTACCATGCAAGGAGAAGCGCGCGGCAAGTTGTCTTTGTGCTGTGATGCAGGGCCGGGAGTGATCTGCTACTAAGTTGGGTCGGGGTGACCGCTTAACTTATTGGGGTCCGGGTTCCGCGCAGCAGCGTCTTGTTCCCACCCTCGCTATCGATGAATCTGACCCAGGTCGTCCTCCTCCAACATGAGTGGTGCTGCTTGATGACGTAAGCGTTCTTTCTCTTTTTCTAATCACTTGCCTCGCTGTCGCCAGAACGTTGGCTCTACTGCTAGACGGCAGCTCGTGTGCGCGCTGAGTCCAGCCGTTAACCCACCTAGCCACGAATCTAGCAAGTCGCTCCATCCGCATCTTATCCTCCATTTTTTGCTCTACTTGTTCGATCAATGTCAAAAACAGGATTGCCAACGGATAGATTGATATTCGTACGCTACAAATTCTTCTATAACGCTCGTCATTCTTTCCCAGCTACTCATCGAGGCCCAATTTAGACCCTGGCACCTGCTTGAACCCGGAAGATCCTAGAGCGTGGCGACAAGGTCTTTTCCTAACATCAGAAGAAGACCCACGATGTGAGTGCCCGTCCTTACCAAGATCAAGATCTTTATGTAGGACTACAGCATGTAAATATGATAACTGTCTGATCCAATTAGGATATATACAGAAGTACCTTCGCCGTAGATGTGCCCTACTTCAAATCAAAACTCTGGTCGAATTCTATCTACGATAATATCTTCGATACCACGACGAGCATACAATACATTTTCAAGTATCTTACATATTTGTTCAGCATGATCAGTAAGGTCGTGCACAGTATTACTTTTTTTCATTTTGTGCTATTGCATGCTGTTGTCCCTGTTGCCATCGTTCATGATGACCGTAGAGACGTGGCCTGACAGTATTTCTATGATTCCCGCAGTTTTCTATGTTTTGTGCTATTTCCCAAGTCAGTGGATATTCAGTGATTCAAACGATTGTACAATGGTATTGATTGAAATCTTAATCATTATCATTTCGAATATATAGATACTAACCAATGTGACTACCTCTAAGTCGTGTGGTGCCGCGTCTACATACTTATTCCCCTATAATTGTAATTATGTGAGTCTCGAACTCTGATATTTCATATTAGTTGTCTATAAATTCCTCGACTGTCTTGCAGTGTGACCTGCTACATGTGGTGTAACTGTAGCTGTACGCCTCAACTCCACCCTCGATTTTTGTCCCAATTCCGACAGAACTGTATAGTTAGTAGCTAGCTTACAGTCCAACAAGTAGCACCACCTCCGACCATGGTTCCTGCACCCATCGGGTGCACGTCATTCTATTCCTCCTTAGGATGCTCTGATATCCACCTCCCAGAAACTGCGGTTGCTTTGCACCTTTGTTATTTTGGGACGAACATTTTGTCAATCACATCAAACTACGACGTTGAGAAGAGGGAGAGTATAAACTTCAAGAATATCTTCTTCAATGAGTTAAGTAGACAGAAGAACTATGCTGAAGAATGAAATCGGTAGAACGAAATTGGGATTGAAGGTAGGAGTCTTGATGTCAGGAAATTAGGTCTATTCATGATCTCTTGGAGGTTTTGGATGGTTATGTTCTACTACGATCTAGGAATTATACTATGTTGCTGAGAGGGTTAGCGTTTGTTCTTCCGACATGCATCATTTTCGGGCTAAGATTCGAGCTGCCCCTAATTCGTCTCTGCGGGGATCCCTCAGGCATATCCCTTGTATTTACCAGTAGAGGGATCTTCCCTAGTGTAGAAGAGATGGATTGGAGGCAGCCTTATTACGTGTAATGAGACTCATTTCTTAGTGGAATCCTAGTACCTGTAGTACTACTTCTCCTATTTTCCGAAAAGTCCGACAGAGCGCTATGCATTAGCACTGGCCCACGTGCTCGCCATCGGCTTTGGATACTGGCAGCAATGTGCCGTACCTCGACGAAGGAGCGCGATTGCCCACTTGCGCTCCGCGGCCGCGCTTGCAACGCCTGGCGCACAATCTCAGCAAGAGCATCGCGGCAAAGGCGCAGACGGAGCATAACGCGAGAGAGGTGGCATCCAATTGCGTGACGTGGCGGACCGCTGCAGACCCAAATTGAGAATCGTCAGACGCCATTTGTTGTAAAAAGCTTCCATTATCCATCGCTTGCTCCCCCTGCTCCTCCTTCGCTTTCCATGATTTCTCCTGATTTTTAGTATTGAGTATTCATGAGGTTCAGTTATGCCGTGGAATGCGTGTTGTACTTCCTCAATGAATTTACTGGAATTGATTGTTACGTAAAGAGCATGACGTCCGTGACTTGTTCATGTGTAGTACGCATCTAAAAAAAAGTATTGCTATTGAAATTGAGAAAGTAAGGAATTAAGTAAGTCATACCGCTTCCTCCCAATCCTTTTCCCACTGGTGGTTACGATGCCGCCGTGTGTGCACAAGATGGGCTTTCGCAAAGACAAACTCGCCAAAGCCTACCGGCTTTGTTTCATATTAGAATACGAACACGATAAGGAATAGACTTCTATACTGCTCCGCGTCGATCCTAATCGGAACTCTATATAAATGCAAAAGCCTAAACCCCTAAGCCTGTAACTAAGGCCTTGAGGTTCATACAAATCAAGCCGGCCAATGCTTTTGGCATATGCATGAACTTAGGGGGGAGCTGCATCGGGGACCTTATTGGTGTCACCGGTTTCATGGGATTCATTTGCCTGGGATCTTGAAGCGTTATCGCGATCCGTGAGCCTTATCCTGATGGCCTTCCTGCTCAAAGGTTTCAGGATCTTGGTGTTCATTAGCGCCACCACATTCAGGGACTGGATTATTAGCTTAAACGCTTACATTTCAGTCCCTCTAACCAGGTCGAGGCTTCCTCTAGGTGTGCTACGGCAGGCTAACTGGTCCAGCTTGTCCGCCATTAACTGGCACCCTGAGGCCTCGTCTAGCATCTCCTCGAGGATCATACGTGAGCAAAACCCCATTTCAACATCATCACCACCCGATTTTTTTATGTAGGCCAGCCTCCTATCTCGGAACTCTGTGAGTGGGGTAGAGAAAAATGGATCGCAAAGTCGTCTTGGTTTGTTGAAGTGTTCATCTTTCTAAAGGAAGTTGAAACCTTGGAAATGCGTCTTGTCCTGCCTGTCAACGTCCTTCAAGATTATTGTGTTCTACTTCTAGATGTACTAGTATGAACTTTAGTACTAAAATAAAAGTCTTTACTAGAAGTAGATATTACCATTCAAGGTCTTCCACATCAAGTTTGCGTTCGATAAGAAGGTCTCTAGCAACTGCATCTCGAAGTTCTCGAAAACTCGCGGCGGGTGGTTCTGGAGCTCTTTCCAGAGCGCTTCCGCTGCATGACGCAGCGTGCTCTTGCGGAGATTTTCCTTCTCAGGTTCGTCCACTAGAACTCTACGAAGAAAATTCAGTCCTTGAGGCTTCTTGTTCCAGTCCGAGCCCACGAGGCACGCGATTTTAATGTTGAAAGTCCTAAAAGGATTTTGTGGACTACTCATTTTCTGCGTCTGTAGAAAAAGTGACTTATTTCAATACGCAGTTATCTCCTGAGGAGAAGCCTAGAAGCAAGTAAGTACACAGGAACAGGAAGGAGAAAGGCCCCAGAACTGATGGATATACTTCTCGTATCGAAGTGCTACTTTGGTTATCTTCCTTTGCGTTGCTTCTATCAACCTTCCTAATTCTTCTTTTCAAACCTCTAGGTAATTGTATGGGAAAAAAAAGAAGGCGGAATAGCTGTAGAATGTAAATTGTTGGAAGGGCTAGACCTCTAGAGGTAAAAACTAAACGGCTGCGTTAATTAGTGCCTTGAGCGCCGCTGGACCTAAACCGCAACCTTATGGAAAGGAAGAAGCCAATCTAGATTTGCAGCACACCGCAGAGAGGAGGGGAAAATCATAGAAAATGCCTGCTATAAGAAGAGGCTACTTAATTACTGTCAGCTGAATTTTTTGTTTTTAGTTGCTTAATAAATTTATGCGACTTAGAAGGCTCATCACTGACTGTCCTTCCCCTTTATGGAAATTGAGTGCTTACCTCAGCAGAGTTTGCAGGACAGAAGGCGACACTCAATTTTTTTTCACTCAATCCAAAGCATCACACCTCAACAAAGGAAACGCGGAGCTTCTCAACAGATTAATGTAGAATGTGAAGAAATCACGTAGCTTCTCAACAGATTGGCTTTTCAGCTGCTTCCGTAGCAATGTAGTGCACCACGACTAGAGACCTTGACTACTCGTTGTACGGGAATGCACCTCGAGAAATCCAAAGAACGAAACGAGCCCTACAAAAGATTGATTTAAGAAATTGCGAATGATAACCATCGAGGCCAACGAAAGACGGCGAACGTTCGTTACTGCGAGACGTGTGCTACGTAGAAGCGGAGTAGAAGGGCCAACTAAATCAATGACGACCAGATCGAGTACATCTCTTATTTGCCAAGCTCAGCCGATCATCCCTCGTTTTTGTGGTTCCGATTCATCACATCTGTCTCTCTGCTCTCATAGATCACAAGTTCAACGTGGTACACATCAGACAGACAGAACTACCCTAGTCTCTCAACAGAAGACTATATATTTACATGCCCAGAAAGCGGGCCCATCACGGGCCCGCTGCGCTGGGCATAGGTTAACAACTAGACAGGTTGACTACTAAGAGACAGAAAGACAAACGAAAAAAGTCGCCAAGTCTGCTCGCCAAGGCTGGGAAGCTGGCCCCCACTGTGGCGAGGCTAGTGAGGAGACTACCGCGATGGCTACTGCCTTGGCCAACTTGCTTGCTAGGGGCAAGCCAATGGGCGCCAAGGCTGGCCCGCTGAGCGTCATGGAGTCCATGAGAAGGCCACGCTTGGACATATGTAGGCACAGAGGTTGGGCCCTTTTGAGTGTGATCATGTCCAAGAGAATCCCAAAGCATAGCATACCCATGGGATGGCAAAAGGCTGACACTGGCGAGCGTCATGGACGAGGCCCATGAGAAAGCCACGCCTGGGCATATCTATGCGCAGAGGCAGAAGCTGAGCCCCAACCTTCAGGCGCGGGGATGTGTCTATAAGCTTGGCCGCTTCAATCATGGACATGACGCAAGACGCCCACCACGGTCCGCGCCTCAGACATGCAACCAATGGCCCACATTTATCATTCTCACGCACAGGCATCGACGTCCTCAGCCTTCAGCCTTCACCGACGGAGATGCATGCGCCTGGCCTTCTCATGGACATGATGACGCCCGCCAGGGTCCACCCTTATCTACTTGCTCACAGAAATCGACATCCTCAACGGCTTCGACTTTCACAGGCAAAGCTGTACACCTTTGGCCTTCTCATGGATGTGATGACGCTCACCAAGGTCCACCCTTCAGACACGCAAGTGCTCAAGGCTATCATTCTCACAGACATCGACACCCCCAACGGCTTCGACTTTCAAGCGCAGAGATGTATGCCATTGGCTTTCTCATGAGTGTGATGATGCTCCACAAGGTCCACCCTTCAGAACTGCAAGTGCTCACGCCTATCAGTCTCACAGACATCGACATCCTCAACGGCTTCGACACTCAAGCGCATAGATGTATATCTTTGGCCTTCTCATGGATGTGATGACGCTCACCAGGGTCCACCCTTCAGAGATGCAAGTGCTCACGGCTATCAGTCTCACAGACATCGACTTTCGACATCCTCAACGGCTTCGACTTTCAAGCGCAGAGATGTACATCTTTGGCCTCCTCATGGATATGATGATGCTCACCGGGGTCCACCCTTCAGACATGCAAGTCCTCACGGCTATCATTCTCACAAGCATCGACATCCCCAACGGCTTCGACTTTCAAGCACAGAGATGCATACCCTTGGCCTTCTCATGGATAGGATGACGCCCACCAGGGTCCACCCTTCAGACATGCAAGCCCTCACGGCTAGGGCTATCATTCTCACAGACATCGACATCCTCAACGGCTTCGACTTTCACGAAAAGAGATGTATGTCTTTGGCCCGCTCGTTGATCTGATGACGGTCACCAAGGTCCACCCTTCAGACATGCAAGTCCTCACGGCTATCATTCTCACAGACATCGACATCCTCAACGGCTTCGACTTTCATACACAGAGATGTATATCTTTGGCCTTCTCATGGATATGATGACGCTCACCAGGGTCCACCCTTCAGAAACGCAAGTCCTCACGGCAGCTATCATTCTCACAGACATCAACATCCCCAACGGCTTCGACTTTCACACGCAAAGCTGCACACCTTTGGCCTTCTCATGGATATGATGACGCTCACCAGGGTCCACCCTTCAGACACGCAAGTGCTCACGGCTATCATTCTCACAGCCATCGACATCCTCAACGGCTGCGACTTTGAAGCGCCGAGATGTATTTCTTTGGCCCCGTCGCCGATCAATATGATCACGCTCGTCAGCCTCTCCCTTTTCAAGTGCTCACCCTCTCCCTTACAATGAATTCTCCCGCTTTTGTGCTGGTTAGAAGTATACTGGTCAACCATCTCCAAGGGCTGCCGCGCGCTCCTGTGCCGTGGTCGATTGCTGTGCGCGGATGGAAGGTAGTCGCGGAAGGGGAGCGAGCTAACTTTTTTCCAAAAACTTCAGGGAGGTCGTTCAGTTTTCTCTGTATTTGAATGACCTCCCTGAAGTTTTTGAAAAAAAGTAAAGGCGCTGGGCGATATATGACAAGGGTAGCGGCTGGCAGTTCGTTGGGGCGATTCGCTAGGGGTGGGCGCGTAGTGTCTTGCTGCGGGTGTGGCTGGTGTACGTGAGTAGCCTACAAACTAACAGCCGCGAACACGCTAGCACGTTCGTGACACCTTTGAACTCGTAGTACTAGCAAGGTCCTTAAGGAGCCGCTGTTATTAGCCTAAGTCTATAACAGCTTGCCCTTAAGGGAGCTCCTTAAGGAAATTTTTTTTCTCTTAAGGAAAGTTATAATAACTTTTTATAATAAAAATTCTTTAAGGAAACTGATTTCCTTAAGGGAGCCCCTTAAGGAAGCTCCTTAAGGCAGCCCCTTAAGAGATTCCTGGCAATTGCTAATACTATAAATACTAATATAATAATCCTGCTCGTATTCTCTCAACATCAGAAGATTACATATTTTATTCTAATAATTTTGAAATTTTTGTAATAGACCATACTAAGCCGGCCTAAGCTTGAGGCTATCTTGGACCCTCTCAGTACGTCTTACGTGATGTCACCGAGGTAACATATACCAAACCTGCATGAGGAAAGAGAATGGACATCGTGCAGTTCTTGTTGCGTCGGTCTTGTCTTGGGTCGTGCTTGTTGTGTTGTTCTTGTTCTGTCCTGGTCGTTCTTCCTTCTTGTGCTTACTTAAGTAGTTAGTTAAGTAGGACGCTGACGCTGCGGAACTGGATCAGAAGATTCCGGATTTCAGTGGGGATTTGGATCTTGTTTCACAATGGATCACAATTTTATTGAGAGCCCTCTCGCTCGTCGTGTTGCTCTCGTCGCTCGTCTAGGAACACTGGACCAACATCACAAGCACTTTCTTTCAAAAGTTGCTTCCTCCTTCAAATTCACTAGGTCTTTGTGTATTAGGTTCTTGTACTATTTTCACTAACTGTGAGGAAAGTATTCCCATGATGAACCCATCAGAAGGTTGTGCTTGCTAGTGCCATGAAAATTTTCTTCACACGTAGCGCAAAAACGCTAGATGAATCATAGAGGATGTGGAAGATTGGGTCCTGAGTTCCTCATTGTACTCAACTTCCATCATCGCCAAGGCTCTTCTTCAAGTATTTTCTTCCTCTACCTTCAAAAGAGTGTCTTCAAAGACCACGTGGTCAGCTATCTTCATCTTCTATCTCCAAAAGAGTTTCTCACCAGTGCCACTGCCAATGAACTCTTTCATCTCAATCTAGTGTGCTGCTACTTCAACACTGGTGTAGCATCAGGCGCGAGTAGAAAATTTTTTAAGGTGTCAGTCATTGTGACATATTTTTGCTTGCTTATACTCCTGGAGTATTCGTTGCAGGAATTCATAATTGCTGTCATTCACTTGCAAAGCTCTTGTCTAGGTCCATCAGTTCACCGTTGGTCCTGAGTTCATCATTGTACTCAACTTCCATCTTCTCCAGGAGCTTCCAAGCTGTATTACACTGAATTGCCTCCTTTACCGTCGCATCTGCGGGTACGAAAACCTTCGGGAGTAGGTGGCACTTTTTTGCAATCATTCCATGAGTCGACGTCGAAGTCGTACTCCCTTCAAAAATAGCTCTTGGTTCGTACCGCATCAGAATGACTGTATCTCCCACATTTACACATTGTCGATCTCTAGTACTCTGCAGTTGGGAGACCACATGCGATTCTCGAGTTTGCTGTCTTTGAACTAGGGAAGAGGGTGCTTGCTGTCCTAACTCTGCTTGCTGTGACGGAATCCCGAATACTTCCACGCGGCCAAGGATGTCCTGCTCTGATTCGTTCTCTCGAAGAATAAAGACCGTGAGGTTAGACAGCTTTATAATAGTCAAATCCATTTTGAAACGCATCTACTTTTCACCAAGAGATATGCCTTTCGGCGAAATCCGTCGATGTTAAGGGAAATGATTGAATCACTTAAGACTTCTAAAAAAACCTCTTCTGCCGCTCTTCTGAAATCACGCTCTAAAAAAACCTCGTCTGCCCCTCTTCTGAAGTCACGCCTTTTAGCACTGATTAAATGACATGCCGTAAGTAAGATGTGCCTTGCTCCAGTAGTGACATCCACGAGGTGGGCTTCTGTTCCAGGAAAAAAACCCGCTAGATTCGCCAGATCTCTCGACAAGGCGATCCCAACACGAGGACTCTTCTTAGAAGACGAGAGGGGTCTATTCAGTTGTACGTGTAAGAAAGAAATTCAGACTATTCTATTTATTACCCGGATCCAGCAGTCATAGTAGTAGTAGAACATAGGAGTAGTAATAATAGGAGTAGTAGTATTAATAGTCTTAGCAGTAGGAGCCATAGTCTTAGCAGTAGGAGTAATAGTCTTAGCAGTAGGAGTAATAGTCTCAGCAGTACCTAGTGGTATTAACAGTAGTCTCAATAGTATGCTCCACTTGAGGTACCAGTTTGACACTTCAACAAGACCAATTATATTATAATGGGTCTTATTGAAGTGTCAAACTGGTACTTACCTAGTACTTCTATCCATCCGTTGTTCAACAGAAGCAGGCTTTTCTTAATGTCTGGGTTAACGGCCGTGATCCGGAAACAGTGCAACTTGGATACTACGTTCCAGCAAGTGTAGTTTTTTCTTTTTTTTTTTACTCGAGGACTCATCCTTCCGCTTATCCGCTCGTTCACAATCCTTCCACTGTCTTCGGATGAAGCGACATCGCTAACATCAAGTGCTCTACTAAGAGCTCGCCCGCTACATCGTTGTACTCTTCGCGGTTGTCCTTACCGTTAGAGGCAGATCCGCATCAATCTCCTGAACCTCAAGAAAGAGGTTATGTTGATGCGACTATGATGGTATTTCGATATACGACCCCTCTATGGTGTTGATTCACAGTAATAGATTATACATAGCACGACCCTTCTGCAATCATATTAGAACATTATATACAGTATAGTCATTGTCGGACTTGACAGACGCAGAACAACTACCTTGTTCCGGTACAGGGTAATGTATCAAACTCCGTTATCTAAATCCTTAATTTTGGCAAGACGCCTGAAGATTCGCTGTTCTCTGCTCCTTGCTGCTCTTGAGTTTCGTTGCGATTTTCCTTTTCTCCGCGAACTTGAACCTCCCCATGTGACGTCGATAGCGGTCTTGGTTCTCAATGCTTCACATGAAAAATGATACATCAATTCTGGTTGTTTCCATCTAAGTGGACCACGGTAGAGCCAAGTAGATCGAAGAAGAGTGTAACTCATAGTGCCTCCTGTTCTGTCTAAAACAATGTATGAAGATGTGTAAGCAATCCGCGTCCACGGCGTCGCCCTCCTTATTTACGAACCTTATACTACACAAAAAAATGTACAACCACGAACACGTAATGTAGGTAGCATAACAAAAAAAGCTATGCATCTTACTACAGAACGAACTAAGTAGTTGTAGTAGAAGCATTTTTTCATAAAATCCACACTCTTGAGAAAGTGCGATAGGCTCTGTGACGTCTTCTCCTCTAGCAGTGGCGTGATCTGCACGCGGTCGCCCACAGACACTAGGAGCGCTGCTGCCCCATTTAAACAGACTGACGTTGGATCGATCGCCTCGTCGTAGATAATGTACGTCGTGAAAATATGAATGTCGTGAAAAAAACAGAAGTGCCATGTGGTTGAAATGATCCGAAGAACGTTGTCGTTGTATGACTTCTGCTCAATATTAAAGACCTCAAAAGTCCTTGCCTCCTCCTGAGTAGGATCCTATTGCTACGAGGAATGGCGTAATTTCTACCATGTCGCCTCACTAAGACGTTCCTACGAGAAATGGCATCATTAAATGGCATTCGACAAGTCCTGTTTCATTGACCTCCATGGACATCACAGTGAACAAAAATCATTCCACCCCTTACACTTTTTGTCAACATCATAAAATATCAACGTCATAAAAATGTATCTCCTGCGACTTCGGTCTCTTTTTTCCACCATTGCTGCTGCAACTAGTATCAACGCCATCTCCTTCTCCAGCGAGTCGCGTGACTTTACACAACATACTCTCCAAGAGGCCTATAGCGCGATACCTCGAACTGATAGTAATAGAACCCATGTAGTTCACATTTGCCTCGCCAACCCTTGCGATTAAGGCAATAGGGCGTGTTGTCCTTGATGCCTTGGCTTGTGAAAGAAGTCTTTCGTCAGACTCCTTCATCTTTACAGGTTGCTCTTCAAGCAGAGAAGGTTGCTCTACTGCGACCAGAGTAGCTGCCTTCTGCTCACTCGATGCCTTCATTTTTGAAGATTGCTCTAGTAGAAGTAGTGTAACAAATTTGTTGGTTCGGAATGGTATGTGGATGAACAACAAGTAAGAACGGTTGATGGACGACAAGTAACAATAAGATTAGACGAATAACAAGCAAGAATAGATCAATACCTATCAGAGCATCAATAAGTAAGTTAAGAAAAAAAAAACTGGAACTACTTATATATAACAACAGGCTATTTTTTCATTTGATTTTTTGAGATCGGCACAACACGATGGATCCTTGAGATGAACCAAGCAACCAATTATAGGGTGGAGCCGACAGGACAACATGGTCGGAATAGCAAGACTACTGGTTGTACGACAGGAAGACACCAGGAGGAACTTAGTAGAAGGAGATCGTGCGCGGATTACACCAGCTACACGCCACCAGCATCGCGGTGACCATCAAGTTGATACTTTCTAGCAGAGGGCCATGAGGAGCTCTGCGCCTGCAGTTGTAACAGTTCCGGGGTTTATTTTTCGCAATGAGCAGGATGGGGATTCCATAAAAATCATGGGGATTTCCACAATCATCGATATCCTGATCATGATTCTCGCTTCATTTTACAGTATTCGCATTTTCGGATAGGCTTCAAGGGGCTACATTAAATCATGACAGATTCGAGTGCAGGCACAATGACATCAAATTATGACAGACAGAGACCAGAATAAATCAGATTTATCCTGTAACGACTTATCATGCGATAAAGCTAGTAGATGTGAGTAGTTGACTTATACGGTCGATAGCGATCATATACTTCAGGCGACCGCCTCCCCATCTTCGGAAGCATCACTCCCTGGGCTCGTTGTTTCTACTTCGTACTTATGTCTCCTGAAAATCCAAAGTTGTAACAGCCAGTATCAGCTCAATAAAGTGACAGCACGTCAAGAAAGAGTTTGTTAGTTATAGGATTACGATGTAGTGTATGAACAAGCGAATTCCAATTCCATCCACTTGAGATTTAATTTCATCATGAATCAGCATCCGCTATGACTACGTTGAGTTGTGTCCGTGATTATCGATATGACTACTACTTACTATGCAAAAACTATGTACTACGTAAATTGGAAACTACTACTTACATCTCCTGTGATTTTTGCTCATTTTCTTCTCATGTGTATTGTGCTTGCACATCATGAACAAAAGTCTTTCTAATTTCACTATGGATAAATAATGTAAATTTGGCAGAAACAGAAGCAAGGAAACATATGTTGTAGGGAAACATGACATCAAGTAGTCATTTATGTTTGACGAGGGTTCTTTCATCGTGGAACGAAATGTGATGTAAAAAATTCATGAGTGAGGACCTTCTGTCTACTCTGGCAATGTCACCAGCGGCTGTCCCATCCCGCCGCCTCCCGCGTTACTAGACGTCTGTGGCCGACTTCCATCTCCCGAAGTTGTGGTGGGTCGGCTCAGGGTCGGAAGGGTCCCGTCGCCTGTTGTTGGGTACAACGATACGCCAACATTAGAGCTCACCCTAGAAGTTCATCCCTGTGGAGATCGAGTAGACCCCTCAGTCCCATTCCTCATGCAATATTGAGATGCATAGTTCATGCCCCTTGAGTAGATACGGTTGAGCAGGGATCCCTATAATAGAGATTGAATTTGATTTATTAGGGAAACACCAGTCAGTCTCCAGTCTCTGGCAATGATCGCTTTTAGTCTCTTGTATCTCTATATCAGAGAGCCTTAACACCTGTTTCCGGCAATCGGTAGGTGTCTTCTAGCTTCTCGAACCGCTTTGCTGTGTGGAGGTGTAACGCTTCCGACACACACTCCTCAATTTCGATGGAGATCCGAAGTTTATTCACGTTCGGTATTAGAGAATCTGACGCCTTCCGATGAAATTTTTTTTCTTGTCACTTTGTGATAGCAGCTACCACTAAGAGTGCGAAGCCACCTGTACACCGTCTTATTTCATCTAGGACCATTCCTTTCATCAAGTATATCTTTCATCTAGGACCATTCCTTTCACCAAGGAAGTATATGTAGTCTCTCATCTAGGACCATTCCTTTCACCAAGGAAGTATATCTACTTGTGTGGAATCACGACAACCATAACTGCAAACTGCAAAATTTGGTCCGACCCAGCGATTTTCCCAGCGGCCCTTGAAACGTCTTGCTGACTGCGTTCATGCTCAAAATCGCACGAACCGTCACCGAGTCATTCTCGGGACTTGCGGAACGCAGGTAGGAGGTTAGAGCATCACATACATGCATAGGCCACAACGATAACGATTATCCCGTGGGATCTCTATAAGTCAACTACGTAGATCTCTCTAGTCTCCTGTATAATGACCTAGTTCGAGCAAACGTATTTATCTCTATGTATCAAAGCCACAACAATGCAGTAGAATGCTAACAAAGCCACAAGACCTTTGGTATTCATTGGTAGTAGATTGTTGGAAGGGCTACACGCTAGAGGTAAAAACGAACCGGTTGTTATATTTAGTGAGAAAAGTTTGACCAATGAACATCAGGATAAGTAATTCGCCATAACAAAGCGCATTGCATTGGCAGGTCGTCGAGGCCGTTGGGGTAGAGAACTAGTCGCACACTGTCCAAGCCTGCTATTCGAAAAATATTGCTCTCAATGCAGTGTCCGTGATTAGAGAAGGCAGATCAAATTCTCAACATGAAAAGTCTGTCCTCTTTCAATACAACTGATCTGCGAAAAGTGAGCTATACTGATCTACTTAGCAAAGAAATGGGACTCTTAGTGGAAAAAGGGCATTGTACTTGATACATGAGTTGAGCTTGAGGTGTTCATCTGCGAAGCTCATTAATACTAAACTCTAAAATTCTTAACAGAAGGGACCAATCGACAGAGATCCTGCACATGCGTCACATCCCACGTGGCTTTCCGCAAATGCTTGTACTTTATCTGAATTGTTGTTCAAAAGAAAGATCGGATCTCCCCATTTTTGAGGCACCATTTGTTGTACTGATTCTCTAGAAAAAGTTGACATTCTCTCTAAATGAAGTTCAATTACTTATACAACATCGTCCACCTCCCAGTAATGCTAGAGTTCATTTGCAAGAAGTCTAGTAGGACTAGAGTCCATTTGTACCTGTGTTATCCAACCGTTGACTTGATGACCCAAGAAGTTCGGTGACAGGAACTGATCGTAGGTCTGAAATCTTTCGTGATTCCCATAGTTCATTCCTGGAGCCCGTACCCGTTTTTTCCAATTCTTTCTGGCCGCGCATACAGGTTAGAGGAGTGTTGATGAAAATCATCCAAGCCGTGGTGAAACTCTGTTGTTCGGACCCCTTTGTCTTGTTTAGTGCGTTGCTCTATTTGCAGCTACCTTCGATAAACCATAATTCCCCCGAGTAGCAAACAAATCGACTTCGCCGTCGTAGGATGAGTATCAAATACATAGTTGTACAATTGCATATCTACAGGACAAGGCGACTCTGCCTTAATCAAGTACTTCGACTCGGATCGGAATGCTATCTGACCTGCGACACCAAAGACGCTGTATCATTCCAAAATTGGGCAGCCTGATTTCGCATGGTCGATCCGGACCGGACTGTTCAGATTTTTGGTCGTGTAGCTAGGACTGCTCAGATATCCACACTTCTAGAAAATTTCCATACGACTGTGTTCTTTGTACAGAAAACCTGAACATGAATGAATCTTCGTCTGCTACTTTCATTAGAGAGATCCAGAGTAATATCCAAGGTACGTCGTAGATAGACAGAAAACGATCCAAAATCAACTTCGCCCATGTAAGTAAGTACGATATTCTCCGCTGCATCAGGACTGATTCCGTCGTCCTTGCACATATCTAGAGGGTCGTTGCGTCTTGGGTGTGTCTCGTCCACCTCATCGCGAAAAGCACTGGCGATGACGTCTTCTGCATTCGTCAAGTGCGTAGGCTTCTGGAAAGTACGTCTTGCTTTAGAGAATACTACAAGGAAGTTTTCAATTGTTCACGAGAAGGAATGGAATGTGTAACCTCTGTAATGGGAGTTTTTGTCCTGGACAAAATAAACTACTACTTTGCACTTTCTTCGATGACAGAATCGTGGGAGATCAGACGTCACCACGACATTGTGAAGAGTAAGCAAAAGAATATTAAGAGCAACAAAATTCAGCAAACACTTCCCCTCCGAAACCTCAACCTCCAACACCCGAACCCACAACCTCCGAAGCCCTCAACCTCCAACCCCCAAACCCTCAACCTCCGACACAAAAACCACCAAACCACCAAACCCATGAACTTATGAACTTCTGAACTGATGAGCCCAGGGACTCATGATCCAGCAAATTGAATTTCAGAAAAAACGCCCAAAATCAAAAATTTTGGGATCTGAGTGAGAAACTCAAACCCAGCGAATTTAATCCAAAAGCGACAAAATAAAGTGGAAAGCTTCGAAGTTTGAGAAATTCAAACCCGGCAAATTGAATTTCAGAAAAAATGCGTAAAATTAAAAATTTTGGGATTTGAGAAATTCAAATCCGGCGAATTCAATCCCAAAGCGACAAAATCATGCGGAAAGCTTCGAAATTTGAGAAATTGAAGCCCAGGGCTGAACTTCAGAAAAAATGCTTAAAATCAAAAATTTTGGGATTTGAAGGATTCAAATCCCACGAATTCAGTCCGAAACCTTCGAAATTTGGGAAATTCAACTCCAGGAAATTGAAACTCAGAAAAAATGCTGAAAGTCAAAAAGTCTGGGATTTGAGTATTTCAAATCCGGCGAATTCAATCCCAAAAGGGCGATATAATGCGGAAAGCTTCGAAATTTGAGAAATTCAAACCCAGGCGATTGAATGCCAGAGGAAATACCTACAGGAAAAAATTCCCAAGTCCAACGAATTTAATCCTAAAGAGGCAGAATAATAGGGAAAGCTTCGAAATTTGAGAAATTCAAATCCAGGACATTGAATCTCAGAAATAAGGCCTAAAGCCGAAAGTTTTGGGGTTTGAGATATCCCAGCCCAACGAATTGAATCCCAAAGGGGCAAAATAATAGGGAAAGCTTCGAAATTTGAGAAATTGCCATGCCAGGAGATTGAATCTCAGAAGAAAGGCTTAAAGTCAAAAACTTCGGAATTGGAGAAATGCAAATCCAGCGAATTTAATCCGTCCCAAAGCGGCAAAATAATGCGGAAAGCTTCGAAATTTGAGAACTTCAAATCCAAGAAATTGAATTTCAGCGAAACTGCTTAAAGTTAAAGAATTGCCTGCCTGTTCCCTGGGTTACTTCGGGGGGAGGGGAATCCTAGCGCGAGGGGTTGTTATCGGGCGCTCCAAGCTAGTATTAAAGAGCATGAAAAGCAGTAGAGACAATATCGAAAGCCAAGCCATAATCTTTCCCTCTAGCGCATCTGGCTTGGGCCCCTTGGTAATATTCCCAGCCGCACTCCGATGAGTCCCGCTACCCCTGAACCGGGGATCTTCTTTTGTTAGAGGTAGTTAAATTGTGAGTAATCCTGGCACAAGTAGTCGTTTCCCCGACGTACGATGACTTTCAAAAAGAACAGTTCACGCCCCACGAAATCATCGATCTAGTTCACCTCAGAAAGCCGTATGATGTTGGTAAAGATGATGAAAAAATCGATACCAGAATCTTCGATCAGCATTGCCTCGTAACTTATCAAATATATTGGAAACTGCTGTCACATCTTTTTCGGAGATGACTCTCGATATTTCGAATTCTGGAGGCCCAAGCGTCACCTTTAACTTCAGAATCTCCACTGCTCTAGCGAAATAGATTACCAAGGACAGGTTGCCGCCAACCGGCGTGGGCTGATGATTTTGAGGTCAGAAACTATATGTCCTGCACTTCAACGAAGAATCAATCCTCGCACGGGAAAAATCTACTTACTCAAACCAGGTTCATCATCATCTCCAGATGAGTACTTATACCTTCAAAAGGATCACACCTACAAACACCTCAATGTAGCACACTCATCATCACTTTCAGAGCTAGTCCTGTTGTACCTTTACAAGCCCCGCCATTGTTGCTCCACCACTGCCACCGTTTCCTGCGAGAGTGAGGCCGTCTTTCTCCTTAAAATGCTCGTTCCATTCATTCGTGGGGCCCTTTCCCCTGCTCATGTTCTCTACGGTCAGCTCTATATACATCTTCGGCACAGTCGCAAGCAGAAACACCGGAGACGCTATCACGGCTATTGAGTATGAAGACGGGGTCAGGGATATCAAGAACGTGGGAGGTAGTACTACGGAAGTAGTAGTGTCTAGTTCGGGGGTCAGGGATATGGATATCTATATCAAGAACGTGGGAGGTAGTACTACGGAAGTAGTAGTGTCTAGTTCGTGTGGAGCTGGTCTGGTGAGGAAACGCGAGTTGTGATAAGGAGCTGGTTTGGTTGGCAGAGGAGGGACCAACAGTGTGGAGCAGTTCTACAAGAACTAGTAGTAGATCATACGCTTATTTAGGATAGGATAGGAGTTGGCCCACCTATGAGGGGGTGGCTCGTCTTGCTTCTGAACACGAAACGTCATTCGTTGACACGGTCACAGCCAATAGTAGGGATGAACATCGTAAAACAAAATAGTGACCAAATTGTGATCTAGTACTTAGACGTAGAAGAAGCAACGATGGTAGAGCAGGTACGACTAAAAAAAGTAAAACAAACCTTCGCAGCGTAAATTTATTTGTTTCTATCTTCTTCACCATAAATTTTCCTTCACATTGTACAATGCAAAGATTTTTTCGTTGAAATTGTCCACCGACCAAATCCACGTCTTCGCACACATGGCAAACCAACCTTGTTCAACTCTGCCCATCCGGACTTGGATCAACTCCTTGCATCTAAGTTAGAGGTAGTAGCAGTTAACCCAGACAGGGGTACAATCCAAAATGCAAAATTTTGGGAAGGGAAAGGTCATGAGACATTTTGGTGTCCTTAACAAGGATAGTTTGGTCTTGGTGTCCTTAGCGATAAAAAACTACTTAACTATGGAACCCACTTCCTCAGGTACTGAAAAATGAATCACGTTCTTGCCATTACAAGCCTATGCTTCCTTCTTGAATGTAGAGCTGAATGATGCAAGAAGAACGCTATCAAGGCTTCCTTCTTGAACGTGACGCTGAATGATGCAAGAAGAACGCTATCAAAAACAAAGTCGCGACTATCTGCAGCCATAACTAGAATTGACCTTGGATTCCACTTCGGAGGACCGCGCATCCACTAAGGCGCGGCTTTCCTCCTCATGCTTTTTGGCGCGTTCCATCAACTCGGTCTGTATTCTCGTAAAAAGATCCTTACACTGTTGGCCTTAGAAGGGCCGAGGGTGGAGGAGCGGAGAGGGTGGAAGAGAGGAGAGGGAAGAGGAGAGAGGACAGGCATAAAGGTCCTCATCATGGCATAAAGGTCCTTGTATTGTTTGTCTGAAAAGAAACGCACTTGAGTTGAGCACAGAAAAGCCGAAGATACGTTGAGGTGATGCTAACTCAAGCAATGGTGTAAGTTCAGCTATGTATGTATTGGACCTTATTCTAATCAAATTCACAAGACAAAGCTACTTCCTTCTCCTTTTCCTTGTAGAAAGAAGAACACGAAGAAAAAGAAAACTCAAAATACAAATAGAACAACGGCCTTTTACCTCAAGATTACCTCAAGATCTCATGATCCATAATTTTCGATCACTTCAAAGCCCTCGACGAATTTTTTGTCGATGATTTCGGATATCCTACTCCTGATCATCCGATCTGACACGCTGAGTTGCTCCTCAAAAGTTTTCTCCAGCTGTTCCTTCAAATCGCCCAACTGTTGGCTCAAGGCATCCCTAAAAAATCTCCTGGTCTCCTCAGCAGCTTTCTTTATCTGCTTCAACTGCTTGGCCTGCGACTCCATCTCCTTCATCATCTCCCTGTTTTGTTGATGTAGGGTTTGTGAAACTCGATACCTATTACTTTTACTGCGTCGTCCTTGATATTCACTATCACAGAGACAAAAAAAAATGGTAAAAAAAGTGAAAGGAGAAACAAAGGCAAATTACGACATCCGGCTCGTTGTGCACCTCATCAGACCTGAAAATCTGAACACAGAAATACTTCCCATGTCAATCTCAATCCACTTCCCATGCATACTTTCGACGTAGCAGCTCAAGTAATATTCTTTCATCATGCCTAAACCACGTACAACTTAAATCTATGTATCGTAATTTTTGATACTAGTCTGTTATCTCTCTAAAGTTAGGAAGTTCATCGTCATGCCATCCTAGATAGTCTTCATTCTCTACTTCTATCTTCATCAAGATGAAACCGTTCCTGATATGGTCCAGAGGACACAAGAAGCTTATAAAAATACCTCAAAGTCGCTTCCTTTTTCCTATTATTTTCGACGGTTTCTTTCTGGTGGTCTTCGAATTTATGACGGAGTTCGGCAAACTCCATCTTGAACTCCTCGAAGTCCACCATGGAAACTGCATCGAAAGACGCCATCTTGCTGCGTTGGTGTTGCCCTTCCTATGGGAAAGGACGTAGTGTTGTCGAGGTAGTGTTGCTGACGTCCTTGTAAAGGGTGGGGAGACGTCGTTGAGCTTGAGGATGAATCCTCTTGAAAAGTCTTGGTGTGATGATGTTGTTGTCCTCAAGTATTCTTATGGGAGAGGACGAGTGGCCTTGGTGTGGTGTAGTATATTTGTTGCCCTTGATGTCAATAGGGAAGAGGACGCCTCCTGGTACGCGGAAAAACAAGAGACGTGACAACGCACGGTTGCACTGGTCTTGGTGTGATGATCTAGTTCATCTTGTTACCCGAAAAGAAGGCGAGTTCGTTGTACTTTAATCGTATTCCTTTTATCTTTTGTTGCCCCTATTCGAGGAGAGCGCGTGGCTCTACGCAGGGAAACAAGAACCGACCAACAGCGGTATTTGACGATAGCGCACGGTTGTGCGTAGCGATTAACTCGTCATCGGTCGACACGACCTTTGAGTGCTGTTAGAGAACCTTTCTCGTACTTCTCTGATCTGCACTGGTCCAAAAGCGCACTTGCAAAACGTCACTCGCGCACCATCACGCGAGGACTCTAAGCAACATTACATTTTTCCCGCACACTCATTAATCTTCTGTGTCTGCGGCCCGAGCTGAGTATATAATTCTTCCGGAGTGCTGGTGGTCTGAATCTTGTAGTCACTCATAGTAATTGATTCTTATAATGGCGAAAAATACAAACTAAATAGCGGACAAACCTCATCATTCTCAAAAACAAACACATACACATGCAACAACTCACGATAGTAATAGTTCCTTGCGGATAAAAAGGGGGTCATTGTGCTTGCAGGAATGAAGGAGAAAAGGGTATCGCGCAACAGATACTCATTTTCATAAAGATTGACACAAGACCGTCCCATGACGCGAAGGTAGACCGATCATTCTTTTGACATAATCAGACTATTCTTGTGATATTGCACACACTCCCAATCAGATCCAACCGACTGAACCGCTACACAAAATCTTGATCTTCTACTCTTTCCTAGTACTACTAGTCTTAGGATTGCTCATCATGTAAGCGGAGGAGTGCTCTCTACCGATGTTTCGACCTGTATAAACCGATTTAAAGTGATTGTTCCTGCCTTCACTGGGACGATCGGAGGAATTCCACGTGTTGGTTCTCGTGGCCTGTCCATGGGACGCTTCATGTTGCGATCCTTACTCGATGATCACCATCACCTGAGAAGCCCTATCGCATAGAAGTTCTAGCGTGACTAGCTTCTAAGTAACTTAATATGGTCATTTCAAAGTTTCCTTTACAATGACTTGAAAAGGAAGCGACTCGGTTTGAATCTTCGAATTGAGTTCATTTTCTTCGCATTTCACTTCGAGTACATTTGACTCTGATGCATTTACCTGAGGATCAATACGACAATAGACCTCAATTGTATGACAAGAAATGATCAACGGTAACATAATATGCATTTGGTAGACTAAGCTCTATTGGATATTGAGAACCTATCAGTACTCATTCAGCTATCGTGTGAAAAACTGGTATAGATCAATGGTAACTACTCAGCGTAAGAATGGTAATCGAGAACGGGATGTTGGCTCATGTCTACGTGGGATGCGTCAGAGTTTTTACAGGGTACTATCTGTAAATCACTTTGCACTGTTTAACGGGTACTCTATGCACTCAACTCTAACCTTTCGAAATTCGCACTATTCAAAGACTCTATCGTCCTATGCATAAGAGATATGCAACCGCTACTGTGTTTGCTGTGAAGATCCTTCTTACAACACTACTTTAGAACAGGCGAGTCGAAGACTGCTTCTCGCTTCGAGGACTGCTTCTAGCTTTATGTCTAGCAAATTGATTAGTTTATAGGATATACCAACGGTTGAAAATTTTGTCACTCACTCATCTGAATAATATCAACGAAAGTACGATAAGATAAACAAAAAAAAAGCTCATACATTGCTCGCTATTATCTTAGGGACATTACTCTCGAAATAGGATCTTCTTGCTGGTGTTCCTCACCTGCCTTAGAATCTATTTACTTACAGACCTAGACCTTATTCGCCGCGCCCGCCCTTGGAGGTAGCGTGAGGACTCTATACTCCTCTTTCGCGTAGGTGTCGTCACGATGGAAGAGAAGCACGTTTTCGGTATCTCTCTTCCTGTGTGAAACCTCCAGCACCTCAACGCAGATATTCAAAAGCGACAACTCCTCATCACCGCGATTCTCGATCTGCGTCTCGAGATAGCAAAACTTCGTTTTACCTGGGAGACAGACTGACTACGGCTACACAGACAAAACGCAACATACTAGCCAATATTCGATAAACTGAAATAACCGAGTAACTATTGAAAATAAGGGAGATACATACTGAAAGAAGACGAATCAATGTAGTCAAGACTCTCTTATTTCAGTCAGTAACTCGCGTATTTTGAGTTTTCCCATAGATCGTAGGTTGTACCATAAACTTCTCCTCTCGTTGCGTAAAAATGTTCGAAGACTTTGGAGGTTTTGCCCACAGAGAGTTGAAATTTGATGAAGACATTTTCTTCTGCGCACCTCAGATAGAGTCCGCACCATCCGGGGTTGGCTGGGTCGACGCCCTACAGCACGGAGGAGAGAAGGATAAATGCATCAAGATCTACAATTTCTCCGATCATGTATCATCTATGTATAAGAAAGGCCATTTTTGGGACACGCACAACAGAGGATCCGAAACCTCCTGGAAAGAAAACGACAGCGCCACAACATCCAAATCAAGAAGACCACATAGAGACAGATACCCTTGGGTAAAAGACGAACTTGAGCTCGGAGATGCCGGCTGCCGAAAAAGCGGGTGATTCGATCACGTCATTTGTGGCACTCTTATCTAGGAGAGGTAGGACCTGTCGGATTTGCCACTCGACCTTCCTGACCCACCTTTGCTTGCATTAGAGAGGGGTCGTTTCCCGAACGTACCTTCAAGACGCATCTTCTACTTTTCTCCCCTGAATGAACCCATCTTTCTTGCGCAAACGGCTAAGCACCTGTTCACTTTTCTTTTCTAGATACGTAGACGAGATCGTCTTTGTCGCTACTGGCAATACTACTTGGTGCCTTTATTTTAACAAACAGGACCGACTGGATACTTGTTAGTGCGCTTTGCCTTCAACAGTACTTGGATATTCCTTCACCATAATTCAAATTCTGCAGTTTTCTATCCACCTGCTCTAGCATGTGCGCGTCCGATAATATCCTCCGTTTAAACTGCATCTCTGAAGTTTTTCCGTCATTCATTGCGGGATAATCTGTCAGCACGTTCGGTTGCGCTACCTGCAGCTCTACACTGCCGGTTAGATCAGCCTCCATGATCTCCAGGCCCACCAGTATCGTATCATTCAATCGATTCCAAGCTGGATCTAGGGCGCAGAAATTCGTCACCGTGCATCCTACCAAGTCTTGCCGTGGATTCGACTCTGTTGATGTTGGCGGGTGATGATTTCTTTGTACTATTTTAATATACTATAGGGTGAATGTCAGTGTTGCTCTTTACTACGTTTTTTTAGTATTGTGCGCACCATACGCAGCCCTAACAAATTAATTCGATCATCGAGGGAAGCTTGTTTCAGTATAGAAGATACGGCATAATACCATCTTCTTCGAATAACATTCACATTGCTCTGAAGATACAAAATAACGCGACAAAATACCATCTTTTTCGAATATTGCTCTAAATTTCTTCGTGACTGGTCCGACGCTAATTCTGAAGACTGCTTCCACTCCCGGTTGAGTCCACACCGTGAGAATGAGTCCCCCATTAGTAGGCAAATGCCTACCCATATTTTGCACTTGCCGCGAAGCCGACTGCGATCCTGGGGAGTCGCCAGCTTGCACACGCAACTGCAAATACATTACCGGAAACGTGGCCATAGTGAAAGGCGGCGACCACAGGGAGCAAGAGCGCATGACTGTGGTAGAGGTTGATCATGGGAGATATCAACATCCCTGCTGATTGTGATCCATGATGTTGTGGTTGAAGAATGATAGTAGATAGACAGATGGATACATGCTGTATGAGGAAAAGATCAATCGAGAACATGTACTTACGAATGATGGTGTACAACGCACACAAAAACTCGGGTTGTGATCACAGGTAGAACTTTCAGACTCAGCGTAAAAGTATCTTCTTACACATCTCCGTGATTTTTGATCGTGCGGCGTCAATTTTCCAGTTCACGAAGCGTGTGTTCGTGTGCAACATCAAATCGTAATCGTATCGCAGATTCAAGCTATCCTCGCAGACGTCGTCCACTTTTTTTAGCAAGAGGCTCTTCAAATCACCGAACTCGCTGGCTACCTCACGCGCGCCAGCCGCAGCATCCTCGCACTCCTTCACTCGCCCATCCATCTCGCTGACCATAGTCTTCAAATTTCCCACCTCTTGCCCAAGATTTTTCCCGCTCTTCTCCGAATCCCCAAATTTGGGAAGGATATCATCCTGGTGTTGAATTTGGTTTTTGAGGAGGCGACAACCAGGAGCTAGGACTACGTATTGATTCTCCGCGTATACTCGACGCACATCATAGCAACTTGAACTTTTTTAGATGGAAGTACCTGCACTATCGCAAGAAGTTGCTCTAGTTTCGTATCGTGCTCCTCGACGATATCGGTTAAGTCAACTGCGCCCCCTCTGGCTCTCCTAGGTTTCATACCTCCTTCTCCTTGCTCTAATTTCGTGATTCTGTTGGTTGGTTGGTTGGTTGGTTGGTTGGTTGGTTGGTTGGTTGGTTGGTTGGTTGGTTGGTTGGTTGGTTGGTTTGTTGGTTGGGGATCGATTTCTATTTCATCGATCATAATCAATGCACAATTTTATCTTGTCGCATCATGACCACCATGATCTCTTCGTCGAAAACTACTACAAACGGGGATGAAGATGTAGAATTCTTCTCATCGATTACGATTAGTACCTCTAAGCGGAATCTCATCTCAGGTTACGTAAGGAAAATGAAGAACTCGTAGGACGTACCTTTCTTCAAACTCCTCTGACTTCTTTTCTTCCGCCTCTAACCTAGGCAGTACTGCTTTCACGTGTGCCTGGAGGATGCTCGTCATTTTGGACACCTTCTCTTTCAGCTGCTCGATTTCAAATGCCATCGCTTCCTGTTTCTTATTTCCCTCCTCTTGTGCGGCTTCCATCTGCTTCTCCAGATTGGTCAAGTCTTTCCGCATATCAGCTGCCAAAGTGGCCAGCTTCAGCAGCTGCTTATTATTGCCCATGAACCCCATCTTGAACGAGGGTTTTTTGGTGCGTTGAAGCAACTACGAACGGGAAAAACGAGCTTTCTTGTGACGTTGAAGCAACGAATGGACTCACTCTGGGGAAAGAAGGCAAGTCACAAGTTCTCTGGATGCGTTGGGGCAATGGGAGGACTATGGTTAAAGACGGCAAGTCCTCTTCGGGTGTAGCAAGTCCTCCGCGTCTGGGTGTTCTTTGAGCCAGTAGTAGTTGTTGCTGCTGTTTGTTGTTACGTTGCTACTACCATGCGATTGAAAATCTGTACTTGAAGATGAATGTTCTTTCGTGAACGACTGCTTGTTGTCGTTGTTGTTGCCTCCTTCAACTTCAAAGACCGCCAAGAATTGACGTTTACTAGGCAGAGGCTGTATTGTCTGACTGCTTTCAAACCGTGGACTTGCAGTTGGTGTTACTTGTACTTGATGGCAGTCGAGGTAGTATTGGTTGTATTGTTCAGTTTCAACTCCCAACTACAGTGTTTCTGCTTTCCTCGTTTGACCCTCTGCTTTCCTCGGAATGGATTTTCTCACTGCTTATTTTCTACCACTTCTATAAATGCTGCGGTCACGGCTCTCCCCTGCCGCAGTCGCGCCTGCGCCGCCGCATTGTGCTGTCAGGCGGCGCGCCTTGTCTACAATTGCATTGTATGTCTATGATGAAACAACGCTGTTTTTCTTACCTTAAAGTATCTACTTATGTCACGAAATCAATTTTATCTTCTTGTTCTATCTAAGAACGTTCTTCTCTACAAAAAATGAAAGCTAACAGCCACTCATAGTGACTATGCCTATAGTCTATAGTTTTAGTGTTCATGATCCTTGGTAAAACTAAAAGTCGATTTCGATATGTACTTATCGTGAAACTCGAACAGCCGAGCGATGTCTACTATAGATCACGACTGTACGAGGAAGGAGATTGTGGTACGTCGGAGAAGTAAACACTGACGAGGAAACTTCGAAGACGATCGCATGTTCGTGTTCATCCGAAAAACATGTTCGATCATGATCGCATCGTCCAAATTGAGTGAAAAATTAATCATTGTTATATAGTCAGAAGTGGTCTCTTGCTCGTTGCTATCCTTACTTTTCACTGTTTCAAAAAAGGATGCACAGCACAATCGTCGAGAGTCAGCCGTTTTTCCGGCTTCTGGACCAGCAGCTTCGCAATCAAGTCATCCGCGGCTTCATCAGACTCGCTGGTGAACCACTCTTGCGGTTTTTCGGTGTTCACTCTGCTTTTTCGTTGCTCGCGGATTGCCTGCATGTTGCTTGACGAGGTCTTGTAAGTATGTTGTACTAGGAGGTGATGGTGAAGTTCTTCGACTTATACTTTCAGAAAGTGAGGACAGTTATTAATCAAAATTTGGCTTTGTAGGAAAAAACCTTCTTCGCATCGAGCTGTAGGATACTCCGGAAGGTGCGAAATTGGTCGTCCGTATCCGCCTTTATGGGTATTTCGGCAAACAGCAGTTCAAATGCTAAGAGGCCTAATGCCCACAAATCTACGTATTTCTCGTAGGTATCTGCTGTTATCATCTCAGGTGGATACAACACGGGCGTTCCGATAAGCGTCTTACGGCGATGTGCGTCTGGCGCTGGAGCGTGGACCGCGGCGCCAAAATCGCCAAGTTTGACGACCTTCCCGTGGAAGAGGAAAAGATTCTCACTCTTGAGGTCTCGAAAGATGATATCGCGTTCGTGCAAGTGCTGCAGACCCGAAATTGTGTGCCGCAAGTAGCAAGCTGCGTCTGCACTACCAACTCCACCCGTGGAATTAGAAGACATCAAGGTCTATAATTCAAGTAGATTTTATTGAGGCAACTGTAGGAAGGGTATCTGACAATGCCACCGACCAAAGGCAAAAGGCCTGTAGAATGTTCTGTAAGTCCAGATCCTAAGAAAAAGGAAAGTAGCTACTTGATTATTCTTATGTGCTTATTCTTTCCTCATACTATGACGGACCAAAAACGTGTTGTAGATTCTTCTGTAATAAGCTTTGAAGCGGAGAAATTAGTGCTTTTGAGTACGCTAGATTTACACCTATCAAACCCTCTTCAGTAATAAATGATTCTTTCCTCTTCATACTACCAAAAACTTGTAGATTCTTCAGTGAGTAATGAATCATTCTTTCCTCCTCATACCACCTCCACCATGCTTTGTTGCCAGTACTATCTTCCGCAAGTCTCCCAAATGGCTGTGCTCCAGAACCATGTAAATAGAGTGCTCATCCCAGAAGTAGGCGTATAACGCGAGGATGTTGCCGTAGGAATTAGAAGAAGAGGTAGGTTTTCATTGCAGAAAATTGGTCAGCTTTCCACTTTTAGCATTAGTCACGAATGCTCTTCTTGATTCCCCGTCGATCTCGACAAGGCGTTCTCGTGGAAATCACATAGGGCGTCTCTGGTACTGCTCGTGGAATTCACATAGCAACTATACGACACTCCCAAATCAACTCGCCTTAAGATGCAGATGACTCTGAATATCCAGCTCTCGTTCTACCTTCCGTTCTGCGCGATGTCTCGATATTTGAGCTTTTCTTAGGATTTTCAGGACTACAACCGCTCGTCCGCGACGAGCTAGATGTACGCGACCGAACCCGCCTTCACCGAGCTTCTGTCCTACCTCGAATTCGTCTAAAGTCCACATCTTTTCCAGGTTGTAGTTCTAAGGAACTTCAGATCATTCAATGTGTAGATAAGAATTCTACTCTGTAAGTGCAACAAATGGTACCTGCTACAGTATTCTCTTACATCCTATTACTTGGGATATTTCCGCGTGGAGAAAAAATATTTACTCACTTCCTTGGGTATCGACCATTAACATTCATCTCTTTGGAGCCAACTTTTTTTCCGAAAGCACTGTAGCACTGCCAATTTTCGAAACCAGAGTGCGGTTGACAGGACTTGCACAATCCGAGTCGCTAAGCCACGAAAGAGTCGATGTCTTTACGTTTACCGTCATGGAAGTTTTGTCCGCCGCAACAGACCCCTTGAAAAAATTCTTGATGGAATTTTCACGACCAACACCCTCGACGGACAGGCCCTGGAGGACACGACACATTGCTTTTTCTTATTTTGCAGCAAGGCACTTCTTCCTTCCACATCTCCCCAGAGAGAAGATCGGACCCAGCAACAAGATTGATTTGCGTTTTCGTCGTAACATCCTACGGCACTCGATTTACCACGCGGAAGCGGAAGATACATATTTGCCTAGAAAGGACATCTACTTCTCTGTCGTCTTCTTCAGCAGCGGAACAATGTCCCAGCGGCTCCTGTTGCTTCTGCGTCCGTGAAACGAAATACTCCCCTCACACATAAAAGTAGTAAATTTTCCACGACTTTCGGCTTGATCAGAGTTTCTTTTCCGCTTCAAAAACTTGCTTTTTCCGGGATTGGTAGCAGTAGATGTAGCCCAGAAGTACTTTGCCAATGCCAGTCCGCAATCGTCGGGCCGCTCTGAGACTGATGACTGCAAATGTCCACTGACGTTCTGCCTCCCAGCTGTGACTACTACACCCCCGCGTCCACCGCTCGTAGCTCCTTCACGCATCACAAACATCTGAATCCATCAATCGATATTCGACCGGGATGTCGATGTAGGACATGAGGACAGGATCGAGAAGAGGATCGGACGCTCAACAGGAGCTCGTATGGATCACATTTTCTGAAGATCACCGCCCTGCTTCATAGTTAGATCTGTCCTGAAGATCAACACAGGAGTAAAATCACTTTATTGCTGCATGATTGGAACTTCCTCTTCAAAACTAGACTGTGCGGTTTCTGCAATTCGCAAACGAAAGAGTTCTTTCCCCCATGCATTTGGCAACAACCACAATATTCTCAAATATCTTTATCTGTTCAATTTCTTGTCCAAACAACATTGATATTTTTCGCAAACACTAAATCACTTTTTTCATGTTTTCAAGCGAACTTAACATGCGTTTAAAGTTTTTAGGTAGGATCACCAAAATACCAAATTTGAAAAGAAGTTCACCTAATATTTTTCACCTGTGTAATCACGTAAACCATATCGGTAATTTTTGAGAACAAGAAGCTCTGCATTTTCTATTGACATACACATATCATAACCGCAACCATGGTTTCAGCGAAATAATTCCATGCTTATAGTTTTTGAACAAAAAACAAACGGTTGAAAATTATCTTGAACAAGTTACACTGAAGCAAGTGGTTCTGTAAATGTGACGTGTAGAAAAAGACTATTTGTATCTAATATTCAACATTGTAAAAAGATGTATGGTCTGCTACTACTACCACCCAATCTTTTGTCACATGAGTGGTGGAAGTAGTAGCAGTAATCTTTTCGATGTAAATTGCACAGCTTCAATGATCCATCCTATTGCCTCCTTCGCTGCATCGGACCGGATCGTTGGGCGCTCAATCCACGACCCGAAATGCTGAAGTTAATGATGTTCCAAGAATGAAACCTCCCCAACGCATAGTTAGACTTACTAGTAGAACAGATGAAAAGTTTACAACGATACATCAACAATTCTACAAGTACAAGAAACTACAAGTACAAGACATACAAAAAGTTTTATATAGTACCCATCCACGGCCCCTGCGCCGCTCTTTGGTCTCGCTTGTTTACTGCGGCCACTTCGACTGGCGCCACCAAGTCCTGCGCCTTGGGCAGAATGATATTAGACCTCAACGATATTCATCTTGAAGCGCATCTTTATTGACGCGCTTTTCCCTTAAAAAAAAGGGGTCCAAAGATGCCTGTCAAGATGAATATAAGTGAGCCAACATAATGATAGTTCTCTAGGGACTGGTCTACCACGCCTTTGGCATAGTGTAGCCAATTTTCCATTTCCTCCATGTTCGTCATCGAGGAAGCAGGCTTCTCCTGTTGTAGTTTGACGGGGTTGCGCGGAAAAGATATCATTAGGCTCTTACGGACAGAAAGAGGCCTTGTTGATATTCGTTCGAAGTAAGTGTGTGTTTTATACTAGATACTCCTCGATTATCATTGAGAAGTGGGCATTCCTTGGGAACGAAAAAGATTCAAAGGAAACAAAATCGAACCCAAACGACGTCGACGCCATTACTGTTTATACTGGGACTTGATCGTCTTTCTATCTAGGGTCAAATGATCACTAGCAAAACCAAGAATAGTACTGCTCCTCCCGAGACTTCGACGCCTTGCATTTCTGCTATTTTCACTACGAGCTCCTCCACAAAACTAGCCAAATTTCCGAGCATTTGTTGCAGGTTGACAAATTGCGTCTGCTGCTCGTTGAAACCGCGACCAATGTCCTCGACATTACCTGCAGGTTGGTCATGGAGGTTGACGGTCGATTGGAGGAAATCATTGGGAGTTTTGAAAGTCGGTGTCTTTTAAAGAGTGTAATGATGCATGGAGTCGAAGTCTATTGGAAATAGTAGGAAAAATATGCCGAAATCTAGTTGTAGTTGTTCTCGTCTTGTTCTTCCGTTTACCAGATGAAAAGTACCTTGCATGTTCCCCAATTCTCCTCGCATCTCTTCATTCTTGGACATCACCTCTTCTCGGACAGAGGCTTTTTCCCGGTTTATGCTTTCCAGAGCATAGGCTTCCATGTCCTTCTTGTCCGCGTTTTTAGACCTCAAAACTTCTATTTCTTCAGTCCAACAGTCTCACTTGGAGGATGAGGGATACAGGAGAAAGTGATGGTTGGAAAACTCCTATTTCTTCAGTCCAACAGTCTCACTTGGAGGATGAGGGATACAGAATGAACGAATGAATGAATGCTTGTGCCTAGCGCGAGGTGGTGCAAGTTGTGTTTTATGTCGGCAGCATGGTTGGAAATATAACGTGTAGCTTCGAGCCATAACCTTTGTCGCGTCCAATTGCTTGATCGAGTACCAAATCAGCAAAACATCTTTCACCATGGCTTGAACCTCTGTGTTCTGAGCGTAGTTCGCCTCTAGCGCTTCCTTTAACATCTCTACCTTGCTGGCAGCCTGAGAGGTGATTTTTCGAGATAATTGATTTTTTTATAGAAGTAGAGGTACGTTGCGGAATCGAATCAGAATTGATCCTGAAGAGGTTTGGAGAGTAAGGGTAGAACTAGTAGATCTAGAACCCCTCAAATCAAGTTCTTTTCGATTGCGTAATAAATTATACAATTTAGACTCAAGAACATAGGACAAGTCAAATGAGGTCGTCAAGTAAACTACAATCTTCGCGCTCTCGTCAACGCTCGCGACCAAGTCTTTTGCTGCTGAGATACTCGAATCCAGTGTCGAAACGGTACTCTTGGTCTCGCCAGCGTCCTTTTGGATGGCCTCTATGTCCTCACGGATAGGCTCAAACTGTGCCACCGTCTTCTCAATGTCATCGGCGACGTCGTCCTATGGGGGGTAGTTACTTTTTAATCAGGTTGACTCCAATGAAATTAGAATCTTTTGCTATTCATTGTTCCCACATACTAAATTAGACCTTACTCGCCTTGTCTTCGTCAAGGGTAGACAACTGAGTAGGCGGATTACCTTGCTCGCCTTGTCTTCGTTGAGTCTAGACAACTGGTCTTGCAGGTTCTCAATCCTAGCTGGAAACCCGAGTTCATCTAACTGCTTCGGCACGTCAGGTATCCTCCTTGTGTATTCGGCTGTTATCCTCTTTATTGTCGTCTCATACATCGCCTGCACCTTCCACGTTTGAAACGGGTCCTTTATGCGGGAACGGAGCTGTTGTTGGTGAGTGAGAATGTGGTAATAACAGAGACATTAATAATTACATACATAGGTGAGTGAGAATGTGGTAATAATTACATACTTTGGTAATAACAGAGACAAGAGTTCGATCTATTGTTTTTGTTGTCGCCACTTTCTTGAGTGAGAGAATATCTAAAAGAATCAGAATGCTCACTCGTGCCTGTGATGGTGGTGCATTACCAAAGTTACAACTTAATTTCACCAACAAGCATAAGAATTGCTTCAAAACTCATCTAGAAGTAAAAAAAATACGAATTTCGTAAGTGCCGCCATGCCCATTCTCCTCCTCGCGTTGATCCAACTCTGCTCTCTCCAATGATGCAGGAAATTTTTCGTGTCTGTTTCGATTTTCCTGTCTGCCTGCACCTTGCTCAGGATTTGCAGGCAGTATTTCACCAAGTTCTGAACCTCCGCAACCTTGTCCGCAGCATTCGTTTGTAGTTGCTTTTCTAATTGTTCAATGCGTTTCACATTGAGCTCCTCCACCGCCTTCGGCACCTCATTCCACATCTGCTGATATTTCTTCGAATACTTCGCGTCAAGCTCCAATTGTTGCTGTGTTTAACGTCGTGAATTGTTTAAGGGAAAAACTTATCACGGAAAAAGAGGACTGGAAGGAACCTTCAAAAACAAGACAACGACCAATCTATTATAGTCGTACTAAAAATGATTTGAATACATAGGAGTGCATTCTTTCTTACTCATACAGGGAAAAACTACTTACCATTTACCAACTTTTTACAGGAAAAAACTAATTCCTGCTCCACTCTTTTGATGCCTTCATCGAACAAAATATTGAATAATGAATCTTTTCATCGAGTAAATTATAATCTTTCCTAGACTTATAGGAAAAACTACCCCCTCCACTCTCTTGATGCCTTCATCGAATTTGGTAATGATATCCTGCAACTTCTTCTCGTCTCTCTGGTATGCTGCCCATTCGTTGTCGATTTTCGTGATCCGCACCTCAAATTCCTCACATTTTTCCTTGGACAGGATCGATTTCGCTTCAGTCTCCGCTAGCTTCAAGTCTTGCTGGGCTAGTCGAGGAATGAACTCGGCTACTTTCTCGAGTTCCTAGGAGTGTATTTGTTCAGGGAAGATTTTTGAGTGAAGAGAGACGAAACGGTTGAAGACAATAAATTCTGCTTCCGCGAAAGGGTCAAGAACTGACACATAATTCTCGAGTTCATCTACTGCCCTAAGATGCAACTACTAACTAAAACTATGGCAAAAATCTTCAAATACCGGCTTCACTTCTGCCCACCTCACATCGAAGTCCTTCTTCAGGGTGTCCACTTCCTGTTCCTCTAACTCCTTGATCCTCTTCTCGAACGTTCCCATGTTCTCCGACGACCCCTCCGTCATCTCACCCTTTATCCCCTTGATGTCTTCCTGGAGCTTGGCAATTTCCTCCTTTCTTCCGTCCAACTCCGTTTGCAAAGCTGCGATGGAGGTTAGAGGTCCAGGTCTTCCAATGTGTCAAAAGGGGATCATCATGAGCCATTGTTCTCTAGCGAACAAAATCTTTTTAATCTATCTTTAGCGATGAACAAAGAAAACATGAGAAACTTTTACTTTTTATCTACTCTAGTCATAACTGTTCATCTTTCGACGATAGCGTCGAGCCCATCTCCTCCTTCCATTCTTGGAGCTTCTTGATATCCTCCGCGATGGAGGGAAAACAGACGCCAAAATCCATCTTGTTCCCGAGTGGTATTGTAATAGGTGTACTAGAGTTAGTACTAGAGTGTTATTGATGACTAGGTGTGTGTTATTGATGTTGACTGGGCGGTTAGAGTGTTGCTGACTCGAGTAGATGTGGAGTGTTTTTGACTGGTGTTGAACGGGTCTCGGAGCCAACACGCCGAATCGGGAGGTCGATTATTCTATCTTGTGGTTGTACTAGTCGCGCTGCGTACGTCGTTTCGATTGCGCCGCGCTACTGTCTCGCTCAATTTTCTGCTTGCAAACGACGTCCGAACGCAATCCAAACTCGACAGTCCGTCTGCGCGACTGTCAGATTCGCACAGCACGAAGTAACGACACAGCAGAGGACGCTCCACAAGAATGGCGCTAAGCGTATCCTGTTGTTTAGTACTCTCCCGAACAAATCGCTGCGATTCGCACCGGCCGCCGCGATCCCACCTCCGTCGGTGGCAGCGACATGTGCTGGAGATGATACATCCTCTGTTTTCTGTGTTTGTAAACCCTACTTATCAATTCTCCAAGTTATATGAAAAAGAAAATTACACAAGATTTTTCCAGAAGAACAAAGAACTAACAGGCGGTCTTTTTGGTTACGTTTGCAGTTGGAAGCACGTCCCTTTTTGCGAGTTTTGGGAGAAAATGCACTTCCAACGACTCTCCTTTGATACTCATCACTAGACTGCGTGTGTCTGTTACTGCCCACCGAGGCGCAGCATTGAGTAAACGAACGACCACAATATCGGTCTATTTTCGACAAAGGTTAGCTCGTCGATTCTTACAACGACTCAGAATCAATTCAGAAACCAACAAACGACCGCAAGAATACAGTATTCTATTTCATAAAAGTGCTCTTCACAGCGTACAAAACATTTGTGGCATTCGTTATTCGGTCCATCTTTTCTTACAACTTGGACGTTTATTACTTTCCTACCATTTCTCACACATCTCTCTATCAAGGGGTTTCTCTTTTTGCAGCTCCAAACGCTGCTCGAAGCTTTGTCGATAACTTATCGCGAATAGACAATAGTACTGTGAAAAAAGCAATCTACTAGACTAAATGAAGATGAAAATACAGTAAGGATTTATATTGATGTGTATTTCGTAATCATAACAAGCATAAGGTCTATCAAGAAAATCAGGTCAGTAGATCAAATATTCGATGATCATCTCCACACCATTGTCGATAGCAAAGATCGATGAAAATATAAGAAGCCACAGAGTATTCGTAATCAAGAAAAGTCATAAAAATCCGCACCCTACTTACAAAAAAAAATGAGTTACTTATAATTGTTCGATACACATACGACTAGAACTAAAAACTTGAAACAAGACATACTTTGCTGTCGTTACATCAAGACAAGGCTATCACTGAATGCACTTCCGATGAAAAAGCCTCTCCCTCTCCTGCCACAGAAGCGACGACCTGCAGATCGTTCCTACCTAGTTGTACTCGCAACCCGAACCCACCTACAAATTCGGAGGTCAGCTGCGTTTTCCCCTTCTCGGAGCAGTGCACCCCAGAGTCAAAACCACCTTTGCCTGCTCTGCGTGTCCTGCAACCTACCCTTGGTCACGCTGATCGCTAAGTCCTTTCATCGCAGCACTGACGACTGACCTGCACTGATACTGTGACACTACCATCACCTATTCACCCCGATCAGCTAGAATCTTACCCCGTTGTAGTATCCTTCAGCGCCCTCTCCTCTTAGCCTCTGATATCCTTCAGCGCCTTCATGGCCTTCTCCTCTGCCATATCCAGTTTACCGATCATCAAAAAGGCCAATTCCGGCAAGTGGTCCATATCGCCCTTGAGCATGCGTTCGAAATCGCTCAAGATCGTTTCGAGGTCGACGAATTCACCGGAGACGCCTGTTTATTTGGAATGGGGTTTTTCCCTTTGAAGATGAGAGAAAGTTTCCCGATTATAAGATCACATCTCATATAAAGTAGAAAAGTGTAGTGGAGGTAAGAAAGATCTCCAGAAACCATACGCTGTGCCATCCAGATCTCTCTCAGCAATGTGAACATCCAAAACATAGACAAAATGTTGCTCTACTGTTCGAAAAGATTGAAAATTGACACTCGACGTGGTACCAACATCTTGAAGGAATGATAAGTGTGACCATCTTTTATCATCATCATTGTCGTGTCGCAAAAGGTTATTCTCAACCTTCGGCAAGACAAAACAGTTCCTGATATGATCCCGAAGGATGGTAAGAGGAAGCGCAAAGACAAATCAGTACCTGTAAACACTTCCGCCACGCTGAATGGTTGCGACATGAACTTCTGCACTCGTCGAGCTCGGTTGACAGTGGCCTTGTCTTCTTCTGACAACTCGTCAAGACCCAACACTGCGATGATATCCTGCAAATTCTTGTAGTCCTGCAAGATCTTTTTTGTTGCTTGGGCTACTGAGTAATGTCTTTCGCCGATGAGTTCCGGATCCATCAATCGACTCGTGCTATCCAATGGGTCGACTGCGGGGTAGATACCTGCGTGTTTGGATTGAGGGATGGATGGTTGGATGAAGATGAATGAAAATTTCCTTGTATCAGCCTCAGAGTCGAAATGATTCTTCACAAGATTGTTGCTCTGCCTCATTTTCTACTTAAACGATATCCTAACTATCCGAACAAGAAAATAGAGATGAGTACCTAAATCGGAGATTTCACGACTGAGCACTGTCGTTGCGTCCAAGTGAGCGAATGTCGTCGCTGGTGCTGGATCGGTCAAATCATCTGCTGGGACGTAAACCGCCTGTGGTGGACGAATAAATGTGGAAGAAATCGGATGATGATGATGATGATTTCTTGATGTAACATCAGTGTTGTAGAAGAAGATGACAAGGAGTCGGTGAATTTGAATACCAAGTAGTCTTCAGTGTCTTTTTGTTGAGAAGAAGTCGGTGAATTTGAATACCAAGTACTTCGTCTTCAGTGTCTTTTTGTTGCTACCTAACAAAACCAAAGGTGAAACCATGGAGTGAGTGTTCAAAAATACTCTGCTTCTATTAATATCCTAGTAAGTACCTGCACTGACGTGATACTGCCAGTTGCGGTCGTTGTAATCCTTTCCTGCATGCCACCCATATCAGTCGCCAAAGTCGGCTGATAACCCACAGCGGACGGAATACGACCCAAAAGTGCTGACACTTCTGCTCCGGCTTGGGTGAATCTGTGTGAAAATAGCAGCTTCTTTTAGATTGACGTGTGCGAATAGTGAGAATAGCAGTCGTCTTAGTACTTAATAGACATAAAAAAAATACCGGAAAATGTTGTCGACGAAAAAGAGCACGTCCTGATTCATCTCATCTCGGAAGTATTCTGCTAGGGAGAGACCGGTCAAGGCAATACGCTGACGAGCACCCGGAGGCTCGTTCATTTGACCGAATGCTAAGCATGCCTTGGAACCTGTATGTTGGTTATGTTTTTAGGAGAATTAAGAGTCTAGGGGTAATGTGCTGCACGCAGTGTGGTAGTGTTGATGTGGTAGGCTTCGTAGCACTAGAGTCGTTGCAGCAGTAATGTAGTAGGTGCAGTAGGTATTGTACAGATTTTCAGAATTTTTTTCCACATCCACTGAATATGCTTTTTAGAAAATTTAGAAATCTACATGATTTATTATCCTTCTTCAACATTCAAGAACCGCAATTGGCTAAGCACGCAACTAAAAACACCATGTCCTCCTCCCTGCGTGATGACGCCACCCTCGATCATCTCCCAATACAGATCGTTGCCTTCACGCGTTCGCTCGCCTACACCTGCAAACACCGAGAAACCACCGCGATTTAGAGGTGATATTCCTACTTACCTCACCCCTGTGGAGATCCCTCAACAAGAAAGAGTAGCCGCGTCATGCCCTTAAGGGACTCCTGCGGGGGCGCATCTTTGACACCGCTTGAATACCTCCTAAAAAGAAACTGAACCTTGTCAAAGTTACGTCTCTTCCTCTTAGGAGAGAAATTGGAATATTGGAAGCATCGTGAGACGAGCCTTAAGTGATGCGTGGCGATATTTGCGATGAGCTCCATGATGACGACTGTCTTTCCAACGCCTGCACCCCCAAAGAGACCAATTTTCCCACCCTTGGCGTAAGGGGCCAGAAGGTCGATCACCAGGAATTAGAAAGATTGTTGAGGCGTGTGGTGTGTGTGGTCAGGTGCTAAAATCGGTGCAGGGTCTTGAGGGTAGCAATGACTCAATATCCTGGCGATATCAAATCGAGCGAATTTGTGTCGTTGGTTGGTATCTCTGCGAACAAAACGACTGCATCTTTGCGAACAAATAAACGACTATTGATTATTGTGTAGAATTGCTGCAGAATTGAAATATTCGAACGACGAAATAACGGAAACTCCATGCACATGGGGACTTCTCCGTCACAATAAAGGTGATTTGCTAAAAATCACATTTATAGAAACGTCTGCCCATAATTGATTCCTGTGGCCAGCTGGGTTCCGCCAGCACCAAGCTGTTCGAATGTCGGACTCGGTTTATGGATTGGCGCAAAGGCACCACCCTTCGCAATTGGTCCTTGATCATCGATCGGCTCACCTAAATGCGACGACAAGGATATACTTACACAGTGACTAGAACAACGACGAGATCCATACAGAGCACGAAAAATTGCACGACGGAAAATCATTTTATACCTAGCACATTTATAATGCGTCCCAAGGTTGGCTCGCCCACTGGCACCGTGATCGGTGCACCCGCGTCTATCACACCCTGGCCTCGTGTCAGAAGGTCTTAGAGCCTAGGAGGCGAAATTCAAAAAAACAAAAACATTTTCTAGCTGATGCCTGTACAGTGAGTACTGTGAAAGTAATTAGCACTATGTTACCAATGAGAAAGTCGTTCTGATTGTGAGAGTAGGCCTACCGTTGCTGGTTCCACTGTCATGTAGAATTCAGTGCTATTGTCTTCAAGCCAGTAGCAGTAGTGTCATCCACAAGTCTTCGGTTGACTCCTGTAAAATCTACATGCATCTACTAGGAAGACTCACTTACCATAAATATGAAAGTAAAAATCAGGTAGAGTAGTTGACGTCTCTAGAACAAGAGAAATATACAGCTAAAAAAATCGAGCCAGTTGCGCTAGGATGTTCTTGAAGAAGTATCAATCCTCCTGCACCATCAGGACATCCCTTCATAACCTTCTGTTCCATCCATCGCTACCGTTCGGACGATGTTTTCGCCCAAGTGCTGAGCCACCTCCAGGACAAGTCGTCCGCGTGTGCCCTCTGAAGTAAGCACATCTTCTACCTGGGAGTTTAGTCACAACTCACTTCCTGTGATTATCACTCTATCTTCGGGTAAGTCGAGTACTTCCTGTCTATCAGATAGGTAGAGTACTGATTTTGTTTTCGTCATCGTGTTAAAGTTCACGTATTCTAATCCTTCTGAAGGAAGCACATCTTCCACCTGGGAGTCCAGTCACAACTCACTTCTTGTGATAAGTAGAGGCTTTGATGCCTTACGCCTCCAAAGCCGCAATTAATAAACGTGGAAGTGCAGAAGACCGGCGTACTATACCTCCAAAGCCTGGTTGATCGGTGGCAGCTTTCCTCCGTCGAATTTTACGTCGACGACCGCACCAATGACAGCTGCAATGCTGCCCTTTGTGCCTCCAGCAGCTAGCGCTTTCGTGACGAACTCATTCTGCTCAATCTTTGCGGCAGCCGCAAATTGGCGTGATTGCTCGGTTAAGAGCCTGCGGCTCAACCGGTGGCTCGGCCGACAAAGACGGCTGAACATTGCTTATAGTCCTCCTTGCTTATGTCTTCGTATTGATTCAGTTTTTGCCTGTTCTCTCTTGAGTTCCAAAAAGAAATAAAAAGTACAACTTCTACATGAAAGACAATATAGGATGATCTCTCGTCTCAAACGACTCGGTGGAGAGAGAAGGAGGAATGATAGAGAAGATGAAGAAATAAAAACCAGAGAGCCACTGCCACCATAATATTCAATATGATATAGTAGTTAGTCCAACACCACCGGAGCCTGAGAAAACACCGATATCAATCCTAGTATAGGATACACAAGCTCTCAAACAGAACTTCATCTCAGATTCATTGTGAAGTGAAAAAAAATTAAAATGTCGTCTCTCATGGTTAGCACACATCGTGCATCTGAGCATATGATGAAGTGTCATCTCTCATACATTACCAAACATGGTGGGTGCAACTCCTCTTTTACAAATTGTTGTCTACACATCAGTGCATGCTGCATTCTTCGCCTAAAAGAACACAACTGAGAAGCAGCCTTTCTCCCACAAGACGCAGAATTCAGCATCGATGATGACAAAGAAATTCAATCAGGATTCTTCCAGGATACGTTCCTCGCACTTGCAGGATTTCTTCTCTACACGACTCCTTTCTTCATCTGCCATCTTCCGCAAACAACTGAGCCTCCTCGTCATCCAGTGCTTGTCTCTTACAGGTCTAGTACTTTTAAGAGGTCCAAGCAAGACCAAAGACAAGCAAAAATGTCCTGTAAATTATCATCTGGGCTAGAATGATGGAGGTAATTGCTACAGACGCAGCCGCTACTGTCCATTTTTTCGTCTAGAGTCGCAATCTCACACACACATTCCAAGAACGTTGCACCGATAGAACCCCGCGCATGGTTCTGCTTTTAGACCTCTCCCCTATTCATCCCCGTGGAAATCCCTCAAGCAGAACATGCCCCGTCAGCATCTTCTCCTTTGTATTGGGGACGCATACTGTTCTGCTTCAGGGATGTCTGACCCCTACAGAAGAGATGGATGAGGGGAAGCCTTAATACTTCTGTTTGAAGATTAAACTACTGATGAAGGAATCGTCACTAGCCGAACGTCTACTTAGTAGATGATCCGATCCTTCTCCGCATCTAATCGTCATCCTTCTCCGCATGCGGATGCACAGTGGGCCGGTGCGCGTAGTCATCGGCTTTCGACCGAGGCGGGTTTTTAGAGAATGCCACCCAGTGTGCATCTAAAAGAGATGAATCATCATGATTTTCAAGTCAGAGTTGTACTGGACGAAAGATGATTATAATAGGAACGATTACAAGCTACATGAAAGATCATCAACAATAATCGAGTTAGACGGTGTAGGCTATGAACAATCGTCTACAACAATGAGCCACATCTTCACACTATCATCACCGATTCTCATCTTGCTTACTCTCTCAACCAATCAAGTTCAAGTTATAGGATAGGATAGGAGTTGGCTCACCTATGAGGAGGTGAGTTATGTAAATTGACTCTGGTCTTAAGATTCGGCGGGTTCACGAATAGGATAGGGGCCTAAGACTAGACTAGGTACTTACCAGCAAGGTGATATCAACTAAGGCAACAAGGAAAGCAAACAGAAGCTGGTAAAGCAGAAGTTAGCAGACAAAGAAGCTGAGAAAGAAGAACGCTAACGTAAAGCGTGATAGCCAAGGTAGCAAAGTCGGTAAGAAGTTGCGAAAACAAGATGTGAGATCAACAGTTGAAGAAAACTCCTAACAGGTACTACAAAGTTGCGAAAACTACATGTGGAATCTTAAGATTAGGCGGGTTCACGGATAGGAATCGGTAGTTGTAGTACCACATCGAACCCCATAGGGTTACAGAAAACATAACCCACCTCCCAAAATCGATCCACCAAGGCGTAAGCAGCATTAGAAAGCATTCTTGGGACGACAGAACAAGGTTGGGTTGGGTCCACCTAGAAGGATAGGATTAGAAAGCTGAAGATACTCGGGAGAAGCATCTCTCTAAAAATATTCGAACTTTGGGAGAAATATCTTTCTGCTACCTTGGGAGACTGGAAGAGATGGCTCTCTGAGATTGGGAGAAATATCTTTCTTCTAGCGAAAAATAGAACCAACAGTTTCCTGCATGTGTAGGTCATGTCATTACTTGTTTAACCGTACTGTCATTTGCTACTAATTTTTATACGTCGCTGCATCAGTAGCTTCTATTAATCTTACAGATTTATTCTCCTCGGTGAAAGAACGAGCCAGAGCCCCCTCATTGAAGAAAATACACGAACTACTTAGTAGTACCATTAGAAACTAATGTACGCTTACCAAAGAGGCCATAAGTAGACTTCATGCTGCGCCATCCTGTTGTGGAGAAGCTGGAAATCGTCTGACATAGACTAGACAAGAGGTTTGCCACGAGGGAAAAAGTAACCGGTTGTTCTTACCAGAAATAGAAGTCACAACGACCATTTTCACAGGAATGCATTCACCATTGACTACCTCCATGAAAAGACCATTAAGGTATCTTCAGGGACAGTTCCATTAAGGTATCTTCAGGTACCTCCATGGAAAGACCGTCCACTCCTACATGGAAAAACCACAACTTGCACTTTAACTACAACATATAGAGGTATCTTCTATGGAGTACCTCCATGGAAAGACCACTTCTTTGGTCTCTGGGCATAGCTTGTCATGCTCCCATGCCCCGAACTCTGCTGGCTGTGTTTATCAAAGAAACTCAAAACAATATAGACTATGATAGTACTGGTATAATTTCATCTATTCCTCCTCTTAAATATTAACGAGCATCAAGAAAATATACTGGTAGTCTATGAGTTCCTGTAATCATAATGAATTGCTGCAAACATCATGGCATGAAACATTGCTCTTTTTTGTTCCCCCTAATTTGCGCTCCTGCTTCATCAAATATCTATTTCTATGTTCTGCATGGTCATGGTCAATTGCCCAGATCAGTATTCCGAAACTGTCGACGTGATAATTTTCCAACTTCAAAATGTCCTGTACAGTACCACTTTCGGCAAAGGTGAGGCGAATTGCATCAATCCCGGAAACACTGGGCCCATGTAAACCCCCGGCTTTTTTCCTCCAAAACGTATCCTACTCCTGCCGATCAGGCCAGCACGCCTCGCGACGGCGCCTGTGAGCATCTTCTTGGACTGTGAAGTCAACACTGATTAGTTCTGTTTTTGTTCTTGAGCTAATATTTAAGAAATCGAATGAACTACTTAATAAATGGCAAACAACTATATAAATTTTTGCAAGACAGGACACGCCTTTTCATATAGCAACAAATTTGCTATAAAAGTCCTGAAACCGACTCCTTCTCTTACTTTCTCTCTCTCTTTCTTTCTCTGTCACGCAAGCGGATACCCATAGCACCCTCATTCGTCACATTGATTAGTGCGCAGCTAAATTCTATTGGACCGAAGAATATTTTTTTAGACGTTTTCTCTACCTCCAAGCCCTCGTCTTGTGTCTCCCTCAGGCAGCGTGAAGACCGAGTACAGGAACTTTGAAAGCTTGCTGAAGCAATTGCCAGTTGATTCAGAAAAGAAGTGCCTCGATGTCGCTAATGTGTACTTTTTGTACAACAATAAATCATGGTGCGTGTAGCGGACGTGTCAATGCGTATGAGCGTATGGTGTAGAGGACGTATCAATGCAATTAGTGCGTGGGGGATGGGTGCCTGTGGGCGTGCGTGGGTAGGTCAGAACAATTACAGGATTGCATAAAATATAATGTCCATGTTCGCGTGCGTCATGATATGAGGTACAGAAAAAACTACCACATAGATGTGTTATGGATACGTAATATGTTGGAAATTGAGATCGTGTTCTTTTGATCCTTCTCAAGATCGCTCAACGAACTTGTTATCCAAATTACTTTTCAAATACTAGCTACTATTTTGGATATGTTTTTGTATTTTCGCTAGCCTTTCATCGTCACGATCGTTCACCAAGCTCGAGCAATCCCGCTTCCGTTTGTCTTTTTTCTCGTGATAGGCTAGTTTTTCCTCCAATGACGGCGCCTTTGAGCGGTCCAGCAACCTCGTGTATCCGTTTCCGCCACCAAACTGGGGTTGGGACCTTTTTCGGGGGTCGAGAGCTAGGTTGTGTTCTGAGTCCGCGCCAGCCGCCTCAGCCATGCAGGCGAGGACCGCAGCGTCGCGCCGTGCTGCTAGCTGCATCTCTTTCAGACTAAATGAGGACGAAGGGCAAACTTGCGGAGAATAGAGGAAAGTAGAAGGCGTAAAAGGAGGTCCAGTCGTGGAGCTGGAGGTCCTTGAAGATGATGTAGATGTAGATATCGCTGGGGCCACGACTACAGCAGATGAAGAAACTGGAGTGTTCGAAGATGTGGAAGTTGATGTAGGTCCAGGAGCCTTCCCTGGCTCTACTAGTATTTTTTGCTTTTCAGCTAGTACAGCTTCCTTGTTTTCATCTACGGCAATTGCTACTCTCTTCTCATCTTCGCCAACCTCTACCTTTTGTTTCTCCTGCTTGATTTCGTCGAAATAGCAGTCGTAGAGAACCAAACCCGCTTCATCCGCTAAATCGTAATTCGGCTTCCTAGGGTGCTTCACTATGTCCAAGAGCTCTTTGACGATTTCCACGTCTTCCCGTCCTTCCCCCACTAGGAACAGGACGCTCATGATGTATCGGATCTGGTGCCACAGGAAACTGATGCCCTTGATCTCCACCTCAATGACGTCTTCTTCTTGGTTCCCCAACTGTTGAAGCCCTCCTGTACCTTCTTCAGTACAGAAACTATTGACGTCTCTCCTAGTCGGACTCCATGAGGATGCCGATGAAGTCCCAGTCGCACCACCTCCAATCGACAGTCCAGGCACCCGTCGTAGAGAAATCGACAAAATTCTTCGGACGAAATTCGTAGTTTGGTCCAAATCCATGCGACAGAAGTTGCGGAAATCATGCTCACCAACTAACAGCTCAGCTGCTCGTTTCATTCGGTCCAAATCTCGCTTGCGCTGGACGAAAAAATAGCGGTAGACGCGATACAAGCAGGAGAAGCGAGCGTCGAAGGTGTCCGAAACTGGCCAAATTTGCAGTACCCTGATATCTGGTGGCAAGCAACCATTCAGCATCTTAATCCGTGGGTCGGGACGAGACAGAGTGCTGACACGACTTGTTGAAGAACTACTACCACCACTACTCCTAGAAGGAGCTGCGTTCTTTGCTGTTGACGAGGATGAAGGATGCGTCTTCTCACTGCTCTTTTCAGAACCGAGAGGAGGAGCTCGAGTATTGCGCTCGACATTCAGCTTCCGCATATAGCACGCAAAGTAATTGCCACTTGCATGCACACCTTTGTCGGTGCGTCCGCACCTAGAATACTTGCTTTTTTCCATACCGCGAAAGAGCTTAGTCATCTCCATGGCATCGAACAATTTTTCTTCCACAGTCGCTTCTATAGTAGGCTGGTTCGTCTTACTCTGGTAAGCGAGACCTGGGAAGGAATAGCAATGATGCGTGGGATATGGTCGTGTTTAGTCATCCTAAATAAATATAGAGTAAAAGTTAGGGAGGAAAGCATGGAATAGGAAAGAGTGATAAGGCCAAGTAGAACTATCGGTATAAATACATACCATGATATTTTGTCCCGTAGTAGGCGAATTTTACGCAAACTTTCTCGAACTCGGCAGTGGACCAGTCAAATTCACGCTTTTTGTTAGCCTTACGCCCTTTTCTTTGCCTCGCTGTGGAAGATGCCTGGGCTGAGACGCTGGCAGTCACGTCCTCGTCCAGTGAGTCCTCATCTAGAGGCCGTGACTCCACGGTCATAGATGTGGTGTGCTCCTTCATTTTGGTCGTCTAGAAGTTGGACAAGAGGTCGTCAAGGGTGGAGTTAGACAAGGGAAAGTAACCGGTGAAAGTTCAACAATAAAGATTCAGACTGATTGGTGTTGAAGAGATGTTAACACGGATATGAAGACCAGATGTTCTATGATGAACAAAAACAAATGATCGCGAGAACTAACTGTGACGATTCGTAGTCGAACTAAACAAATGATCGTCGATTCGTGGTCGTTAGCAGATGCACTTAATCCATGCTAAAAAAATGGCTATCGATTGAGTGACAAAGATAGCCTAAGCAAGGGGCAACAAGATTGATATCAAGGAACAAATGGGGATAAAAAATGATGAGGGTCGCTGATGAAATCGAAAAGGATAGGATGTGATTCGCCATCCACAGGTTAAGACTGTGCCGTCACAAGCAACTTGATTCTCCAGGTTAAGTTTGTTAGGTCGTTGGGGATCCTTCACATTGAGATCTGGTGGATAGTGCTTCAGAGATCTTTTCGCAACTGTGTGAAAGTGCCTTTACAGATCGTTCTTCGTCGGAACTGGATCTTGATAGCAGAACCAGAGGTAGGTAGATCTGTATCCCGATAAGAGAAACGTCATGTCATGGCTATAGCAGAACCAGAACTGTAAGTACATCTGTATCCCGATAAGAGAAACGTCATGTCATGGGAACCTCTTCTGTACAGCTCTCCAGAACGCCTGGGACATTATAGATGAGCAGAAACTCTACAGATGCAGCTCATCGTCGTGGTCTCTTCCTCCGAGCATGGGCACGGTGGCTTTTTCTTCCTAGACTGACTGCTTCGAGAGTATCATCATCATTGTGTCTCAAATGCTCATTCTCTACCATCGGCTTCGACAATAAACGGAAAAAACAATAAATTGCACCTCTAGGTAGTGGTCCTATTCTTCACCATCTGAATCTCAAATGCCAACCGTAAGTCTCAAACTGGTCCACAGCGCCTTAGCCATGTTGAGGATCATTTCTTTAGAGGTTACCGCGTTGCACTCTTCAGAACATCCTTGACCTATTTCCCCCTTGAAAAGGAGCCAAGGATGGTTGTGAAGGATGCAGTGTGGAAACCCTTAATTTCTCCTGGTTTCTTAGGATCCAATTCAAAACTTCGCTCTCGTTCCTCCCGTGCGATGTCGCCATGAGCGGCACTTAGAGAATCTCTAACAGAAATGGTGTAATTTGCAGCTATTCCTCCTACTAACACACACTGAGTAGTAACAAGCTTGCCTCCTTCCATTTGATTTTCACATATATTCGTGCACGATGATAGATTTGAATTAAGATATCTTCAATGGTATATATAGGCTTGTAGTAGCTAGTGGCCATAATCCCAGTACTCGCATTTGACCTACACGACGATGCGTCAGGCGGCTTCGGGCCTCTTTCCTGTTGCTTTTGGCATCTCCAGACCCAGTTCCGGAAACGTCCACGCTATTGAGAAGTGGAAGAGAAGAAGATCTTGGAGATGAAAGAGGTGTTGCTTGTTCTTGGGTATCATCGAATTGGTCTGTATCAGTGGTTTGCTGAGCATCATCGGCTTGTTGAAAATCATCGACTTGGTGAAAGTCATCGGATTGCCGAAAATCATCGGCTGGTTGAGCATGATCCTCAACTTGAGCATCATTGACCGCAGCATCCTTCCGCCCACTGACGATCTCCACATCTTGTTCTTGGTTATTCATCTTCTCATCTACTTGGCTATTTTCCATCTTCTCGTTCTGTTGGTTGTCGTTATCCACCTGGTTCTCTACTTGCTCAACATCTTCGTGGCCGTCGAAGGGAGAAGATGCTGCATGAGCTGTGTCGAAGTCCTGCTGCGGTGTGTCCAATCTCCTGTCTGGTGTATACAGGCCTTCCTGCTTTGCCTTGTCATTTTTACCAACAGTATCATGGGCTTCTGCCAGTTTCTTCTCCACGGCTTGCATACACGCTACTGTCCTGCAGCGATGCATCTGCCGTCTATACTCTTCAACACGACTATGATGTTGCAAGGCTCCTCCCTTCGTCCTAGTACGATCAAATGAACTAGAACGGCGAGGACGATTGTTCAGCATGTGAACAACTTTCCCAGAGTTTCTTGGTCGTGTTCGTTTTCGTTCTTGTAGAGAGTGCGAGTGGTGTGCAACTGTGCGACGGTCGTAGAGATCCTGCTGTGGCTGGACGGGCGATATTAGAAGTACATCCTCTAGAGTAAGTACTCTCGTTGCTAGTTTAATACTGAATATTCGTTAGTTCAGTTGAGTTCAGTTTTCATCCCGAAGACAACATTAACACATTTATAGTTTAGAAAGAAAGAATCACAATGAAAATCTTCAGAACCCTTGCCCTTAACGAGGAATCTTCAATCTTATTCCTGTGTCAAAATAACAAGGCCCTTCCACTCATACAAGCGGATCATCTCCTACCTCCGATTCCTGCTCATCTGCCTTTACGTCCTCTTCCTCAGCGGTTGTCCCGTCTCTTTCCTCAGCATTCGTTGTCCCATCTCTTTCATTTTCTTCTTGCATTAGCCGTATCAAGTAGTTCAACGTCCTGTTCTTGTGACTTACGTAGAAGGGGCTGATGTAGCTGAAAAGACTCCCAATATCAGAAAGAAAGGCAGCACAGCCATCACTTAACCTGAATCACTTCTCAATGGCCCTAGCATGCGCGCTCACGACTCCTACAACGTGTTCACAAAAAAAAAGCAACTATTCTTAGACTTGTAAATAACTCTCACAATTCATACAACGTGCCCCACTTCCAGTAGACCCCACCCGTAATTGGAAAAAGAAAGCCCTAAGCCTTAATTTTGTTGATGGCCCTAGATCTTAGAGACTTCTCTTCTTATGTTAAAACGTGCCTTAACTGTAATTCCCGAATCATGCGTTGTCGTTTGCGCTCATCCATGTCGCCTTTAGAATCCGTCAGGACTGCCAGTCGCATATTCCTCGCAAATCGTTTCATGAATTCAGATGTAATTTCATGAGTAGAGTGTGCGTCTCGACGGGCAGCTTCATCTTCCGCAGCTTCGTCGTAGGCATACAACTGTTGTTCTTGGGTACTTGATGGTACAACATCTGCAACACGGTTCTTTTTGAAGATGCCTCGTCCACCTCTTCTTCCGCGTCTGCTACTTCTGGCACTTGTGCGCCCTCTTACTCTAGTACCCCTGCTAGAAGAAGAAGGCGCAGAAGTATCCTCATCTTCTACGCCGTCGTCGTGGCCATCTTCCTGGTCGTTTGGCATGCCCATGTTGTCGAAAAACATTCTAGCCATCGCCACATCTTGCTCTTTCCTTGCACCAGCACTAGTTCTGCGAAGATGACGCGAGGACGTCGAGAACTGGTTTCTCGATGCGGTTACGGACGTCCCAGCAGCAAAAGTACCACATTCTTGCGTTAAACACCCAAGACACAGGAAACCGAAGGAAAAAATCCGTCTCAGCATCCTTGATGTGCCGTAGCGACCACTCACTACCGACCACCAGCTGTCGCAGCAGCCGGCCTTGGCCGGGCTCTAGCCAGGCGAGAAGGTTGCGCTTCGGACAGGTCTCATGGATTTGATTGAGAAAAAAACTCCAACATGCTGTGGTCCTTTTCACCGACTTTTTTTTTCAGGAAGTAGTCTCTATTGATTTAGACACGTTTTCGTTTCCAAACTTTAGTAATTTTGGCAACCCAAACTCTTCTACTTTGAATCTCGGACGCTCTCAACTGTGTTCATCTTCCCACTCAAAAAAAGGATTTATGTATATTCAACGACCGCTCACAAAAACGATGAAGAAACGCCTTTTGCCGGTCACGCAAGTCCTCGAGTCTGAGGGTGTTGCAAGTAGTACGCTTAAGCAGCACAAGCGCTTCCAAAGTCTTATAGATACATAAGTAGATTATGTACACCATGACCGCGTCAACAAAAAGGGCTGCTTCCTTTAATGACAAGATAAAGGAGCATCCTACAAAATGGCAAGATACATTTATCCAGCATATTTCCCCAATATTATCACCGGAAATTGTCCTAGATCTCTAAAAGTGAATTTTACTGGTTCTTGTATTCGGTCGAATTCCGCACATGCTTTCCGGAACGTCTGTACTGTATATCCGAAATGGTCGACGAAGTTGCTGGGGGTATGAAAAGGGAATGATCAATACGGATCAGTAGGTACAACTAAATGGGTAGATTATATTTCCAGCATCCAGACGCTGCGTACAAGACCACATAGTCGAAAAAGTACTAGTGAGTTTTGCGTTAGTACAAGATTTACATTGTCAAGTAGACCCTCATTAATATAGGTCATGATATTATTGTGAGAACGACATCTTCCGTAAATGATACGAAAACAAGAAAACGCCTAGTCCTGGAGCCATTAGACAATAAGGCATGATCCAATCAGACCTCCTCATCCTGATCCATATTCAACATAAGTTATATCCACATTCCCTCGTCGCTTTCGCATGATTTTAGCTTCCGAACCGGGATGATGAGCGACGAAAGCGGACAAATCTAAGACGTACCCATTCGCCACAACCCATAGATCCTCTCTTGACGAATGCTTGAGAACTTCTGCCCTAGTGACAAGTGTTCGAACCGCCGACATCGTGGCAGCCATTTTATTTCAGAAGTGGAAGCTCGGTTGTAATGCCGTGACTTAGACTGTAAAAGTTTTTTGCTCGTGTAGTTCTAGTTGGTACAGCACATTCTAAGCATTCGCTATTAAGACTCCTACAACACAAGGACTACATCATCTCTTCTTGAAAAGCTTTTGTACTAGTTGTGTTTTTTGGTATGTTCATCTACAATCGGTTTCCCACTAAACTTTTTTATATGGGCATTTTCAAAGGACCTGCTTCGTCACTTTCCAACATTGACCGTCCTCCCTGCAAAGACACAATATGTTGAGTAACTTCTTCAGCACAGTAACTTCTTGCGACAATGTTACAGTCACCACCTTAACAAGTAGAGTCTTCAGTTGGATTTGCAGACTTCTATGGTCGAGTTTCTTAGATGATCATGGGTCGGAGATTCACGTGCTCACTCGATGACGATCGCCCTAAAGCCACAGCTTTCAATCCAATAGTTTTCGGCTTTCCAAGCAACAAGGTCGTGGAGAGAGGTGGAGAGTTCATCTGGTAGTGGTGAAAAAGAAGAAATGGCTAAAAGTGAAACCTTTTGATACTCGCTTCGCGAAACAAGTCGCAGGTCAAGATCACGGATCATACCCTGAAGACACTGTGCTATTCCTCCGTTCGAGTCTCATACGACGAGCGTTGTAGCCGTCGACGACTTTTGCCACCTCTGGGTCGTACCCTTGCATTCCACCTGAAGAAAGATCCCGATCACGCCAAAATATAGCCAATTTCGTGCTTCGGTGATCCGCAGGAGATGGAACCACATGGCGGACAGACGGTTTCGTAGTTCTTTCGTTCGTCTTTTCCACTCGGAGGTCGTAAAAACCATACTTCTGCATATCCACAATTTCGTCCTTCTCTACCTCCTTATCTGATGAGTCTGACTCTGACATCGCCTTAGCTATTTTCCCTAGATACTCGTTGTCCATGTCGATCGCTAGTCCTGGCGCGAATTCCGGTATATACTGCAAAGCTACAAACTCGCAATGAGCGAAGACTTTCTCGACATAGAAATCTGCAGCAGCTCTGGAACGCAACTCGCTGAAGGCATAGTTTGATATGCACAAATCTTGTCGGGGTGGGACTTAGAGGAAGTGTTTCATCCCCAGGGAAAGGACTCCTTCAAAGGAGGCAAAACTCCCTGGCGAATAAAGTGTCTCCAACGGTGGAGTTAAGGTGTTGAGTGGGAAAATTTACTGTTTGGGCTGAGTTCCCATGTCAAGGATAGAACCTTGTAAACAACTGAACTCGAAGAATAGTGTCCCATAATCTCCAGCTTGAAACCTCTCTCGTCTTGGAAACAGCGACTCGCGTACACGCACAATGTCCTCAGATTCAAAGACTTCGGCTGACCGTTTCAATTTTTTCCCTGCATCTTCTGTCTTCTGAGCATCTGCAGACACTTCTTCATTAAGGTCAACATCCTTGTCGGTCCCTGCTAGCGTGTTCGCTACCTGCACCCGCTGATCATCTGTGCTGGTTGTCGCAGCTCCACCTTCTACTTGCAGTTTTTGCACGCTTTCAGGCACTATTGTCAACGCAGAAGTTCTTGGTAGAATTTCCAAATTGTCGAAAAACCTGACCTTTTCCTTCGGAACCCCAAGTGCGTTTAGTTGTAGATAAGCCAATTCTTGGACCTCGGGTAAGTCTACGAGGGTGTACGATTCCACTGTCGGTTCTAGTTGAAAAATGGTTTCAGTTTTACTCTTCTGGCCCTTCCTGTCCATCGCCTCCAGGTACTTCACCAGGCAATACGCAAAAGCACCATGCCCCACACCAATTTCGGCAATACGAAGACCTCTACTTTTAGTTGCTGTATCAGAGTCTGGCCGTTCTGGAATGCCATCACCCATTTCACGAGCACGTCTCCTTGTCTCCAATAATATCTTAAGGACCCAATCCAAATCCACAATGATTTCCCGAATATAGCGCAAAACAGTGGGAGACAAGTCTCCAAATGGCTCTCTAAATCGAGTCGTCACGGGTCCACCCATGTCGTTCGTGCGACGTATGGAGGAAAGAAACGAGAGCCACGACGAGAAGTTCATGTGTGTGTCCCGATTCTGGCCTTCGACATCAACTACCACCTCACGACGAAGTCTCAGCGCCGCTTCAATCCAAGCTCGGTTCTCGACGGCCTCCCGTGGCTGCACATGCTCCAAAATCAAGCGATAATCCCGGTTCGCCTTCCAATTTGCAAAGCTGCAGCCCCGATTTTGCACCAAAACCGGAACCCGCACGAAGACTTTGTTCTCCAAATCCACCGAGACGTCGACTTCCTCCACTTGAGCGATATCTTCCGGTTGGATTGCTTCTAAAACGTGGAAATCATGTGGGACAATGCGGCCAGGCGTAAAATCCAAGAGCTGTTCGCTGTCCCTTCTTTCTTGGTTCTCGATACTGTTGTCAAGGGAAGTCGCGTAGAGGTCCTTCAAACGTGACAACACCGCAGTCCGCACGCAGCCACGATAGGCCTCCACCTGGTGCTCTGAGATACCCCATATGGGAGTTGTAGTCGTTGTGGGAACTTCCGCTCTCGAGACGAGGCCGAAGTGTAAAAGGACGAAGATAAGCAAGAGAATGCGGGACATCTTCTTTGTCTTTGTGATGAAGAATCTTCGGGAGTCTTTAGAATTCCTGGTTATCTAAATCACCTGTGTTCTCTGTACTCTCGGGGTTAGGTGCACAAGCAAACAGCGGGCTCTGTCGCGTGTCTGTTTCTGATTCGATTTTTTGACTTTCTGACCCACGAGATCGAACACGTTGAATTCACAGTTGTGACGTCTTCCAGTCCTCCTGGCGACCCCGCCTTTATATCATTCCCTTTTAATATGACGAAATAGAATTCACACTACTTCTTCTACGACAACTTCTATCATGTCAAGAAAACGAACGCGAAAAAAACAACCCCTTTGTGATGGTATTTCATCGTCGGGACCAATCGATCGGTTTCATAGAGCTGCAAACAACAAGGTGTTCCCACAAGAAAAATAGTGTGAGAACAAGTTGTTCGCATTCCTCTTTCTCGACAAATCTGCAGAACTCTTACTCAAACTCTTGGGGAGGGAGATAATAACACCAGTAGAACCGGGGAGGCTCAACATCCGAGGGAGAGGATACGATCATAATCATTCATCAACTACTACGTCTTCTATTCGAGGTAGAAAAGTTTAGAACCACCAGTTCTGGTAGATTCGTAATGAAAAGGTACGTACGTTCTACCAAAAAGTCATTGATGAAGGGTGTGCTGCTGCATCGATTTTTTCGGTCCTCATTTTCTAATTATCCAGCACTGCTTGTCACGGAGTACTTCCTTACATTCATAACTCCCGCGATTACAACTACATCCATGAGCTCTGCATTTTTGACTAGAGTCCGCCTCAATCTTCTTCATAGCGTCGTGGTCTTCTTCTCTAGTAGCTATCCCAATATACTACTGGAGAAAACTTAAGGGTCGCAGGCGTCCCTCCACTGCCGAACTACCCTCAGTTCTTACTAAAAAGGAAGAATACAACAACGTCCCGACAATACTAGCATGCCGCGTTCGCTTGATATTTTTGACTATTGATTCCTGACTAAATTGATTCTGGATTCAGAAGATATTGTGCGCTATGTTGATATTTAATTGTCATTAATTGTTGTAGTTCTAAAGATACTTCTGGAAAGTCACAGGACATAGGAACGGTCGGATTTGTCCCCAGAAGAAGTTGCCCAGATGAGAACAATACTTCATTCTACGTAGGTATCTTACTGCTACTTGGAAATCGACACATCAAGGGCAACACCGTATGTCATTGATCATAGGTAGTACATCCTACGCGCTGCTGCTCACGACCCGCGTAAAATAGCAGCTGGTCATCTGCAAAGGCTATCGAGAGAGACTTCCTCTTCTTCACAATGCTCAGTAGAGACTCCGACCCCTAGGCTCGATATCGTGAAACGATTTGCATCGAGCGCCATTATCAGACTCCGCTACCAGAGACTTTCACTAATCGTATTCCCAATATGAAAATCATATGTGCGGCTATAATATGATCCCTCCCAACGACCTATACTTTTTGAGTTTTCAGTACACGATGAAATCATACCTAAGTCATTTCGTTTTCTTTAACAGGTATAATTGGCGTTCATACAACCCCGAAATATTCCTCCTGTTGCGTGGTAAGCACGACACTAGTGCGCTTCCGGTAAGACAACTACCTAGAAGAAGTGACTATCGTGAGGGCGGTCGTGGCTCAAGATAACATTAAGAGGTATAAGTAAGAGGCGCCATGCGCCCTCCTGTCCATCGTTTTTCGATGCCACTTATAGCCTAGAGGCTCTTGGTCTTATAACCTTACTGAGTGACTACGAGGCACTGTGGTAGAAGTTCTTCAATAACTAATGCGATCCCCTTGCTAGTAGGTGTCGACGCTGCGGACGTGCCTCTGGTGCCTGTAGTTCTCATCTGAGCAACGGTCCTCGATTAAGTACTTAAGTACTACTATTGACTTTGTAAGTACAATGCATTTACCTTGGCCTCCACGCTTCACATGTTTGTGCAAAATATCTATTGATTTTCTGTTTTTAGGCGTTTTCGTAGTAAGTAAGTAGATGTACAGTCGGATCATGGAAGAGAAAACCGGTTACGTGCTCTAGTGCATGAGAGGTGGACTAGCTGATTAGTTCAAACTTCGCATTTGTTGCGACATTTTTCTAACTCCTACTTTTTAGATTCAGTCTCTCTTCATCTTGGCTGTTTATAACGTCAGAGACTGTAGTAGTGACTGATTTTATTGCTGTTGTACAACTAGTTCTGGTTCAGTGTCTGTTTCTGCTAGAGCTATTTCTGCTAGTGCAATCATTTCCAGGAATATTTCTTAGCAATAGTCTGCTCTACGTCTATCTTGAAAACGTCCTTTCGCAACAAACACCCAGGAGTCTATCTAAAACCTCTGTTATCCGCTCAGCTACACCTACAGCCTCTACTTCTACTAAGACTAACAACAGTATATTCTTATTAAGAGGTTAGGTTAGGTGTGGGTCCACTAGGTAAACCAGCAGACTTAAGAAAGTAGATACAACTCATGACTCAGAACTTTCTTCAACTGCCTCTAACTTAAACCGCCTCTTTTGATATTAGTCAGCCACTCACGTCGTGTCACGACTACAACATGCTTTTATCTGCACCATATTTTACAATTGATTAGTGGGTGCATAGATTCTTATGCCAGTCTGTGGTCGCAAAACCACAGCCGCTGTACAACTAGAGTATCCAGTAGCCTCTTGCACTTGAATACATTCTAGAAAGGGAAAACCCTGTAAATAGAGGTTTTCCATGGAGTCAATTTCAGTTCTATCTAACTATTTGATATGTAATATGTGCATATCATCTTTTTTCTATTGATGTTAACTGTTTTGTTGGTAATATTTTATCAACATATGATGTGCTAGTGGACGAAATTTTGGATTATATTTTCCCGCATAAATTGTTTGATGCTCGAAACAGTAATGATCTAAATCTAAACGGCGAGCTTCTTACTGTGCATAATGGACAACGTACAAGAACGTACAACATGATTCGTAATCTCTAGTGCTAGTAGCCTCAACGTATAAATTTTGAACTTGATTGATTGATAACTGATTGATAACAACATGCTTTGATAACAAGAACAACGATAAATTGTAATCTTAGATAAAAATCTTCTTGGCTTTTTTTAGATTTAATGGATTGATAATCAACGGTAAACACAAAACAAACGAAATCAAGAACCTGAATGAAAACATCAAAACCTCAAAAATATTCTCTGCTCCGAACAATGAATTGTAATCATATCTTCATCTACTTCGTTCGGTACTTGTTAGTTAGCTGCAAATAAGTAGTTGTTGAACTTGGAGTGTAAATAACTGGAAAGGTAAAAAATCTGGTGGATCGCAAACCTGATGACTAACACTGACTTTGACTACTATCAGTTTTAGTCTGACGACAACCAACGCAGTTCCTGGGATCCAGGCACACTTCAGTGGGGAAAGAGGACAGCACAACCGCCCCCGATGTGCTGTCTAGCTTATAGTGGGGAAAAAGTTATTTGTACACTATTTACTCACTCAATCTCTCCTTTCATCTCCGCTACCTCTATTTTTGAGCATCCATTATTAGTCTCACTACCAATGAATAGATAATGTGAGTATAAGTTCTGCTAGTAGAAAAAATCTAACTACTTGCTTCTTTCTCTTGCTTCTCCACTGCAAGTCCTGCTGATATGCATCTCAAGTTCCGCTAGAAGAGGAAAAGACCAGAAGTCCTACTTCATCAACTACACCTTTCTACTGGTGTAGTCGAAGATGATACAACATCATGATCTACGCCATGTGAATGAAGATAGAAACTACAACTACCCTCTAGAGGTAGTATTCGAGTTCTGACACCTCGATGTAGTAGTAGAGTACAGCTACCAGATGTAGAGTTCTAGAGTTCTACTCTACTCCACCAACACTCCAGCCACGGAGTCCACTAAGACCCAGCTGGGATCGCACATTTCACGCTCATATTCGCGGGCCATCTTCTCGCGCTCAAACTCGAACTCTTCTTGCAGTTGGTTGTGGATCTGCTGCTTCATCTGAGCTTTGCGTTGCTCGGTCTTCTTGCGCATATAGGAAACCTCCTCTTCCTGATCGCGACGAACCTGCTCTAATTCAGCTTCCTGTTTTTTTAGGAGGGGATGAGGGTTGAGAGAGGATAAGGGTTGGCTGGTTGGTTGGTTGGTTGAGATTAAGGCTGCTGTCGTCGATAGAAAATCTAACTTTCACTTTATTCATAGCTCATGTCAACCTCACATTTACACGAAGGAAGAGGAACATATCGAAGTTTCATGATAGTACCTTTCTCGCCAACAGATGTTTTTCTTTGACTTCGAGTTTGTTCTCGAACCGCTTGCGCTCCAATTGGAGTTTCACATGCGTTTCCCGCTTTAGTTGGTCTCGTTGGTCTTTCATAGCTTCCTTTATCTTCTGTTCCTCCGCTTTGCGGACTTCGGCTAATTCCTGTGTTGCATGTTGAGGAGTGAGTTTGGAGGTACTGAGATGAAGAGATCATAGGACGAATCATAGACAAAAGACGACCACTCCATGTCTGTGAATTATGACAACCATCCATATCTATATCTTTGTTGTTGAAAATAGTAGTTCTTGCACCAATTATACATCCTCTACTCTAGAAGGAAGTCAAAGTCATAATTGTACCTACATCAACTATCACAAAAAAGAAAAAAACTAGAAAACTGAAGTACCTTCTCGTGTCTTTTCAACTTCGTTTCCTCCAGCTTCTTGCATATCAGAGCACGCTTCTGCATGTCAGCTTTCTCCTTCTCAGTCAGGGTAAGCACCTCTTTCGCCCGACTTTCTAGTTGCTTCTTTTTTTAGAAGAGAGATTGGATGTTGGGGATCCGGCTTGTCAGGACCCTGAGGACTTCTTCAAGGAAGTAGGTCTACATGGAAGGGTGATATCTGCTAAATGCATGTAGTTGATGTGTATAAAGGTCACTTAGACGAGTATTGCTTGTGGTAGTACATCTCTGACTCTGTCTCTGTCAGTCACTTCTTTGATCAAAACTGATGTTCACGTTCATTTACACTAAAAAGACTAGATGAAAACTAACGATCCTAATGAAGTTCTTCATAATTTTCACTCTCAATCTGGGAGAGAAACTCTTTTTCTCGACGCTGAAATTCTTCTTCATGGTCACGGAGTGCTTTCTCCTTCTCTGCTTCTAACGCCGCTCTCTCGCGCTGCAGCGCTGCTTCCATGTCCTATGTTGATTATTTTTTACGTTTACGTGTCGAGGATTCTTCATCTTCATCGTAGTATTTGATGAGATACATGAAGATCTGAAACACTCAGCATCCCACGTCATGTTCATGTACTTCTAAGTAGCTAACTGTGAAACAACTAGACTAATAATTACCTCCTGTATCTTCCTCTCTCTCTCTGCTAAGCGTGTGTCGAGTGATTGTCTTTCCTCTTTCACCAGCTGCTCGTATCTTCTTTTCGCTTCGACATGCTGTGCATTCGCCATCAGTTCCTGCTCTTGTCGCTTCAGGTTCTGCTTTCCACGCGGTGCCATTTTGTTTCGGTCGTGTTGTTGGTGTGACTCAAGAAGATGAATCACAAAGATTAGAACTACTAGAAGCAGTGTTGTTCTAGTACTGTTACGCGTGAAATATAGATCTCGGTCTCGGAGGTGTCGGAGAACGATCGTCAATTCAACGGATCGGAAGTGGGTTTCGTGTTCGTTGTTCAGCGTGTAGAACAATACCTCTTCGTCGAGTCTTCGAGACTATATTTTTGTTTTAAGCAGTTATCAGTTTACTGATACACGTTTTTGAGTGGTCATTCACAGATTAGCGAATGACAGCAGCGCGAGAGAGAGAGAGTGAGTAAATAGCTCCTAAGTTGAATGTTGTTTGTTTGTTGGGAAAGATGGAATTTAAGATGGATTCCATTAGGCTAGAATTGTCTAACCAGAGAATTGATAATTGTCCAAGTTGTCTGCACAAGAGGTGATGGACAATTGTCTGTACGGTATTAATAAGACACTCAATAAGAACTCTACTAAGTAGGTTTTTTTTTACACTAAGAACTTCCAGGCTATGGATGTCGTGTTGGAAAAGGTGGGAATCGAACTGGGACAACTGGGAATCGGTTCATGGTGTGGAAGTGCTCAGGTCGTTAATTACACGAAATTTCTCTCACATAGTGGTGCTGAGATCACTCGTCAAGTACCTTGTCCTATTTTACTACTCAAGAGTCGTGATTTGACAGAGTGAATGACTTGTCTTTCGAATAGTGATTCTGACTTAGCCCGCTCGCAAGGTGGCTGGCTGTCGTGACACCAAAAAATACTATGCCGGTAGGAAAAAAAAGGTCCGTGCTGTTCGCGATCCAAAAAATGGTGAAAAATGTGACGATTTCTCTTTACCGATTCAGTCGATGCGAGCCGATTCAGTCCTTCTTAAAAAAACCTTTCCCAACAGGAAAGCTGCGCTTTGGGAACAACTTTTGATAGTCTTCCAAAGTGTCAATGAATCGCCTCGCTAAGTGACAGTAGAAGAGATGCACTTTTGCAGTTATCTCTAGGTCGATTCGATCGACTCTCACAACTTCTTTAGGCTTCTCATTTTGTTTCGTACATGTCGTAATACAAAAAGAGACTGACATCGATGACATTCTTCAGCTTTGTTTCTGTGCAGAAAAAAACGATTCATCACTTCAAGAACCGTAACGGTTTGTAGTAAGAAAAAGTCTTTACCACGACGATGCTTTCTTGATCAGCCATCGTGGGACGAAATTAGATTGTATTCTGCTTAATGAAGATCTTAAAATTTTTAGAAAAGGAAAAGCTATTGTAGACTTGTTGCACTATCTCGAGGTTCATCAGGGTCTATAACGACTGGGTATTGGTTATAGAAGAAAGACAAACAAGAAACAACGGTTGTAGCGCAAAAAGTAAACCGATACCTTCTCGGGATTCATTCACCTCTTGCTTTTCTTCTCCGTAGATTTATTAGCCTAGAATCGCATTGCCCTCCGAAGTCGCACACAGGTGACCACTGTGAATGCGGGCTTCGTCGTGGTTGCCGTTAAAAACGCTCCTAGTAGTATCAAAGGTGTTAAGCAAGTGCTTACGCCGTTGCAACTGCACAGGTTGCTTCTGCGGATAGAAAGATCTACATCAATCGAAGCTTCGAATAGTGTAGTCCTAACATGAAGGGAAGCTAGCTAGGGGTCTTTCCATTGCTTACTAGCTGTCCTGCGCCTGGGAAAGCCCAACGGCGGGCTAGCCACTGCAATTGGGTTCGGAAGAGCAGCACATGACTTTGCTCGTTCGGGAATGGGATTTGTACGAATCGCCGAAGGAAGACGTTGTTCTTGCGTGCTGATGTTACCCTGCTGTAAGGTACTGTTACCTTATAATACTCTTACAACTGAGGATCCTCTTAAAATCTTCTTTTTGTTCGTCATTGCGTAGCACTCCTTCTCAATTTTTCATCCAAGGTTGGTCCCCTAGCACTTTCGTCCAACTCACAAGCGTCCTGAGACCCACTCCGAGATCGAGTCCCTTTGATTCGCGCATCAAAACAGAGAACGCAGTTGGTGTCGTGTCTCCTGTGCATCCGACAACAGGGACAGGTGTTCGCTCGGAACGTTTTTTCACCTCGGAACCAGACGACTAGCATTGTGATTAGAAAAAGGTCAGCTTGTCATCTAGTACTTCTTGTGGAATGTGAATTTAAGTACACTCACTGGATCAAATAAGAAGCAGGTTCATCTCAAAGAAAGCAATTATCGTAGAATAAACCATTAATTTGAAACAGTCTTCGTCCAACTTCTTTCTACTTCTACTCATAGCACGAGGATGCAATTCAAAATTACGCGACTAAAAACGAATAACCACAAGCAGCCGTAACTGGCGTTCTCCCGAAGTGACTGGATGGACCTCGTGAAACTGCTGACCATAGAACAGGGTTCCTTCCCCATTTTTTTGCTTTATCAGACACTGCTCCTCGCCTTCGAACTTGTCGCCGATCTTCCACCGCAACCCGACTTCGCCACCCTCGTACTCACGCCCAAGACGGATAGTTAGGGAGACCTGTGATGGTCGATTTAGAGGGACTGTCGATTTAGGACTGCTTATAGGACTCCGTATAATTCTTTCATCTTGGAGATGAATGTACTTATAGCCAACATCAGAAGCTACCTGCCCTATAGTTCCAAAAAACAGAAACGATTTAAATCAGCAAAGAGAGAAATTCGATTGAACAACGAAAATTTCTTTATTCACTCTCTCAGCTGGTGACTAACCAACGTATCAACAAGTTCACCAGGTTCCTAATTTTATACCTCACTATCATCCGTATGGCAGTCCAGCCCCACTCGACTGATATTCCTACTGCCATTGGCTTTATCCCGGTTCGCATTCGCATACCCAATGCTGAATCCGTACCGATAGTCTGTAGGCGCCAAGTCGTCATTTCTCAAGGAGTTGCCCGCTTCACAGGGACTGCTAGGTGGTGTGCCGTACAAATCGTCGTCATCAGCTGCCATGCCGCTACTAGCATAGTTCACTCCATCCACCCGATCGCTTCTTGCCGGATTATAGTGCAACAAATCCCCATGATAAGTGGTGTTTTGAGCCACTTGCGGATACAAAATCGTCAACAAGGGGTCCGCTACGTGCTTTTTCAGCAGGTCTAAGACGTGTGGTCCAATCACGTTGATGTGATCTATGACACACAATTTCGTATTAAGGAGCTCAGCTCCTGGCATCTTGCTCTGCATCATCTGCTCTTGCCATTCGAGAAAAAGTTCGATCTCGTGGCACAGCTCGGTGCAAATCTCTGGTTTCAGAGTGGGAAACTTGTAAACCTCCTCAGCGATTTCTTCGACACAGGTGAGCGGCTTCCACTTGCTGCTCAGAGGATGTTCTTAGAGCAGACTACCAGACTAAAAATCGTTTCAAGTATGATCTAGCAGCACTGAGTGCCGTCGGGTCTAATATATTGTCTGAAGGGATAAGCCTGGGGATAGAGGTGAAAACTACCCGGTTGTTTTACTTTAGTGCTTTGACGTCGGGTCTAACATGTTCTTCGTCGACGTCACGAATGTTGCTATTTGTATTCGTACAAACGTCGACGATAGGCTACAACGACAAGCTCCTACTGAACAATCAGTCATGTTTGTGACTACACCTTCAGCCTCCTTAACTATGTTGTTGGGCATTTCCTGCATTAGCAGCTCCTTTCACTGTCAATCTTGTCCTTTGCACGAGCTCATTTTTCAGGATTGAAGGTCTCCCTACAGAAGAGGTCGACGACCGTGACTCACCCCATCCTGGTACCGTAAAATCTCCGTGTCTCAGCTTCAATCGTTGCAGAACGGACCAAAGACGAGGATCTAAGATGTCTTCGGCGGTATAGGCTAGCCATTTACTTTCGTTAGGAGAGTGATACGATGAAAGAAGCTCCTCGCGTAGCGCGACCTGAAAGAAAGTAACGTTAGGAGAGTGATACGATGAAAGAAGCTCCTCGCGTAGGGCGACCTGAAAGTGAAGTGTGAATACAATGCAATTTATCTCGCACAAAGTTCAGTGCAGACTGCCTACTGGCCTCTTTTGACAGCCTTTTTTGACAGTTGAAAACATCTTCATTGACAAAACTGAGAAAGTAATTCCAGTTCCACGTTATCATGCCAAGAACCTTAGCACAAGACCCACCTGTTGCAACAGGCGCTGCGCTTCCAAATATTTCTTTCCCAACAAAGTCGCTAGTTTCTCCAACTTGTCGTGGTGATTTCTCCTCTCCGAGAACCGGTTGTACAGGTATCCCGGATAGAAGTAAGTCCCATACAGAGAATACAGCAAAAACGAGTGTTCCCTATTTTTTTCTTCGGTCATCTCGCTTGAATTGATGGCCGTTTGCGTCGTTTCGGAAATCGCATTCAATAGATCGTGGGCATTGCTGCTTGTCCGAGACAGTGAACGATGCCGGGACAACGGAGAATGCGGAACTATCATGTTGCCGCGGGAATTAGAAACGTCGATAGAGTGATTGTGATGTCATGGAGCCTCTTATTTAGCAGTTGTAGGTTTCTATCTGTGAGCCCGATCAGTGTTGTAGTACCTCCTTATTGGAGAGATCCAGATTGATAAAGAATGGCGACACTATCCTCGGTGTCGAGAGACTGGCCCAGAAGCACGCACCAAGGACTAGACTAGTATCAATGACAAACTAATCCATAATCTTGGTTAAAGGCAGAGTCTTCGAGCTCGGCACATCATCGTCTGTTGTAATTTCCCTTCCAAGAAAGGTATTTGCTACTGGTGTCGCCTCTTGCTCTTTATCTCCTGGACCACCTTCCCCCAGTTTCTGCATCTCATTGAGGTTAGGAACGTTTTCGGATTCACTTCGTAGGATGTTAGCTACCTTTTTGGAGGACCCAAAGGGCGCCGTCTTAAGAGCTCCACTAGGTGTCGCAGCATCACCCTCTCCCGCTGACGACCTCGTCGTAGCGCCGCCACCACAGTTACTATCTCCATTTTTGGCTGCACTTGCTTCCTCAGTGGCAACGGTTCTTCCCTTAGTCGTGTTGTTTCTTTTCTCGTACTGACGCCCCACTGCGAAACCCAGGAAACCGAGTGCGCAGGCGAGACCTACGCCAGCCCAAGGGCCTCCGCTAGGGTTGGATACGGTATCCATCATGGTTGTTCTCTTTGTTCAGAATTCACCCAAGTCGTCCATATATTTATTTATTTACTCAGTACTCGCAAAAGATCTGCGTTGACTCCACAGTGTCTGCAAATCGTCAGCTATAGAACATTTTCTCGCGACAGGGACTGCTAATCGTTCTCGCCTCGACCACTCTTCAACAACCAACGTCGACTCATACTAATTACTTATAAATAGCGCTTGGTTCTTGTTTAATCTACTCAGAAAGTTCGAATCTTTAGAAATTGCAAACGTTGCATGATGTAATCAGTCGCTATGGGAGTGCTGTGTACCCTATAGAAGAGCTCAAGCTAGCTAGTGACATGAGAAATGTTGATCAGAGAATCCGAGAAATTATGCAAATACTTGACAACATCATGATCAGTCTTAATTCGTCTTTTTTCTGCCTACAAGGAACCAAAGCAAGGAACAGACGATAAAAAACCCTCTTCTAGTCAATGTTGGAAGCTAGTGTCTGCAACGGACGGGGTTTTGCTCTACCTCTATCCTGTTTCTAGTTGGGATGTGTTGAACAGAAGGGCTTATGCATAATTTTCATGCATACAACTCGCGGACAATACGTGGGCAAGGGCAGCGGAGCTTCAAACAAGAGCGATGGACAATATTCGACTTAACACAACGACAGGCACCAATGTGAGGGGGGCTATAACTATAACATCGCGTGGGATGTATCAAGAACAGAGAGTGGCGAAAACAGAAAGAACTCTTACTTTTTTGTGTCTCTTCAAACGAACAAGCAGACTGACTGTGAAAAGGATAAGGAAAGATGGTCTCGTTCTCTCGACGCAAACTCGTGCGCATGAACACTTGTTCAACACCATGTGTATTTGCTTTCCAACCTCGTTTCTGATCTTCATCGATTGTGATTAGTATTCATGCATTTTATGAGGCACGACAGTGACAATCTATGTGGTGCTGCGTTTAAGTACAAAATCAACATCGGAGGTGCGGTGGAGGACGGTTTTTCACGGCCTAGTTGTCACTAAAGGACATCAAAGCCGTGTTGGTTCTCTCGACGTCATGTGGGACTGGGAATCGGGGGTACCAGAACTGCGAGAGAAGCAAATCATGCATCAATAATATGCGACTACTACATGTTGATTCCTATGTGTATCATATTGTTGAGCAAATAACGGACAACGAAGTTCTAGAGGGGGAAAGAAGGTGAGTCGTGCGGTGAATCATTACCACCTGGTACTAGAAAAAGAGACGAGGATGTCTACTACCAAAGAGTGGAGACCAACAAGGCGGGGACATCCATGTCGGGAAATAGAGAGGGACCTGAGGAACACTTCTTACAGTGCTTCTCCTGGGGTCAGCTCAGCTAGTATTCTTATGGGGGATTCAGTCTCCCTTGATGCGAGTCATCCTTTCTTCACCTTCAAAGTCTACTTCATCATCATCGTGTCGTCGGTAGGCAACCTCCGACATTACTGGAAGATGAAACGGCACTTCTTCTTCTCCCTCTTACGATTTACGTGTTTGTTCACCTCTTACAATTCATCCTTCTCCTTCTTTGCTTCCTTCTTTTGCTCCTTCTCTTTCGCCTTCGTCACCAACTCGAGCTTCTCCAAGGCAAAGCCAGTCAGGCCATCGACATTCCACTTGTCGGCTTCATACGTGAAGGTCTTCTTGGAAACGTGGTTGAAGACCTGGAAGGCTGGCAGCTTGGCGATGTCCTTGCACTTCGGGTCGGCCTCCTTCTCGCAATCACAGCAAACGCCACCAAACTTCGCGAGAGGGTCTTTGCCTGAATTGATGAAATTGATATTACAAATTACCAATCGTAGAATCCGCAATGAATGTTGTAAGAAGAATTTTGTCCGGCGGGATCGCACGCGTCGCCCGGAGCGCATCAAAACAAACAAACAAACAAACAAACAAACAAGAATTTTGTTGGATGTAATATAAATTTTTACTTTTGAAAAATACGTTACGGCATGTCATGTTACCTCATGAGCCATCCTATCAAATGGCGTTGAAGTCTTTTCAGCCGACTTGGACCTTCTCAAAAGAAGAGCAAGAAGACCGAATGATAGATTCATTGGTCGTTACTCAGCAAAAGTATAGGGTATAATTACTCTTCCCCGCCTTCCTCTTTCCGTCTTCTGCTTCTGCCAAAGAGTATTTCTCTTTGATCTCCGTCAACCTCTCACTCTGCTTCTTGTTACTCTTGAGGCTCTTATTCTTGTCTGCGGGTTCGTTTCCGAATTCGAGAGCCAAACGATGATTAGAGCTCAAAACGTAAACGATTCAGTTCTAGCCTATATTTGTTTCTTCCGAATCCTAAGAAGGAAACAGAAGAAAATTATACCGTTGGAAATGGATTGTATCGAGCCTTAAGATTGTATTCGTCCCTCTCAGTGTCGAAGCTTGCCTTGTTGTAAAAAGCGATGACCCAAGAGAACTTGGACTTTTGATCTGGGAAGTGCTTGTCGCAGAGCGGAAGGACAGAATCTTTGAGGGAACCTGGTAGGCGTGGGGAAAGAGGAAAGTAGCATAGAATCCTTGACGAGGGAACCTGGCGAGGAAAGGGGCAGAAGAGAAGAAGACTTTTTGAAGATTGATGAAGAGCAACAATTTCTCTGTCTTTGATTTTGGTGATGAGGAAGAGTTTGCTCCCAATAACATTAATAACAACTCTAGAAACCTTGTTAGAAAAAGTACTGAAAAAGTACAAGATCCCCGATCAAAATAAATCTTCATTAATAGTACTCTTGAAAATTCCCTTATTGCACTTCGCACTGCCTCCCTTGGATCCCTTCTTCGCTTTCAAGCCTAAGATGTAGCTTTTCATTGGTCCTTTTTCTCTGGCACCCTGATAATTCTTCGGCTTTCCATTGATAAAGGCTTTCAGAGTAGGAAAGCCCTGGACGCCATATTTTCCACACAAACCCTTGTTCTTTGCGTCATCGCAATCGACGCCGCTGGGGTTAGAAGGGGGAAGTAGGATATCGAGAATATTTGAATAGACGGAGACCATGCAGGTGGTCATTATGGACCTTAGAATGACTGCTCTCAATGTGGAGTTGCTGAAGTTACTTTATCGAAGCACGAGGACTAGTACTACGTACCTCCACAGAAAGACAGGGCCAACAATTTATCAAACTATGTATTGCTCATAGCTATCCCAATCTCCTTGTCATCTGCCAACTCCTTCGCCAAATCACTCCATGCTTGCTTCATGCTGTTGCAGTGGCCACACCATGGCGCATAGAATTTGATGAACCAGATTTTCTCGGAATTTTTATCCGGAAAATGCGATTCACACATGTTCGCCACTTTGGTAGCTCCGCCAAAGTGGCCTGGGCATTTCTTTCCAGCAAAAACGCCGACGATTGAGGACGTTGCGGAAAAAAGGAGAGAGGTGGTGGTGAGGAGCTTCATCTTGTTAGTTTCTTTTTCTATTGAGACAGAGACACTGTAAAAAAAGTACCTCTACAGATCGTCAAGAAAGAACAATCTAATTAAATCAACCTACTTAGCAACTATGAAAATACTTGTTGATAGATTGCACTTCCTTCTCTCTCGCCTATACAAACGACTCCCCTCTCCTGTCTTTGCCTGGTATTAATCAAACAAGGTACATTATTGCTACAACTTGAACCTTCCTACTTTCTCTGACCATTGGCAAACCATGGACATAAGAACTTTTCTGACCATTGGCAAACCATGGACATAAGAACTTTTCTGACCATTGGCAAACCATGGACTTAAAGAACACACTTTCAGTTTCTTTCCCGTTTGTTTGTTTTCGAAGGAGCCCTTCTTGGTGGAGTTTCTTATTCAGAATTTTCTCACGGGAAGGAATGATCGTGCCGAAATCCGACGAGGAAGCGTCAGTTTAGTCCTTATAGTGTAAACGGACTCCACTAGTAGAGATTGTTCATTATTCTTTCAGCGCGGAAACTCAAATTTCTTGCGCCACACTGGGCCACACATCTGAGGAATCATGAAGCTCTTTTACGTCCTCCAACATGGTGAATACGAACATGGTGAATACATTATGCAGACAACAAATATCTCACCACTGCGAAGTAGACAACTGAATCATCTTGGATATTGATTCACAAATGTCATACCTCAACATATGTATTGGGTGAAGATCGTCCGAGGGGCACGAACAGTGACTAACGTAGCATCATTTCAGTAGACCCCTCTCTTTTGTACCGCATGGCCACCCGAAGCCGCATCTTTTAGAAAAATCTGAAGCCTTCGCCTCCACTTTTTGCCGCTTCGGGTGGCAATACGGTACACAGTAGAGGGGCCCAGCCAATTGCGGGAACCACTCCAAGAAGAGCTCGACAAACTTGGCGGCCCTTTCCTCGACGGTGTTCCACCTCTTTGAGAAGTTCGCAAACGATGAGATCCGCAAAAATTTGACCGCAAACAAGAGGGCGCCGAATGGGAAAAAGTCAGCAAAGCACTGCAAAACTTCGGACAGTATTCAATCTTGCCGGGCATGATAAGAATCCCAAAAACACTCGCCGCCGATTGCGTTCCTTCAACAGGAGCCCGCCCACAATTGCGAAAAGAGAACTTCGGGCGCGATGGGAATCCCCGCGCCCCTCCAGAATCCCCAGGGACACATTTGCCGCCTACTGTCTTGGACTCTGGAGAGGCGCGGGGAAACGAATGAAACAAAACCAAAACCCACGCACAACCTGCAGGGAACAATGTCCAAGCATCACTAAGCGGAGTACCCCCGCGCCAAAGTGGAGACAATTCTGGCCGTTTTTGTGCAGTGTTTAGTTGACTTTTCTGAGGGTAATTCGAATTGGGTCGATCAGTGTGGTCAGGTCCGGAGGTCGTGTAACCTGAGGTTGTATACCCTGAATTACCAACTTCGTTGGACCATACTTTGCTTTCTTCACGCTGAGGCAGCAATTGTTCGTTCTTCTTACCGGGAGGATCGGGTAGGGTGCTGTCAAAGCGCTGAAGCATCGTCCGTGGCTCCTTCTGGTCGTGGTCCTGCTATGCTGTACCAAAACTACTCTCACGCTGTAGAAGCATCACCTCTTCGTTCTTTGAGTGACCTGGTGTTGTAAAGAAGTCTCTTCCCGCTGTCGAGCCAACATCCTCTGAGAGCTCTAGTTCTCCCTGAGCAATGCTGGACGATCCCTCTGCATCTGCACTTCGTAACTGTTTCTTGTTCAGCACTGAACGCATGAACATCCAGGCTGGTGTCCAAAACCATCTCACAGGATTAGGACGCCTCCATCTAGGCCGTAGCAGTACCAAGCATGTCATATCGTACGGTTACATGGAGGTACCATGCGTTGGCTTCTGTAGAGCACGAGGACTACATCTTGATGATTATTTCTACTGCTCCATTTATTAATTTTCGGATACCACCAAGAATACATAGTTCTATCTTCCTTCATGATTAAGATCAAGATCTCACATGTCCACCACCCACTTAATCCCCTGGGAAAAAGGTGCCATCAGGTTAGCCGTTTTTTCCCATTCGAAACACGACAATTTATTACCACGCTGTTTAATGCCGGTGTCACGTGGATGCGGTGCTAGCAGCACTCTATCGCTTGATGAGCGCTGTAAAAAGTACGTAGGCGCAAATATTGGGATTCTTTCTTGTTGCACTGCATTGCCGTTTTGCCTGCGGGTGTCTAAAACACCACAGTGATAAAAGTGTCGCAAACAATAGAATTACTCTCAAGCAGTAAACCCTTTCTCGTGCAGAGTCTTGACACAGGAATTACTCGAAGAGTGGCACAAATACTACTCCCTTGCAGCGTGGCAAAAATAAAACTACGTACTTCAAATAAATCCTTGCACGAAGAAATACTCACGCAGGAATGTGCCAAAGATGCTACTCGGGCAAATCGATGTTGATAGAGTTACCCATAATGCTGCAATAGAACTACTCCCAAAAGTCCTGGACCTTAGACCAAGCTACGTCAGAGTCGTGAAAACAAAATTCTGAGGAATCTACTAACCTGAGATGAGGCAGTCAAAACCACGAGTCTCAGTTGCTACAAACTGTAAACCGTCGATTCGTCGCCAGCCATAGGCTAGCTTCTTCAAAGCACTCAAAATTCTTCTACCTCATTCCTCATCCTACTTAATAGACTTCTAGTTAATAATCTAGAAGCCAAAGGTCTACTACAAGGTATTCCTCATCTACTTAATCTAGAAGCCAAACCACTAGGCCATTACTAAGCCACTTCCTCTCCAGACACGCAGAAGTTGATAAGCGACTCCATGAACCCTTTTAGCCCCACGTCTTCCGTCACTACGTCTCCGGCATTCGGATTCACTCGATTCATGAGGAATCTTGCCTGGCTTCCGTTCGCGTACGTCTGTATGAATTTCGGCACTACAGACCGTTCCCGCAGGAGATACAGCGCGTCTCTTGCCGGATTCTCCAATAGCTCCTTCAAATTGGCGTGTGGTAGTTAGAATGTGAGAGAGTGTGTGTGGTAGTTAGCATCTGAGAGAGTGTGTAGAGACAATGAAGGCGTGTGGTAGTTAGCATCTGAGAGAGAGAGAGTAGAGACAATGAATAAACTTTGTCAAAGTTCTTACGTAAGATTCTAACACGACCTGCTAGTACTTCTGCTGGTTCTCCGTGCTAAAGTGTCCCTCTATCTGGACTACCGAGTATAAATTTGAACTTCTTCGTGTACAACTAGTCATTCTTGTAGTCGAAGATGCACCTCAAACCATAATCTTCTTTCTCATGATAGCCAGCTTCGCACCACTGCTGTATCGTCTCACCTCGCCATACTACGACGTGGAAATAGCAGTCTAGCAACAGAAGAACTTTCGACTTCAGGCTTTTGGAATCTAGCAGCACGTGTCTCCCCATGGGTGCCTCGAAACTATACTCGACTGAAGATTAGAAATGGGGATTTATTAGGATAAGGAACAAATGATGACTACTATTAAGAGAAGGGACTACTATTAAGAGAAGCAACAGCAATTACTAATATGCAGATTAGGTAGTCGTAGTGATAAGGAACAAATGATCAAAGATACAGTGACTACTATTAAGAGAAGCGAGATCCTTATGTGGCTTTTACTTACTTATGCGGTTATAGACATCAGACTTGCATTTCTTTCAAGCTGCAACATTGTACGCTGGGTTTTGGGTACCACGACCTAGGCCATAAAAAGAAGGCTGAATCATCAACAACGCTGGCGAAACGGCTTCCCGAAACAGGCTGGCCCGATAAAACGCGCTTTCATCCGGACTACAGTTGAAATGGTTCAAAAACTGAGACCGTCTAAGATTGTAGACAAACTGCGGCAAGGCCACCAATTCTTCAGGGAGGTGGAAAGATGCTACATCTCCCTTGTTGTAGTTGGCGAATCGAAGTTTAGAAGTGGAGAGGATAGGATAGTATAGGTTGCACTATTGCCCATTCTACACGGATCGTGTTAAGATGAGCGCGAGTTAACTATGGATCTTCCTATTCGGATGCGGAGTACTAGAAGAGGGGAAGAAGGAAGCAACCTGAGAATCTTCTGCCAGAGGCGTTGTAAATCTAGATTCACAATTCTCGGAATATATAAGGTCATCCTTGTAGGAACGAGAAGCTTAACGTCGTTAGAACAGAAAGTAATGCCATAGGACATGTTTTCAGTTTACTACAACAGAATCACGGAAAGATCTCAGATAGGATAATTAGTCAAGGAAATTATAGTTACAGAAGAAGGAAGTTATCAAGAGCCTTAATACTCGCTAACCGTATTAAGCTTCGATCCACTTTTCGCACTACGTCAGCAGAATCCGCTAGAGGATTTGACAACAGCGACACGGCATACCTTGCGAGGACTACAGCAGCTGCTTCGTCGTCAAAGCCGTGACTTATATCGGTCAATGCGGGACAAGCGAATCTGATATATGACAGTGAGATTTACCTAGCATGCTTCAAAGTCAGTACGCGAATCTGATATGTTAGGTTAGGTGTGGGCCTACCAGGAAAACTGGCAGACATGAGTGGCTGCTGCAGAGCCAAAAACAAAACTACGAGCATTGAATATCAGTGAACGCAGGACAAGCGAATCTGATTTATAGAGATTTATAGAGGATTATAGAGGAGAGGAGAGGAGAGGAGAGGAGCTGGCTCGCCTCAAGGAGGTGAGCCTTTACGACTGTTTGATGGAGGAGCCATGGTAATTTGAGGAGCCATGGTAATTACGATCAGTCAAAGGGAAAGGATTCTTCAGTCGATAAGGAAGACATCAAGGGAAACTGATCGCGTAAGTGTTAGGTAACTCATTCCAACTGATGCGCATCATCAAGTATATTCTTGTACCCTCTGGCCACTGTGGTGATTCGCACCCGTCTCTGGCCATTCGGATCATTGTAGGCAGTCTGAAACTGTATATAGCCAGCTTTCAAATGCATCTCATCTACGGATTCTTCTGCTCGGTTCAATGCTTTAGAGGGATCTACAACAAATATGCTGCTGGATAGACATTATTATTTTTTTTGACCAAAGAGATGCTGAATAGAAATTTGAAACTCCCCTGCCCTTGCTTCTACAAAAGCATTGGCTAAAAAGAGAAGCCTTTTATCTATTTGAGTACTTATACTTCATTCCCGTGATCAACCCCATGCATCTCAAGCATAATAGCTTTAAGTACTTACCAGTGATCAACCCCTCCATGTATGAAGCATAATAGCTTTCTCAAAGAAGAAGCACAGGGAAGAACTACTATCCAATACACCTGCTGCCCATTCGTTGGTTGATCCTTCTCCAATTTCCTCGTTGGTACTCACGGAAGAATGTGCTTTCCCCGTTCCGCAACAGTTGCCCACCGCTCCAGCAACTTTGACCTCTCCTGAGGTTAGGAGGGAAATTCTAGCGTTCAATCCCAGCATTGCATCGGTCCACAACGAATCGTCAAACTGCCGTAAAAGCGTGTCTCGAAAGACGTGTGAAGAGAAGGAATCGGCGAGGAGAGTTAGAAGTGAGTGAACCAACTAAAAACGGTGTTTCAGATGGGCTTTGAAATAGATCAAAAGTCTAAGCATTTAATATCAGAAGTTTTCGTTGGTGAGCACAGCATCTTGTTCTCCCGCCTGTCAACATATACAGGAGAGTCCCCTGCCCTTAAGCACAACAAGCCACCTGTCTTCTCGCACAGATCCCTCATCTCCAACACTCCCAGTTGGTCAAGACTGCACCCAAAAAGGTCTATCCCGGCACCTACGTAGGCCGCACGTTGCGCTATGTCCGAATAGACTTTCTGCGCTGCTGGCAGAAAGTCTGTTACATTGCTAGTTTGCTTCAGCACGTCGTGCCAGGAACGCATGGGCTCACTCTTGTCTAGGTCCACAACAGAACCAGGACCATGTGTACAGGGGCCGCTGGTTAAGAGAAAAATCCGCGCGCCAGCGAAACGAGGAGCAGAACAAGGGGTGCTACTAGTATTAGGGCTACTAGTATTAGGTCCATCCGATATTCATCCCTGCTGAGGTGCATCTTGTATAGCAGGGATAACCTGAAAGATAAATCACCGAGGGTCTTAACAGTACTCCCTTGCCCAGAAGAAATATTTTTTTTCGCTTTCCTCCTTTCTACTTCAAAAAGCGAGGCTCCAGCTGAGCCATTGGCGTTCCATGTGGCTGACGGTGGTGCAAAGGATGACCGAGACATACTACCGCCAGTAGTTTCATGGACGTACTGTTCCACTAGTGAAACAGCCAGAGACAAAGCCGCTCCTGTACTCCGATATACGCGACTTCTTGGGCCTTCCCTTGGCCACAAATCCTTGCCCAGGTCGTCTATCACACCGTTCAAGACGAACTCGCATTCTCCTATTGGCAGTAGAAATCGCGACCCGACGGAAGAGGATTGTGCTGGTGGAGATTAGATTGGAAAGGAAGACGCGACGGAAGAAGATTGTGCTGGTGGAGACTAGCCTGCGAAGGCGGATTACTATGCACTCAGACGAGACTCGACATTATATGTGCTGGTGGAAGTTACTAGACTGGTACAGGTTCTAGACTGGTAAACAAGGTTCACAAAACCTTTTCTCAAGACGTGACACAGGCACAAAACCTTTCCTTAACGCTGTTGCTGAACGCTTCCGACTCCTCCTGATGGATCGACAGGCTTCTTATGGAATCCGTCCATGTTGTTTTGGTTATTGGAAAAATCACCAGGATCCGCGAAAGGATGATAGGTCGACGCTGACCCCTGTGCTCCTCTTGATCCAAGATGTAGCTGGCTAGCAATCTGGAGGTGTTGATCATCATCATGGTGTCCCATCTAGTGCTACTAGCCTAATGGTAGGTTGATTTGAGAGTTGAGAAAAGGGCCAGCGAAATACCTTCTCTTCTAACTATATGTAGTTTGTTTCTAGCAACACTAACAAAACAGTAACAATCGAGTTCCGTACTACAACCGCAAGTCCTAAGTTGTAGTTGCACCTACTACTTGTTCAGGCAAAAGAAACCCTTTATCATGTAGTACCGCCTCCGCCCCATACAGCTTGGCTCCGTTGAAGGCGTAACTTTTTGACAAGTCTTGAAATGCTAGTTCCCAGACATGTACTAGCTTGCCATAGGATATAAACCCAACACGCGCATGTGGTGGTATCCTTGCCAATGCCTGTTGAATGGCATCCTTCGCTTTTTCCAGTTCTGCCTCATCCTCGGCGCTGTTCAGAGCGACGTCCAGCACGAAAACGAAGATGGGGGCATCGGGTGTGGATGCTGCTGTGGAGGAAATGAAAAGGGCATTATCAATTAGGAAAAGGGTCATTTTGATGGTGTTGTGGAGGAAATGAAAAGGGCATTATCAATTAGGAAAAGGGTCATTTTGATGGTGTTGTGGAGGAAATGAAAAGGGCATTATCAATTAGGAAAAGGGTCATTTTGATGGTGTTGTGGAGGAAATGAAAAGGGCTTAGGCATTATTAGTCATTTATATTAAAGGAGGGTCATGAATTCGAATCAGGGTCATCTTATTAGGAATATTCCATTAGGCTTAGGCATCCTTCATATAGTTGTAATCGTCCATGAATAAGCTTGTTCAAGTGCTGGTGGAGGAAAAAAATTTGATTATAATCTCCACTCAGTATTATACTGTTATGAAGATTAAGTCAAGTCGCGCCGTAGAAACCAACGGTTTTAGACCTAATTACCAAGTCAAAATTTCCTTCATAACCGTTCCTCCCTGATGCGCCACCTGCGGCAACAGATACTCTATCGAGGACAACTGGCATTCTAAGGGCAAAGCCTGTTCTGATATCCTCTCGGCATAGAATCCCGGAAACTGGTTTAGTCTCCCACAGAAGTTGCAGGTCCAATGCTTGGTCCTAAAATCGACTTTACAGAACGGATTTAAAGCTCCGTCACATTCGTTCTTTCGTTAGCGAGTGCTTCTATTTATCTGGAGGATCCCCTCATTGATATTACTGGTACCTCACCTTTTCCATAGTACTCTTCTATGGGTGCAAAAGTTTGCACCGAGATGCCGAGAAACAAGTTGAATAAAAGCCAACCATAATTTCTGTCGTCCGACTGTCTACCAAAGTTCGCCCTACTACTCCAAGTTCCGCCTCCACACATAAGCGGCTCGTAGCTGACAACGCGAGCCATTTTCTGTCGGAGAGGGGTGTATACACATCCCAGTGGCAGCACGATTCTCGTGGCATCGATGCGACTTGGTGGCCAGATATTCCAGCTAAATCGGACTCCATCTTGCTGTTCAGCAGCCTGGAACCTCTGCCGCTGTAACTCCAGAGCTGAAGGTGCGGAAGACATCGCTTTCTATGGCTTTGGATGCGCTTGATCGTAACGACGAGTCCACTTAAGAGATTAGCCGCGATGTGCTACAGGAGTTCTTTCAGGCTCCGAGCAGCTTCTAAAGATGGACCTCCGTGACCGCAAACTCTAGATGGAGACGTCGACGTGCTCTTGTGCCCAAAGCGGGTCGTTGGGCCTCTGATAAGCATGACCATATCCACAAGGACACAGCAAAATGCCAGCTGTAGCAACAGGCAAACGGAGGGGGACGGCGGTTTCCATTTTGTATAGCGAAGATTGACGTAAGCGTTAAAGAATGTGTTATTATCTGTCTGCTTGTAGTGAAGACTGTTAATAGTGGTCAATTCTTCAAAAAATCAAAATCAGAATTCAATTAGCATGGTTACTACTCTTTAGTCACTCTAACTCTTTAGTCACTCTATCCACAATGGTAATACTTCATTCAGGGACGTGAAGATCACACATGATGAAAGAGCAAGGAAGTTAAGAGAGAAGCGTACGCCTCTATGATCTTGGAATAAAATGGAACAACCATGATTAATATTACCATGATCGACCTCGAATCGTGATCATGGTCTTAGGAAAAAGTATATGCGTTACAAGGTTGAGTCTAAAAAAATGCGGCGATGCAGATGATGTCATATGTAGAATGGGTCTTTGTATTTCAGGCAGACAAGCAGAAAAATGCCATCAAATAAATGCATTTAGAGTAAATTGTTGAAATGATTCTTCATCATATGTTGATTGCATATGCAGGATAGGAATACGATTGCAAAAGCCTATGATAGACTTGGGGTGAATTCCTATCAGTGAAAAATGGATAGGAGGATAGCATTGCTAAGGTTAATTCAAATATGCTGGCCGGAGGGACTGATATGACAGACTGCAAACGCATGTAGTTCGAAACGTGTCGGTGTCCTAAGTTAGGCATAAGATTAATTCAAGAGCAAGACCCCACCCTACTCCTTACAGTGCACAAGCACAGTATCGTAGTGGACATCTGCATGTTTCATTCACCCTCTCCGCATGCACCACTGAACATCTGCATGTTTCATTCACCCTCTCCGCACGACCTCCCCCAACAAGCCCACAGGATCGCATAGTGCTGCGAAGTTGCAGGCCATCTGACGGTCTAATTCTTCCGGGTGCTTGATTGCACGTCGGAGACGTCTTAGCAGCTCGTTCTTACGATTCGTTCGTCTACAGGACTCTTCTGGATCGTCCAGACTTAGAAGAGAGTCATGAACATCATTTCGATCTCCTGATCTAAGCACGTATTGATTCTATTGGGAAAGGGTACCAAGTTCAAGATGCTGAGAGAGATGACTAAATAAAACTGACCATAACAAGTCGTGGTCTGCGACTGGAATGCCTAGAAACACTGCACGAAAGATCTGCAACGACTCCACGAACTCGAAAAAAAGACCGAAGCTGGCACCAGTATCTAGAGAAACCACGAGTTTCAGAGGCGGCATCGGTCGACGTAGGCAATTCGGTAAAACAGGGGCTTCGGGCGCAGAGGTCTTGATGAGCGCCTCGTCTGGACTGTGATGGTCGGTGCGTTGTAACGCTTTGGGCGGAGAGGTCTTGATGAGCACCTCTGGACTGTGATCGTCGGTGCGTTGTTGTTCTTGTTGCACTAGGACTGCATCATCCCGCTCTCCCTGATGCTCCACAACGAAGTCAGCGAAACGTGGTTCACCTCTATAATCCTCTCTACCACGACGTTGACCACCACCATCCTCAGCCACACTCAGAATTGAAGCCGGAAAGATATGTCCATCAGTTGCTGGATCTGCCCGCCTGACTGATCTAATCGTCTCGTCGACAAGCATTGCACGTAGGAAACCCTGGAATGCGTCCCAACCAGGGTCGCCTTGCTCGGCATCAACATCAAGACCACCATCACACAAACGACTCCCTTCATCTTCCTCCCTGCATGTAGCACCAACGGCCTTCTGACTGCTCGTCAAGTCCAACCACAAAACACTTCGCCTCAGTTGCCTTTCTATCTCCTGCTCCCGTGCAGCTGCACTTGCCACAGGATCTACACTGGGCTGTGCCCTTCGCATCGGTTGTGGTGCTGGCGGTGTAAGGTTGCCGCCTCGTAGCACGTAATCCTCTATGTCAAGAAAGGATAAGAACTCTCTCCAAGGCGTCTGGTCATGCAAAGCTACATCGTCGCAGTAGAGGTAGCTTTTCATGTCGCCCATCGCACTAGATGCTGAGTCAAGTGCTGTGAGATCTTGATGAACTGGCGGTGCAGTCCTTGGAGAGGAAGAAGAGGAACCAGAAGATGTCCTGGACGATGCACGATAATGCAGCAAACTGGAACTCCGGAACATGCCTTTCAAGTCTTTCTGTCTCGAGTCTTTTTGGTGTAGAAGGTAGTGCCGCAATGTCTGCAGTTCGTGTAGCGCGTCGACTATGGGAAGATGTGTCGCCGATTTCAATATACACTGCCTTTCTTCCATCCGGTTCGGGAATTAGCGTGTGAGTTTTTATTCGACGCTGACTGTGTAAGCTGTAACTAGATAATTACTTTTTTGGTACTTATAGATCGGTGGAGCACGCCTATCTAGGAAACAAAAAATTTAAAAGAATCAATTAAGCCCAAATGTCTATAGAAGAACTATAGTGGCCACGTTTATATTAGGATTTTGGTAGTTATAGACAAAACTATGGTGAGGCCCATAAAATGGCGACCCGCATGGAAAAGCTCCTACTTTTGACACTGCTGGGCTGGTCGATGAACTCGCGTGTTCTTCAGTCGAGGGCACAGTAGCGTCTTCTAGCGAATCCACCGAAGCAGGCAGTATTGGTTTTTTACCACAGAACGGCGCGAAACACCCCACTCTTTCTCTGTCTCCTGCTGACGAGAAAAACGAAACCAGTCTTTTCCTTCCCGTTAGGCTTGAGTTCAACCTTGTATCTGGCTGTAGTTCTTGTCCCTTTTCTTCTTTTCCTCCACTTGTCACTCGTGCTGGCGGCTTCGTCGACGATACTGCCTGCCCAAGACCACTGTTTTGGGAAGACCCAAGAGCACTGCTGCTTGGAGAGTCCTGACCGCGTTCAGCCCAACCTAGGAGTGGAGATCCAAGCTCGAATGCATAAGGACCACTTTTCTGGCTCTGTAGCTGTCCTAGACCCATAGCCGGGCTTCTTGCTGCTGTAGTGGCATCCGAGAGACGATCACGAAGTTTTCGATTGACTCGACCAAGTAAGCCGATTTCCCGTTCGTTCAGGTACCCAGTGGCGTCCGACACTAGGGTCGTGCCGAAGTTTGCAGCCGCTGCGGACAGAAGGTTGACACTTCCAAGCAAGTAGAATCGGTAGAGAGAACGTAGTGCCGAAGAGGACTGGCGGCATTTTATTCTTCTAGGTCCGAGCAATGTGGCAGGAGTCATGGTTTTATTCTTGACTGATGCAGGTACAACTTACGCAAACGAGATGATGTCTTTCAAATTTCATATGATGTAGCCGAAGCACAACAGCACTCACGTGATCGCCACTATTCAAGCTGAAAACAGCTTTTACACTTCAAAAGTCTAAAGCTTTATTGCTTGCTATGCTGACGATCCAAATCATCCTGGCACATGTTAGGACAACCGTACTTCCGCTTGTGCAGGTGTTCTTGCTTGGTTGTTCAAATTTGGATTCAATTTTGCGAATTGCGGTTGTAGTTGTTTGTTTTGAAATGTCATATTTCTTTGTAGATATCCAGCAGTGTGCGTTGGTACGACCCCCGTCAATATTGAAGCTCACAAAAAGTCGTGATGTACGCACTCCAGCTTCACCCAAAATCTATTTCTTCATCGTTTTCCCTAGTGGTCGAATCAACAAATTTTGTCGGCTTGTGTTGTTTCAGTTGTACTAGATAGTCGGAGTAATTCATCTCCAATTCCAAAATGACAAGTTGCAGTTGTTCTTCTAATGAACAAGATAATCTAGACGGACCAATATTCTCGGGAGACTCCCCGATAGTCATCAAGCGCATCTTCCTTTTTTCCAAATCACCCAAAAATTTTAATATATTCAATTTATGACAGAATAGAAGCGATTAGACAGCAGTAGTACAAATGAAAAGTGCTGTATTAAAAGTACTTCTGCGTTTGTTGCGTTGCGAGAGTAAGTTATGAATTTCCGATTTTTTGAGTTATTGAACGAGTGTTTATCCTGTAGCTATATTCAGAGTTCAGCATTCAATTTTGCGTAGTTTATTTTGTTTCTATCATCGATCATTCATAATTGTGGTTACAAAAAAATCAGCATTGCAATTTCTATTGTTTCTGACTGCAATCTTTCTCATAACGCAGTAGTTTTCACTAGTCGAATGCTTCTCATAGCGCAGTAGTTTTCACTATTCTCATGCTTCTCATAGCGCAGTGAGAATCCTCCTCCATTCATGGCAAACCCGTTGTCTCGTAATCGATAACCAGCTTAGCCTCTTTGCGCTTGTATACGATGGTCATAGCGGTCACTTCACCGCGGACGCCCTGGGAACCACCACGCAGTTTGCCGATGCCGAGGATTAGAGGTTGGTGACAGCGATAATAACATGACTTCACTGAACCTCGCTCTGCATTCAAGTGATAAACGCACTTGTCCCTTCCACCTAAAACTAATCAAAACCCCAATTCTACTTACACTCATCCAACAAGTAGGCCGTAAGAAGGTAGAGCAGCATTCTGCCTTTGACAATGTGCCCTTCAACTGAGCTTCCGCGGTCTCTTGAAATTTCTCAGCTGGAAGCATCGCGCGAAAAAGCGCAGGCGGGATACCGGAAAACGTCAAGGATGCTGTTTTGTAGGAAGGGAGGCGGGTCGGGATGCTGTGTTGTCGAGTGGGAGATGCACTGTATGAGAAATCGAAACAAGTAGAGTCACGTTGATTTATTGAAAGGAATGGGTGAGAGGAGGTCTCGTTCAGGAAGCAAAGTCTGCGGCAAAATGATACCTCCCGGAACCACCCAAGCGCCCTTCTTCTTCACGATCGTTCCCAAGTTGGACGCAATGCGATCCGCAATTTCCTTGATCTTATTTGCATTAGAGATAATATCTTCGAAGTAGATCATCCGCGCATTGTACTTAGGCAAAACAATACCTACAACAGCGATGGCAGTTTACGACAAAGCTGCAGTAGCAAACTTGTGGTTTCCTCTAGGTAACTAGAATCACGAACGACTACAACTAGCCATAACTCTCGCCTTTTTTGCTTCCTCTTTTGCGCGTGCCACTTCTGCTGCCTTTCGTGCTTTCGATTCCACCTTCTCCGCAAAGGTCTCAATCCTAGCACGCTCAGCTGCGTCTCGCTCTGCTCGTCGTGCGGGTGTTAGGCCCTGTTGTTTTTTTGCTTATGGTGATCATTGTGATTCTTATTGTTTTGAAATTGGACGGAGATGTCGAATAAAAAACCTAGTCAAGATATCATGATCAGTTCTAAATGAAGTCTCTGCTCGATTTGAAACAAACATAGCTTCATTGTAACTTAAGTAGTACACTAGGTTTCGCTCTTTTCGCCGAAGGTTCTTCCGCTGGTGTAGCAGTTGCAGGCCTCTTCTTCGTTTTCAGGATCACGTCGTCAGCTTTTTCAGAGACTACTTCATCCGCCTCTGCCAAGATTTCACTCTCGTCTGCGGGGAAAGACGCGCCTTCCTCACTGCGCTTAGGCGTACACATCTCTGGTGGGTTCTTGCTCTGTGGTGGAGGTGGGGATATCTTGTTCTGGTGGGTTCTTGCTCTGTGGTGGAGGTGGGGATATCTTGTTTAGTTGGCGTAGGAGGTACTGCTAATGTCAATGTTATAATGTTTTCCATGTAGAAATGATTTCGCAAGTAGAACAGGTAGTACGTCGACTTTTTCTTCATCGTTCTTTTCCTCGACAGCCTCTGGCGCAGCCTCTACAGCCCCTTCGACCTCGACAGCTTCTTCTAGCACCGGCTCAGCCTCAGCCACAGCTGCAGGTAGCTCTTCTACGACAGCAGGCACCTCTTCTACAGCAGCTGGCTCCTCTGCAGGTAGCTCTTCTACGACAGCTGGCTCTTCGACGACCACTGGCGCCTCAGCAGCCTCCTCTACGGCCACAGCGCTCGGCTCTTCGACAGCTGGTTCCTCTTCCACTGCCACTGCTTCCTCAGCTGCTGGTGCTGCTTCTTCTACTTCCACAGCTGGTTCTGGAGCAGCCGCTTCCTCAACTGGTGGCGCTACCTCCTCAGCTGCTGCTACCTCCTCAGCTGCTGCTACCACAGCTGGTTCTGGAGCAGCCTCTTCTTCTACAGCTGGCATCTCCTCGACTGGTGCTGCTGCAGGTGGCTCTTCGACAGCAGGCGGTGCCTCTTCGACGACAGGTTGTACCTCCTCCATTACAGGCGCCTCTTCTGCGACAGCCTCGACCGGAGCTGCCTCTTCAACCGCCTCCTCGACTGCTGGCACAGCGGTCGGCTCTGCTGCCATCTCGATGTCATCCACTTGAGGCTCCGCTGCAGCAGTAGCCTCTTCCAGCTCTGCATCTGCTGCCTCCACAGCAGGTAGCTCGGCATCTTCTGCCTCCACAGCAGGTAGCTCGGCATCTTCTGCCTCCACAGCAGGTAGCTCGGCATCTTCTGCCTCCACAGCAGGCTCTACTGCTATGGCATCCGCACTTCCTGCGTCGTCCACCTCTTCCACTGGTGCCACTGCTTCATCGGCTTCAGCGACGGGTAGTTGCTCATCGGAGAGATTCACATCGCCATCTTCGCCTTCGACTACCTTTCCTTAGAGGTAGGTTTTTGCTGTTCGTTTATCCCGGTTGTTATGGCTGTCCCCCTTAGGAGAGCCATAACAAACGGTAACGAAAGCACCGTTAACCTACCCTTAATTTCCCTCCTCTATGTCTATGACGTCTTCTACCTTGTTTGCTTCCTCCGCTACCTCTGCCTCTGCTGGCGCGCCCTCCTCTACCTCTGCTGGCGCGCCCTCCTCTACCTCTGCTGGCGCGCCCAACTCGTAATCATTGTGCGCATCTGCTACAACCTCAGGTTGTTCAGCCGGCTCGATGACATTCTCCGGAAGACCGATTTCCTTTCCTAGCTCCGCCACTTCCGCACTCTCAGAGAGGACGTCGTTCTGAGAAGCGACGGACAGGCGATTTTCAGGCATTGTTGTCTTTTGGAAGAGAAAGAGGTATCTATGTATAATCAATATGTTAAGAAACAAGTCTGTATTAATGCTACTGTTTTGCAATCTTGTACATGTAGTTCTTTTGCTCAACTTCATATTATAGGCTAAGTTAGTATATGCCGTATATCGACAGGAAACGCATCAGGTGAAATTTAGTCTAAGTTTTTCAATTTTTCCTTCTTCGCTTTTATACGTTATTTTTCACATTGAGAAGCGCATGATAGATTTTCTCTCGTCTCAGCAACCCTAGTGATTTGATGTTTCCCTCTCGCAACATTTTGGGCCCGATTTTGTCTTCGTGAGCAAAGAACACAACTCCACTGGTGTGCCAGCCCAAACACACGAGCCATTCTTTGTTTGAATTTTCGATTCTGAATCAATCCACATTAATTTCAATCCACAATTCCTGTACAACATCTATCAGATCTACTGCCTGTGCTTTCCTGGGTCTACCTAGCACCAGGACGTAGACGCCAGATTTCGGTGTTTCAAAAAAATAACAATTGAACTGTTCAAGGATAGAGAAAAACTGAGGAAAGTGATTCGTGAAAGAAAGGGAAGATAAAAATACGTGTTAGATTATCGTGTTAGAAGGATGTCCATAGAGTTGACAGGTGATCTCTTAGCGTAAACGAGTTCTGTGTTGCTAGAGTAGAGGGTCAAGCCATTAGCACGTGTGATGATGCTATTAAGCTTCGTCTAAGCGCCGCTGCACGTACTCTCCAGAAAGGTCGTCGTCCTCTCAGCAGCAACACTGCTACAACGTACACGCTACAGCAATTTTGCTCAGGAAGCGACCGCATATTTTATCAGCGACTCCATGAAAGTTCGGAGAGACACGTCATCCGTAATCACGGTTGTGCTGTCCGCTATATGAGACGAGTCGGTTCTGTGCGTCCGTGAAGGATTCACGCGGCTTAAGACGAAACGTGCTGAGTATGAAAGAGGGGCTGGGGTACTACGGAGTCTATGGTAGGAGAGGAAAGGAGAGACCGAAGGTGCTACAATTCTCCTCAAGTAGCTATAAGTACAAATGTTTTGACCTCCAACTATAACTTCTAGTTCTGGCCCTACTCCTGTTCCAAAGACTCAATATCGGTGATCACTACATGCCTTCATAACTGACTTCCATTCGCGTATGTCTGGATGTATTTGGGCACTGGAAATCGTTCCGCCAGTATCTCCCTAGCGTCCTCGGCTGGTGCGATAAGAAGTTCCTTAAAATTCGCGTACTCCTCCTTCTCCTGATACCCAAGCTCAAACCAGTGTTGGACCTGCTCACCACGCCACAAAACTACTTGAAAAAACGTGTCCAGGAGTAGAATGACATCTTTTTTTGATTAGAGATGGTACTAGAAGGTCGTAGATCACGACTAAGTCTTGAATCTTCTGCTTGCGCGACTGTGCAGTTTAACTTTGTTCGTACGTCTTACCTCTGATACGAGGACTGCGCAAGCACACTGATGAATTTGTACTATTTCACAATAATTGTCATATTTACAAATATGCCAGTTTTGGACCTTCAGTGGACGCGAACACAAAGTGACTCACTTTTTCTTTTCTGTTCCCTGTAAAGGATTGCACCAGGGTTGTCTTTGTTCGTGCTTATGCTCTTTGTTAGTTCATATGCATCTTGGTGTTGTTCATGTTATGTTTACCCCAATTCCTTGTCTGTTCCCTTGCTCCATCTTGAGCCCCCAGCAATGCATTGATGACAGTCTTTGGCACAGAGTCTACATACTCACTTACTCAACTGTCTTCTTTACGTATATCCAGGAACTCCTAAACACCTCTTATAACCTACTCTCGTCTTCTTTGATGCCTTTCACCTGCTTAATAATACCTCTCGTTCTTCTTATAGAAACAAACATTCTCATTCGGGATACTCCAACAAACACTTCAACAAACACCGACATCAGTCAAGACGATCAGGAGGAACTTAGGAACACTCGTCGAATTTGCACGATCACGATCACCATCTTTTCACCATAGAAAGAAAGAACCGACGCGACTTCACGATTCAACTTAACTTACACTAATCGACATACCCCCCGGGAAGGATTTAAAGAATCGTGAAGGCGTCGCTCACGAATAGCACTACATAAGTCCTAAGCAAAAGTAATTATGGATATGCTGATGAGTGGGAAGGGCTTTTGATTTATTTCGAAAGCCCTCCTTTGAGACGTCCTACTACTTGTTTATTTCAAAACCTAACTTAGAAAACTTATGAAGTCTTAGTTTAGATTCTGACACAGCATGAATACCAAAACCTCTCTATGATCTTATTACCAAATCCGACAAGCCAACTAACACAACATGAATGAATTCATACTTTGATGCACTCGGAGCGCTCTCTAGCTCTCCTCTTCGTTCTTCAACGCTTAAAAAAGACTTCTGGGCTTCTCAAGCCCCCAACTACTCTTGGTCTGACCAAGATCAGGTTTAAGTCTGACTTAATATCTACGAGCTAAATTTAAGTTTATGAATCATGAACGAAAATGCTAAGACCTACAATACATGACTACTATCTCACGACATTATTCGAGCGACAACTCTTCAAACTCTCTCCAGTCTCCTTCTCCGGCAGGCAAGTCTTCCCACTTGTAGGTATTGGATGTCAGCTGTAACCCTGCATAGAGGACGCCAACCTTCAAAAGAACGCCGGGCGAGTACAATGGTCAAAACTCAAACTTCCTCCTGGAAGAAAGTACGAGTCGATCCCACTAAACTACGTCCCGCGTACCTCAAGAGGACGGCAACCAACATCACACAAGGAACAGCTAACCCAAGTCCTGGTTAAATCTCCTCAGCACGCCGAATCCCTCAGGTGTGGACTTTCTATCTCCAGGCACAGCCCACACAAACCATCCATTCATCAGGTTACGGAACCGCTCCATCTTTTCATTCTTTGGACTGCAGAACTTCCCAAGCACGTCCGCAAGATTCACCACGTCACTGATGTGAATCATTGTCCTCGGGAACTTGCTGGCAAATTTCCGACTGCGGACTAACGTCTTGAACACGTACATGTTCTCACTAGCGGGAATCTCTCGTGTCATAATCCGATCGATTGCAGAAGCATTATCACCCAGGTCGTACTGCTTAAAGCGAAGCCTTCCAGGAAGACGTTTGTCTTCCTCAACCCCATCTGTCATCGCCGGAACGTTTCCAGTCTTGAGTTCTACTGCGTGAAACGGATGGTCATCTGGCAAGACGACTTCTCTTAGCTTATGCTTGATGATTTCTGATCGATGCATTCCTCTCTCGTGTCCATCCAGTTCACCCGCATAGCTGCTCTTGGCCGGTGCGTCTGACCTCACAAGGCTCCAATCCAAAATCACTGCACGGAAAGGCTCTCTGGTTCTGCAAGATTCCAAATCCTCATCATGGTTTGCGATCAGGATTAGATAGGTCACCAGCGGAAACATGTTGTCGGCCGACATCTGCTTAAATTCTTCCGAAGTGTTGTCCAGCACCACAGCTACTCCTTTGTTGCGCACCCTCTCGTCCGATTCTCCTTTCACCCCTTTAACTGGACAGGCCTGTAAGGACATGTCACTTAGCGTCAGGAAACACAAGTTGTCGCCCAGGTCAACCCAAAACTTCAGTCCTTGCTCTGGTGTCGCCTTCAGCTTCTCAACTACCTGATTATACCTCAGGGTGCTTCCTACTGTACGCATGGTGTCGTTACCAAGGGAGAGAATGCGGTGCTGATAGAGAATGTCCGGCCGCGTCCATTCTGCTATGAATCCCACAGCGCCACGGACACCTCGCAACTCGGAAACTTCGTTGTCGTACAAGAATCGATCTAGATCTGCAACTGCTATTCCCTGCTTCACCTCCTTCGGTCGGAAAGGGTCAAGCATCCCAATTTTCTTTGGATTGGCAACGTAGAAGTACTTTCCTTCCTTGGATTCGTGGTAGCTTATCTCCTTTCCTGTAAAGGTCTGTGGAACTTCAGTCACTTCTTGCCAGCCGTCCAGTTGGAACAGCTTCTCAATTCTCTCCATCACCTCGGCTGTCTTACCATCCTCTGTGACGGAGAAGAAATCGTCCATGTGTTCGCCCAGAGCCGCGAAGAGCTGTCGCTGACGGAAGATCCGGAAAATGCAAAGAGTCGTCTCCGGAGTGGTCATGCCCTGCTGTGGAAAACGCTTCCTTACGCTACGGACGTATCGGAAGGCCCCCGCCAGCAGACCATATTGCGCTACGTTCATCATGAACCTTGTCCTCCAGCTAATACACTCTGCACCCTTCAACTCCAGCACGTCACTAATCCTGGCAAACACTCGCTCTAGGCAGCGTGCTGTACCTTGGTGCTGGATTCTGCTGATGGACGTGGAAGGTCGCTCCTCCTTCTTGTACTTGTCGGACTGGTTAAACGCTCTAGGCATATCCATTATGCCTCCCTTAGGATTCCGGAGAAAATTCCCGATAATCATCAGAATCCGAAAATCCACAGTAGACAGCGTAGGCGAGCTATTCTCCTGCTTTTCGAGATTTGCTTTACTCTCGTGCGAGCCATTCGGTGCCCATCTGGCTTTGACCAAAGCCCACAGAAGGAAGGTTGCTACCGCCTCTGCTTTTACGTCTACTAGAAAGCGACCACCTAGATGCACTCCTGAATGCGTCACACCCACGTTTTCCGGACTACTCTGACCCGTGACGTCTACCTCAAGACATTTGCCTCCATCGGTGCACTCTGCGGTCAGCAGTCCCGACATCTCCTTGAAGTACGCCGCTTCCAGAAACTTTTCTGCCTCCATGTGGTCATTCACGTACTCGGAAGTGATATCTACTATCTTCCCGCTTTTACGGAGATGTTTCCTCATGGCAGCTGTCATTCCTTTTCTGCACACAAATATTCGACGCTCGCTTTCGTTCTCCTTGGCAACCGGCTCGTACCCGAAAAACTCAAACCTAACAGCTGCTACCACGCTACAGCGCGTTTTCTTCGTTCTGGCAAGGATGTGTCTGCCGGACTCCTCTCGAAGGACGTAGAACCCACACGCTGTCCTGCTTTCATGCAACGCCGGAGCTCTACTCAGGTCCAACCGCTCGGCATGCACTCCCCAGGAAAGCTTTATCTCATCCAGGAGCCACTTTCTCTTCTCGTCACAAAGGGCAGCCAACACTAGGAAATCCGCATCTTCCACTTGCACTCCAGTAGCCTGCACATTGCCGTAGACACTAACGAGTAGTTCTGCGACTGCTGCACTCTGCTTCAGATTGTCGATACCAGGAAGGTTCACCTCAGACCTGGCCGTCCACTTGCTGATCTTAGTCAAGTCCTCTGTTGGGCCAGCTTTCTTGACAGGTTCCTTCGGTAGAGTGATGACCCCCGACTGGATTTGCGCTGCTATCACTTGCTCCACTTTATGCAAGTCTTCCATGCTGATGTCGTAGATTTCTACATTATCCACCAGCGGAGTATTGATATGTTCTTTGTCTTCTCTATCACCGAAGTCCTTTTTGTCAAAGAAAACCGTCCGGCCGGTCCAAGCTTCACTGAGCAGGCGGGAATGAAGATCTGTGTCCTGGAACGCTTTACCGTCGAAGACCAGTCGAAAGGCGGTCTCGGGCTCCTCATCAAAAGCCACTTCCGTCCAGATGCTCTTGCGCAACTCCGCTTTGTCCATACCGCTCGGCAGTTCTTCCTCCTCCGTGCTAAAGAGACTACTCCTACTTTGAGCATGGACTCGCACCCACCGGTTCGGCTCTTCTCTCTGCCAATGGTCGCGCAGACCTTCTTCGATGGCAACATTCTGCACTCGCACACCCGTGGGAACAGATGTTCTGATCTCTCCTCCTTCTTCCTTTTCCAATTCGTAGAAAACGGCACGTCCTACGTATTCCTCATTCTGGTTGGGAAGAAGAGCTCCTTTGGATACGACACGCCTGCTGTCCTTCCCTTCTATTCTCCAATCATCATAGAAGCTTTCGGTCGGCTCATCCGGGTGCTCAGACGTCAACCGGTACTCTGTCCTTCTCATAGCGCTAAGCCGATGATTGTCAGGCTGCAAGTACTTAGACGGCACACGCGTAGGCACGTACAGCGACTTCCTCGGCTTGTTCAGGTGCCTAACCCACACGTTGCCCTTTTTCGTCCAGTAGTCTATTACCTCTGCCGACTCCTGTGTTCTATCCGCTTGCGCAGGTGACATATCAAGAGCCAGTCGACTGCCTTGAATTTCTACTACTTCTTCGCCACCGAAAGTCACCCCTCGCTGTTGGTCATCATCCCCAAGCAAGAGGTCCTCGCCCTGTTGTTCATCTATCTGTTCGTTGGGGAGAGATGGCTTTTGGTCTAACAGCAAGTAAGGTGATGGAGCCATTCCAGGCTTGCGATGTCTCGGATAGATCCAGGTACTTCCCCTTAGCACATCGTCGTCGGACACTTCTCCACACCACGTATCCGTGAGCTCGCTACAGCGCGTGAATTTGCCAACCACGCTCTTGAGAGCGATGGCCCTGGTTTCCGAACAGTCCGCGCACTTCTGGAGTAAGTACGCTCCTGCCACTCGCAATGGCCTTTCCCCTTTCTTGATCTCTTCTAGTATCTGCTTCATGTGCGGAACATCAGCAGAGCTGATCGGGAAGGTCTCGGGCATACCGTACACGCGATCTGTCTCCAGTAACGGCCTCACTTTCCTCCTCTGGACCTCTAGGGCCCTAGACGCCGCTCCTGTGGGCTGGATCCGGCAACGGTCTGTGCCCGTTTCGCAAATGAAGGTTGCCGTACTCCACTTGCCAAAAGAGGATCCGGAGGACACTTTCTCCTCATACTCGACTGCATCACCAGCACTGAACCGCATTCCTCGAAGAGGTTCCATCGCATGATTGTGAATTTTCACTAGCGTTCTCTGCCAGGACTGCGACAGCGTGACTTCGGAGAGCGCCCCGCGCGACAACTCAATTGCTTTTGAAGTGAGACCTCTCCCGGCGTTCAGCTGATGCGCTTCGTCCATGTAGAACAGTCCTCTAGATTCCGGGGTCACCGCAGAGAAACCGTGGTCATAGACACCTCCAACTCCGTCCTGCAAAGCCATTCGCTCGTTCCGGACACAGTGGGCCAAGTCAATCTGCACCTGCAACGGAAGGCACCTCAACTCAGGAATCAGTCTAAAGCGCGCTAGCAGTTCCTTTATTATTCCGTTCAGCCGTTCTAGGAGTGCCAGTGCTAGTGGTGAGTTCCCTGAAACGATCCTTAGATACCTTCCAGCGGCAAGTACCACCATCGCCACGGCTCTAGCAACGTGAGCTGGATCTGGATCGAGCACTAGGAGCATTCCCATCTTTCCGTACTTCAGTAGCTCGCTTATGAAAGCCATTACGTCCTTGGATGTTGGATGTCCATTGAGCTCCTCTTCAGAGATGTCATCTCCCGGCTGTTTGCCCTTGGGTCCAAGATGCTTTCCTTGTCCTTCTCGGGAAAGTAAGCGCACGTGGTTTGAGATCGCTTGCACTTCCTCTAGCCACGGCGGACCCACAAACGTATGGTCAATGAAAGACACCGCCTCGGGAGCAATCGAGTACCAAGTGCCTGTCGATCCTCGCCAAGGCAATCCTAGTCGATTATGTCCTCTAAGATGGACGAAGGCGAAAGCCTCTGCGGCTCGCTCTATCTCAGCAACTGGCACTCTTCTCCACTGACGGGCTACTTGCTGCACCAGTGACTTCTTATCTACCTGCCATCCCTGGCGCCGTGCAAGTCGCTGTAGCTCTACAAACAGCACCAGTTCTCTTGCTGAAAGTCCGTCTCGCACGTCTCTGGGACACGTAGTGTTAAGCCTATCTGCCACCATCTGAATCTCGTCCACTTCCGTTACGCCAAAAGGAACGATTCGTCCGCTGATGGTAGCGCGTCTCAGCTGTCCAGCAAGAAGAGAGTTGAGGCTAAAGTGTCTGACACGCTTCGTCCCACTCTGCCGCAGTCGAAGCTGTGCGAGCTCTCCGATGCAAACCGCCGAAACGATCCCATCTCCCGAGATAACTACCCTTCGGGTCTTGTTTCTCGAAAGCTCGACTTCTACTTGGTTTACGGCTTGCGCGGCGAGCGGAAACGTGCTCATCTTGGACAACAGCTCCGGTGCAAAGCCGGTCACTCTGACTCCAACGACCTCTCGCATTATGCGCTCAGCCTCCCTGTCGATTTCCATGCTCACCTCAAGACGAAACATGTTCTGACAGGCAAACCGCAGAGGAACAGGGTATCCTCTTGCGATCGTGATTATCCGATTCTTGTGGATATTGGCCGGCTGCATTACTTGATTTGCAAAGGTGACGGTTGCTTCTCTATCAACGATGTGGGTCTTCAGTGTAGGAATCTTGTCGAACCGGTCTGCCCTCAGCTTCTCTGCTCCGACCACTTTGTCCTTGAAGACGAAGTCTACCAGTAGGTTCTTGATCAACCCTTCTGGCACCTTGTCGGTAGGAAATGCCACCGGTGGAACTTGCTTCGTTCCTTGAGCCTTCATTCTAACACTTGGCTCCCCTCGAATCGCAGCTCCCGCCGAGTTGAAGTTGTGATTTTCGACGATGACACTTTTAGCATTATCCAAGTCACGGACTATCCTTAATACCGCATCGCCGTCTTTTCCTTCTATCTTCGGCACGGCTCTGCAGGCAATGAAGATGCGCCTGTATCCGAAGTATGAGACACTGTCTTCTACATCTAATCTGAACCAGTTCTTTTCATCCGTTGGCTTTCCGCTTATTGTTTTTGCACTACCGATCACCCGTAGATCCTGAGATGGTAGTCCATGCGAAGCTGGAGGACTGCTGTTTGTTCCGCCTCCATTTACTTCTTCGCCAGGAGGATTCCGCCAACTCGACGATTGTCCTCCTACATTTCCTTGGTCGACTTGTCCTTTTTGCTTTGACGATGTGGCAGTGTTGTTATTGATGTTTGTCTGATCCCTAATGCCAAAAACTGTGTTTAACCTTGCACTACCTCCTTCCAGTTGTTGTTCTACGGTTTTCATTGCTGTTTTCAAACTACGTCCTTGTCGTACTTGTTCACCTAAAGCTTTCACAACTTCAGGAGATAACCCATTAAACAGAGGTATACCAAAACGTTCATCTTCTATTTTCTTCTTCCAACTTCCCATGCTGATCGTAGGTGGTCTATCAGCAAAGGACAACACACATCCTAGTTCCAACAGCAACATCGTCCCGCACAGGAGAGACGCACTGCCTTTCCACTCGGAGTCATCCACTACTAAGAGCTCTGCCACTCCGGAACGCAGCTCGCCTTGGCCTCTGAACAGGTAAGGAACCCAGACGGCTCCTGCCAAGCCTATTTCTCCTCCTGCGGTGTTAGCTGTCATCGCAATGCGCTGCAATTGAAGACGCAGTCCGTTGCTGCCGATATACGTGAAGTACTTGTTGAGGAACTTGATGCCAGCATACAAAAATCTGGTAGATCCGCTGTCTGCATCAAATTCATAGGATTCCACAAGATTCGTCTTTTCTGCCTCTACACCTCTAATCTCGTACACTTCTACTCCTGACTTGATCTTTCCTTTCTTGATTCTTCTTACTGCTTCTCCAAATTGTTCTTGAAGTGAAGATATTGATACTAAAACTTCAGACGCTCCAGCAACTTCAAGATGTCTCATGTATGCCAACTTCTGTGCCTCAGTTTCTATCCACCCCTCCTTCAATTTCTCTCTAACCCCTCCGTCCGAGGTCGTAACTTCTTTCTTCTGTTTCAACGGAGGGGATCCTAGAAAGCCTCAGGCTGCCTGAAGGATCTATCATCTTCTTCTGACCCTGAGGAGCCTCCATTTTCGTCCACCAGTTCTCCAAGACGGTCTTCGTTTCCTTTTCCATCTGAGGCATCTTCCTCGTCTGATGCACGACTATCTTCGTTTTCTATTTCTGACAGGAGAGCCTCCCAGTCTTGGTTTGAGAGGGAGTGGATGTTGGTCTTCACTATCTTCTCGTCCTCGTAGTAATCCATTGCGTCATGACCATAGATGATAGTTGTTGGTGGTCCTAGTTCTTCTCCTTCCGCATTGGTTGCAGCTGCACGGATGAACACACCCTTTCCTTTTCCTTTTCCTTTCTTCCCTTTGCCTTTGCCAGTCTTGAACTTGCGAGCGTATCGCATGAATCGGACTGCTGGCTTATCAGGGCAGTTGTAGGACTTGTGTTCCTTTCCGCAGTGAGCACATTGCGGCGCATTCGTGCACTCCGGTGCCCAATGGCCTATCTGTTGGCAGTTATTGCACGTGTCCTTAGACTTGTCTCTTTTACCGCTACCAGCTCCAGCACCAGGAAAGCTACTGCGCCTCTGCTGATCTCGGTACGCAGCACCGCCTGGGCCATATTTGTCGTAGCCCGGATTATTCAAGTCGATCTTGATCCTGTTGCTGCGGACCTTGGTAGTGGTCCCTAACTTGTGGCCGATTGCACCTGCTTGCACCATGACATCCCGAAATCGCTCTGCATACTGCTCCAGATGACGAAAGCGTAGTTGTCTATTGACGATGACGCCTTTGCTGTTCCTCTCGCCACATTCTTGTAGGATTTTCACTTGAGTTGCCTCATCAAGTACGATGCGGTTGGTAATTTCGTCCCAAATCAACGCGCGAAGATTGGCTACCTTCTGGTTGGAGTACTGGTTGCGAGCAGCAACTTCTTTAGTAATCTCCAAGGTAAATCCTACCGCAGCAGCCGCTGTTCTTAGACGGTCCACTTCTTGGTAGAGGGGCATTCCCGTTCTGGGTTGCCACGACTTCAAACTCCAGTTGGCAATCTTGGTACTGAGAGCACTAGTCTTGCCAGGGTACAACTTCTGTAACGAGATGAAGTATCGTTGAAGGGTAAAACTATCCGAGTCGAGCTTGGACATCAACTTCTTTTCCATGATGCGCTCACGTTCTTCTGCAGTATGGGCGTAGGTCAGCAATCAATTGCGCACGAAGTTGATTTCATGAGGCTCAGACACGTACATTCCTTTCTGCAGGATGCCGCCTAGAAAGGTCTCTATCTCGCTCATCCATTCGGGGATGGTCGTGCCTGCTTCAGAGAATTTCTTGATGTCTTTAAAGGCAGCTGCGGCAATTCCTTGGGCCACTAGTTTGAAGTCATACGCTTCATTGCATCGTTTGAATTCCGACACCAAGCCAATCTTGAACGCTGGCATGTTGACTACTAGACCATCTTCCGTTTCTTCAAAGTGATCAAAGTCGTCTAGTTTTTCCGCCGCTTCTACTACATCATCTGAGCGAAACACGTTGCGTTTCTTCTTTCCGCCGAAGCCTGCAGGCGGAGGTGGAGGAGGAGGAGGTCCTCCTGGTCCTCCATGGCCATAGCCCGCAGGAGGTTGTAGCGGTGGAGACGAGTATGAGTTGTAGCTGGTGTGGCTCACTCCGGACGAACGCCGCGCGTTATTCATTGGGTCATCACTTGGTTGCTGCTGCGGCATCCAACTGGGCGCATTTGGAATCCACTTGTAGTTGTTGATGTTTTGATCCCATACCCAGCGTCCTGCATGATTGCCGTAGATGATGTTCGAAGCGCTACCGCTTTCTTCCGTTCCACTAGACGCTCCGGACGCAGAGCTGGAACCACCGTCAAGGTTGAAGATTTGTGGTTTCGTATTCGAGTTTTGGCTTCTCATCTCTTCGCGTACCCTTTCTAGGTTGGCCTGATGCTTCTTGTCTTGGTCATCTAGTCTTTTCATCATCGCACTATTAGCACTGCCGAAACTCTTGGCCATGCTGGTCATCGCCTCACACAGACTGTCAATTTTGCTTGATGTAGATTCCTGTAGCACCTTCTGCTTCAGTTCCTGCTCCTGTACTGCTGTCGAAAGGAACGATATGTTGTTGCCGTACTGACGTAAAATACTGTGTGCTTGCTCATCTTTGTGATCAGCCAGCAGGCCCTTCACTTCGTTCACGAGAGCTTTTGTTCGCTGCCCAGCGCTCAGCTTTTCACTGAAGATTTCAGCACTCGCTTTGTCTATGCCTCGCTGGACCACTAGCAGACTATTTGCAAGCTGTTTCAGCTCGAAGTTGTAGATGGGAGTCATAGCTTCAGCGTCTTCCTTGGTTTGCCTGATAGATCCGTATAGCTTTTCTACTGCTTCACGAATTGCTCTGTTCTCCTCTATCTGCTGGCGAAGCTGTTGTGTCACCTTTACCATTCCTCTTTCCGTCTTCATTTGGCGCTGGTCCAGGTCAACACCAGAATCTTCTAGTACCGCAAGCATCCTGGCCAGGTGGTCGACGGCTTTGTAAGTCGGATCCCATTCTTCGTCCTCAACTACTCTCTTCTCCAGGTCCGAGCTGTCACTGTGATCGTCGTCGATGTCCCTGCGCTGTGAGCTGGCGATGCTGCTTATACTATTAGCTCTTGATCCCCTGGACGGTGGTCTGGAGTTTGCGGCTGATGAATTCCTTTTCTTGTTTTTGCTTTTGCGAACGACAGGAGAAGAGGAGGATCTGATGTTTTGAGATGAGCGGCGTGTCCTTTCCTTCTTTTCTTCTTCTTTCATCATTATTTTCAGCGCCTTTTTCCTCTTCTCTTTGAGAGAGCTCTGCCCTCTGTCTCTGCTGTTGCTGTTAGGCGTAACAGGGACATCCTTTCTCTTCGTGATGTCATCGTCGGAGGAGACGAACTCTCCGTCGATATCCTCTATTGGTTCGCTCTTCTTCTACTGGTACTTGTTGATGTCCTCTACTTCTACTTTCCGTTTTTTCTTCTCTTCTATTAACCTCTTCCTTAGGTACGCCAACCAGCGCTTTCTTTCTTCAGCCTTTTTTGCTTCTTGTTTTTGCTTTCGCACGCGTTGCTGTTTACCAGGGCGGTTAGCCTTCTTCTTTCCTGGCTCTGCACTCTTCTGGTCACCCATGTGTTTGCTTGTCTTGTCTACTTAAGGTCATCTAGGGCTCATTAATGACTTATGAAATGTTTTTAGACTCAAAGGTTTTCTAAGTTGTTTCTATCGGTAGATCTATATTAACCACTGCCTCCGCTACCACTGTCAGTTTTGGTCCTTCAGTGGACGCGAACACAAAGTGACTCACTTTTTCTTTCTGTTCCCTGTAAAGGATTGCACCAGGGTTGTCTTTGTTCGTGCTTATGCTCTTTGTTAGTTCATATGCATCTTGGTGTTGTTCATGTTATGTTTACCCCAATTCCTTGTCTGTTCCCTTGCTCCATCTTGAGCCCCCAGCAATGCATTGATGACAGTCTTTGGCACAGAGTCTACATACTCACTTACTCAACTGTCTTCTTTACGTATATCCAGGAACTCCTAAACACCTCTTATAACCTACTCTCGTCTTCTTTGATGCCTTTCACCTGCTTAATAATACCTCTCGTTCTTCTTATAGAAACAAACATTCTCATTCGGGATACTCCAACAAACACTTCAACAAGCACCGACATCAGTCAAGACGATCAGGAGGAACTTAGGAACACTCGTCGAATTTGCACGATCACGATCACCATCTTTTCACCATAGAAAGAAAGAACCGACGCGACTTCACGATTCAACTTAACTTACACTAATCGACAAATACTTGTAGTTACTAGTACCTTGCACTCATAATTCAAGGAAAGAGAGTCCAGGAGGACTGGTGTTGGCGCATTTGACTCGAACGAGTATTCCATCAGCGCAGGCTGTATCATCACCAGCGAGTTCGTGACACTCTCCCGTACTAGAGATTAGAGCTCGCGTTGCTTCATCTTGGTCCCCTCAACGAACCCTTTTCCGTGCACTTATATCAATTGATTCTGCGAGAGAAGGGTTAGGGTACTACCAAGTTGAATCGTGTATAATTAAATAGCTAATTTCCTGGTAGTGCCAAGATGTATCTTCTATACGACGTCAGTCACCGTAAAAACAGGCACGATAAAAAGCAGTCTCGTCAGGTGAACAGTTAAACGTTTCCAGCAATGGCGACCGTCGCAGGTAGAAGACGAATTGCGGGAAAAGCGTAAACTCTTCGGTTGGCATGAAGAAGGAAGACAAAAAAGGGACATCAAGAGATGAAAGATGAAAGGATATTCATTGGTTCGCTGTTGATACTCAGTTAGATAACAGTCCCGAGAGACTTAGAATTCCAGAAACGTTCTTTCTAACAAAAAACAAAACAGGATAAAAGGACTTTCTAACAAAAAACAAAACATAACTCAGTTGAATAACAGGATAAAAGGACTTTGATCAATCAATTTCTGATACTCACACAACAACGGCAAACCCTCTACTTCTAACTACAACTATCTTCCAACCGTTCATAACTAATTGAAAACTGCTAGGATCTCCACGATTGTAAGCTGCGAATTTGCTTATTATCCGTATCAGCATGCGGTCTAACCTCCTCATCACGTCGAAATTCTCCTGTGATTCCACTTGAAACATGCAAAAGCGTGCTACCATTACTGCCGCACACTCCTGATCAAAAGCGCTACCGATGTCGACTAATGACGGGTCTGAGAACCTGCGATCATGATGATCATTTTGAGATAAAAGCTCTTCTATGGGCAGAAAGAAGTAGGAGTGTTGAGTACTGGGAAGTACTACAAATGAGTAGAGGTTACTTGAAAATAAACCAGATGAGAAGCAGTGACAGCGCGCTGCTGAATGCATCAGAGAAAAATACGCTCTCGCCAGTGTCGTAACTCGCAATCGTTTCTTCCCTGATGGATGATGGTACAGCGTCTGAAACTGCAGAAAAGCTGCTTGCGTTGCCGGCTTATCGTCGTTCACTTCAAAATAGAAGGCTATGCTAGAGATTAGAAGAATATAAACTAACACAGCACATGTTTAATGATTTTCAGAGAAGTAGAGCAAGATTTGTGAAGAGCAAGATTTGTGTAGAGCTTCATAAAGTGCTTCTGTCCAATGAAGTTACCGCCCACACCGTCGTCCCACCCTCACCTATCTCAGCATCTGTCACGCTGCCTCCTCCTTTCCTCAAACTGCACACAGGCCCAACAGCTCCCGCCACCTTGAATTCTCTACTGCACACTGCCGTAAGTTTGCCATTGAACCCCATGTCCAGATTCCCTGCACTGTCTACACGTGAGAAAAGCTAGAATTAGAAGGTCAAGATTCCATGTCTATCTGAGATAGAAAGATTGCTTGCTCCGTGTCCACGTGAAAAACGTATTTGATCTCTTGCTTCAAGGGTAGGCGCGTCTGCATCATTCCCACCAACAAAAAAAGCATGAGTATCTTTCAGCATAATTCAACAAGCTGTCTCGAAACACGTTTGTTGAGAAACCATCTGCTAGGACTACATAGCCTCCGGTTCGTTCCACAAGCACGCGCATTTCATGCAATCCAACCTGATCCAGACTACAAGCGAACAGGTCAATGGTATGCCCTATGCTCACTGCACGTGCTGCCAAACCAGCGTAGAACTTCATCGCGCCTTGGGCGTACCTGGTTTAGTGGAGGAAGGTCATGGAGGAGAGTGTGATCTAAACTGTTGGTAGAAGGTCATGCAGTGGGTTCTAAGAACGAAGTGCTAGTGCAATATCAGATCAAAATCTCAAACCCATATTAAAACTTCAACAAGTAGTTGTTCAAGTATTTAGTACCTAGCATTCGGTTGCTCTTTCATCAAGTCCAAATGTGACCGCATGTTTTCTGCCTTTTCACGACCGACAATATTGCCTGGACCTGCTGTGCAAGGACCACTGGTGAGCAAAATTATGCGGCCTGCGTGACCTGCATACAGCGTCTCTAGTAGTCCCACCGCTATATTCAACGCCCCGCCTGTGCAGCGCTGCACCCGTTGTTTCTCCCGATTTGATTAGAAAAGGACGACTGCTCCTACTGACTGCCGCTAAAAATTGTGAAGCAGATGGATCATCAATAGCCTTCATCCAGGGTACTAGAGCTAGACCTAGACTTACTAGAGCTAGACCTTTTACTATTCGCAGCTAGTATCTCTGAGCCAAAATGGCTACGGCCTCTCTTGGAGAGAGTCCATCCTTTCGAGTCATAGTAACGGCGCTAGAGCTAGGCCTAGACCTACTCACAATGGTGACGGTGTGAATCTACTCGGCGATATGCCTAAGATTCCCCTGGCGACTTCTACCCGCTAGTCTAGCTTGTTCACCGTAATTCAAAGACCAGCTATCTGGTTTGAGATCCTCCAGTATCGCGTTCAAAGCGAATTCTGCTTCTTGCACTGGCAATAAAAACCTCTGCGCTGCCTCACTTCGCGCACCTGCTCGTGGATCGTTCCGTAAGCCAACGCCTAGCAACATCGCTACTTGCTCGCGCGAGTACCTTGTTGTTACTTGATCTATAAATTCGTATCAGATGGTCTGGGGTCAGGCAGGTGAACAGTGAGAAGAGGAATGTGATCTCAAGACTTCCGATTCAAGGAGGCTCTGAAGATTAGAAAGATAGAAGAAAGCCAAATACTTAATTTCAGAAAAAGCACATCAATACGCTTTCGTCCCCATAAATGCGTGGCTTTTTACCATTTCTTGAAAGCCTAGTTCGTATACGTTTACCAGTGCACCGAAACTCATAAACCCTACTAGCGTCGACTGTGGCATCGTTTGTAGTGTGGTTTGCAATGTCTCCTTCGCTTTCTGAAATTCCGCATCATCCTCTCTGGTATTCAAGGCTGTGTCCAAAAGAAAGAGAATATGAAAGAAGGAGATTCAGAAGTAGAGATAAAGGATAAGGAAGAGGGCGATAATGATTAGGTTAGCGATGTCTGGCCTATGACTGTTGCATGGAATGACATCTATACGAGAAGGTAGTAAGATTATCAGTGAACTTCTAGTAAGTATTAGAGCTCCTTGAACAACCACAGCGATGCACCACTGCTCCGGAGCAGAGACAATGAAGTGCTACCCGTGAGTCTTTAAGAAACCTTAGCATCAACATGTAATATTATACAGAATATATAACTAACAGTTTCATCCTTTCACAGGACATGAGAATAGCGGAGCGCATCCTTGTTCATCCTCATAAAGAAACACCGGAGGCAAGCATGACGCGTTTGGCAATATGTATTCCAAGGTAGAGGAAGTTTTCTCTTGTGGGAGCTGAGCTTCTGATATGTGCTCCGCAAAGCCTTAGGGGTCGCAAGTTGACCTACCTAGCTCGCATATCCATCCTTTTCCCCCTTGAAAAGTAGGTCATAGACTTTATGCTTTTAGATCATCGGTCAACTTGCACCCCTTAATAGTACGGAGGAAAAGGCTGCTTGTAACCACAGAAATTGCATGTCCAGGTTTTCGCGCGAAAATCCACAAAACAGAAGGGGTTCAAAATTGCGGCACAGCCTTTACACGTCTGTGGGTCGTAGGCTACCAGCTTCATGTCGGTGATCTGTTATTTGTTGGGGAGTTTTGGGCCGTAGGCTACCAGCGTCATGTCGGTGATCTGTTATTTGTTTGGGAGTACTTCTATAGACTGATCCAACAAACGTTGTTGCTACTCTGAAGATTTATCGCAAGGAGCTGAAAGTATAAATCTAAATCATGCGACAAGTTGATTTGATTGTTCTAAATTAGAATCAGACATGAAGATTCGTGTACTACATGAAACGGATTGACATTTAAATTGTAACTCCAACAAATGTAAACCAACACCATTCCGATTCATAGTTTCGATAAACTGGAATAAGCAAGCAACTAATTAGAAGATGCGAGATACTGAAACAAGACCAATGTAATGACTCTGTTATTTCAGTCAGTAACTCGCTTATTTTGAGTTTTCGAGTAAATCCAAGTTCCTGATGTCCATGTCGGCAACATAAGTCTAAACTATAGTTACCTGCTTCAACGGCGTGTAGACGCAACCGAGTGGCACGACTATTCGATTCATGTCGTTCTTATTATTTGGCCACAAATTCCACGACATGCGCACGCCGTTCATATCCTCCTGTTGCTGCAGATCCATCTTGTTGGATGTTTTTCTCTCTCTATTGAGAGATGAGGCAGAAAACAAGTAGCAGGGAGTATGTATTTGATGTAAGTAGTCCTCTACAGGCTTTGTTCTTGGGTCCGCCTAGGTGGAGACTCTTGCATCAACTAGATGGTCGTTCACCTCCACGCCCAGCAAAGTGATTCTGTTGCTCTTAGACGCAAGATAGTGCTCGGATCTTCTGGTTTCTTCTCGTTTTTACCCTAGTATTTGCCGCAGATGTTATGACCAACCGAACAAGCTTTCCTTGCGACAGCGAGGCACGTGCACCTCACGTCGGCAGCCTTAGTTGCCGCAAAAGCAGATTAAACCCCTTCAGCTCCATGATGGTAGTCGTTGTGTATGCCTACAGCAGAAAGTGGAGAAAAGCTCAAGAGAGGTGCTTCGTCTCATGACTCCTCTCTGGCATAAGATGAGTCCACTCGTTCAGGGAAGTGCTGTCAGACCTGATCGGCACAGCATACGATGATCTCGGAAAGCCATTGAATACGGATGGTACGTTACTAGCCACTTGAAATCTACTTTTCTGAACGCAGACGATCCTAGCAACAGCCGGGTCTCTACTCCACTAAATGGCCGAACAATGTTCAACACTGTAGCTGTTCTTAGCCCCGCGCCTCTGTAGCTGTTCTTGGCCGCATTGATTCTTCACGAATAGATACCCTCGGTAAAGACGATGTGTCAGCCGTTCTTGTTGCTCCGCAAACGCCTCCATCCAGAACTACGTACTAGTTTTGCATCAACTCGCTGATGCAGCACCAAGAAGAGCTTACGAATCCATCTCTTCAACCCCACTGGCAGTTCACACAAGAATCGTAGTACTATTGTTCACCTGGGACGTTGTGGACGGCGTGGCGTGCTATCCAGGTCGACGGCAAGCAGACAGCACGGACAATGACTCAGCACGCCATAGTACAACACTGTCTCATTATCATATCATTTCATATAATCATCAACACTACATACTTGTTACAACTTTCAGTTATCAGAAGTGAGAGCACATATTTAAGTTTGATGACCACTTGAACTTGATCATATTGCACAGACTAGCCCAGGCATAGACAGACAGCGTAAGACAGACAAGATACACCGCATTTTAGTTTAGGGGAAACAGACTGACAAGCGACATACACCGAAATGCTTTCCTGAAAAATCCTTTGGCCTTTCTTGGACCCTTTTCTTCGCAAGTTTGAAAGTGCCACCCTTGAATGCTATACGTCTGAGATTGGCCTGTCAATCTTCTACCTTGGATTGGCACTCCCTTCTTTCCTCGTATTTTATAGTTGACAGTTTTGTAGTGTTATAATCGACCAAAAAAGTGCAATTCTTTCGTTATAGCCAGCTGCTGCCCATCAGGGCCATCCACTCCTCCATGCTGCCTGTTTAGCTTCTCTAACTTCCTCCTTTACCGCTTTTTCTGCCTCCATCGTGCAGTGCGGTGGGGCTTTCAGTCGCCACTCGTTCGTATTCGCCTGTAGACGTGGTAGAAGAAACACATCATCCTTGCCATCACCAGTGGATGTATCATCCTTCTTGGTTTTGGCCTGCCCAGTGGATGCTTTACCCTTCTCGGCTTCAAGTTGCGGATACTCAATTAGAGGACATCGCAAGAGTACCACTTACTTCATCTTCTTTATAGTCTTGTAATCATGTATAGGAGTACAACAGGGAATCTGTTGTTCTCATGAAAGAACAGTGTAAAAGACATACACCTGGAAATAAACGGAAATAAACACACACAGTTCAATTGTGTTAGTGAGGTAGGTTTTCCTACAGAGCATTCGATCGTTCGTCCACTACGACGACTCATTCGAATAAATGAAGGGAGTAGTCATCGCGCAGGGAGACCTACGAGGGAAAAAGTGACAGACCCGTTGTAATAAAAAAAGGAAACAACTATATGGAGGCTTAACTGTAGCACCTTGCATACGGCATCAGGAAATCTCTCAGGCAACCAACATTCTTGATACCGGACAGCGTGATTTGCATCACCTACATTCACATCCTGAATCTCCCTTGCGAGTGCTAGTCGAAGAGTAGCGCCTCGTATTTTGCTCTTGCCTTCCAAAGGTGTTACTCCTTCTTCTGGCATTATATTAGCATAGAATCCAATTGAATAGACATTGATTTCTTTTCGAATCAGGGAACAAAGTTGCACGATACATAGAACTTGTCATGTTTGTGTCCTGTCATGGGTCAACGGAACCATCTAAAAGATATCATTACATAGTTAAATGGTAGAAATGGGTTAGAGCTGCAGAGGGTGAAAACTTGTCATAACTATCTTGCCGTCGCTGCTCAACGGGCCTACGCGTGCTGGTGACGCCCCGCGTGTTGGTGACGCGCCGCGTGCTGGTAACGTTCGAAAAGGAACGAAGACGGTGCGAGAATTCCGGTTTTTAGAGCTGCGCAAGAGTCGCTCTTCTAACTAGTCCCAAGACATGTTGATGGTTCCAGAAGTAAGTATGAGTGAAGTTTTTTCCATCCAGGCAGACCATCACCGCTACCTTTTTCCCCTTAAACACGTATGGCCTTAAGGGGGGCCGCGATGGTCTGATAGATGCACAAAACGTCATCCATAGTGAAAATCAGTCTAGAAGATCCCTACTACATTGTGAAGACAGGAAATTCATTGTATCATTAAGAAACATTGCATCAACAAGAAACGCTGCACTTGTAGCGACAATAATAGTGTCTTAAACTCGCCTTCGGTGGCCGGCCCGTACGTCGGCGCACCGAGCGTGAAAACCCGCAACAAGTGAAAGAGATAGAAGTTCTGATTCTCATCGTGCTTCTCTATATTAGAGGGAGCAGCTAGGCTTGCCGTATCCTCTGACTAATGTGGGGTGAGCAAGTCCATTTTTGCTGAATTTTCTTCATCTTCTTGACACCCAGTGTTCTTGACACCAAGTGTTCTTCATCGACTAGTTCTTGACACCAAGTTGTGTTAGTGTTCAAGCAGAGTCTCTGAGAGATCAGGATCATACTCAGGAGACAGTACTGTTTGGTGGAATGAAGTTCTCAACTATAATTAAAGGTTCTTGTAGTAGACCGACTTTACGAAGCAGCATCGTGAGGCCCTCGACGAAGGCGGCGACCTGTTCCAAATATCCACCGGACTTTCTGCTGGCGTTGTTCAGAGCATGGCGCGCACCAAAAAACGAAAAAGACATTATCTGCCGCGTGCGCGGCTCAGTCTTCGGCCCCTCTCTAGCTTCTGCTTTGCTCCCCTCCTCTAAATCTTAGAGGCTCCTACAACAGCTTGTGGTGTACGGATTTGCATCCTCGTCGGGCTAGAATATAATGTACCGCCAGCATTATCAAATACGTCATGTCTTCGCTCCATGTCACAGTCGTAGCTATACTAGGTTAGGTTAGGTTGTGGATCCTTCACAACGAGCCCCACGGGCACACGCTGCTCGCCTCCGAGGATGACGGGCGACTACGAGAGTCGACGAGACAAACCGAGGCGGTGACTACGAAAGTCTTGCCATGAGGAGTATTACATAGAATTTCTAGCCGGCATTTTCTTTATTCAAAATACTGCATTTGTTCGTAAGATGGCGATGGGTCCGCGTCTTGTCCAGCGTAGTTCCCGTTCTCCGTGACTTCCCAGTGATCGATATACCCGAGTTGCAATCGTCTCGCGCCATGACCTAGCATTTCTTGACCATCAGTCATGCCCAGCACTTTTTTCAATAATCGCAGTCCTGTTTGCAATATGACAGGACGAATTTCCAGGAACTCTACTGGGGGGAGACAGAACACCTTCAAGGCTAGGGAATACACCTCTACCACCAGGTGGTCGTGCCAGGGTATCAACATACCTCATAAGATAATAGGATAGGAAACGAAAGGATAGGAAGTGTCGTGCAGGTCGTAAAAACAAAGACGACGTATCCAGACATATATATTCTACTAAAAGAATATCCAGAATTTTTTTTTTTCAGGACGATAATTTTGTTTTTATCCGTGCAACCATAACCAGTAAAGCTGGGCTGGGACAAAAACCTGCGTGTCCACCTTGAACCACAGTGCTGAATGCGATTAGAGTCGAACGCGATCTCATATCTGAGAAAATGGAAAGACAAGTGCTGTTTGTGACTGAAAAAAATCCTCTCTACATATCAAACGTGAACAGTAGCTTAGCGGTCGCGGGTAGATCGCGTCCGAGGATTAAACTATAAAATAACATGATGCCTTCTATAGTATCAGATATTCCTATAGCGTAGGATAGGAAATCCGATGGAATCAATTTGCAAGGTACAAGACACATAAAGCGAAGATCGACGAAAGCGCGTATCCAACCGCTTTTCCAGCTATGTTGAAGGCTTTGCTCGTCTCCTTTGCTTCCTTCGCTCTGCGGAAAAACCTCCACAAACTGCTTCCTCTGTTCATCACTGTCTCCTAGTCGTTAGAGGGACCTGCCGCAGATTTGGCTTCCTCTAAACTGTAGGTATTTTCTTAGGAAGGCGAAGGGCCAAGGGGGACGCATTCTGCATCATCATCACACATCTCCGGTGGCCATCTTCTACTGCTGGCGAAACAAGATAGCTCCTATACAGTTACAGTGATCCTTGGCTTTTTTTAAGAAACTACGTACTATAATATAATATAATGTAAATTTTTAAGAAACTACGTCATATAATATGATGATGCTGTGGAAGTGGATGTAGCTTTTTGTGATCGCCTAAGCCCTAACTTTAGCTTCCTTATCTCGCTTTTCATCTGTTGCTGTTGTTCCCGTATCGACGTCGTCATCGAGGCCGATAGAAACTAGTACCCGCCTAATGCGAGTGCACTTGCGTTAGAAGGAGGAAAAAGATCCCTATCATCTTGCAGAATGACTGTCACGATATCTTCGATGGATTTCTTGTAGCCTTAATCAATGTATTTTGTCTCCAGCGCATTCTCAAATCCGACCGTGTAGTGGGCCTGTTGTGTCTCCTTAGTGTCCAATCGGCAACCCGTTGGTGGATCTGGTTCTTCTTTGTGTAGTGTCTCAGGTATTATAGCGTCAGCAACTTCTCCTACTGATGGCTGTTGGTGTTGTTCCTTTGATTTCTCTGACGTGCTAGGTACTGCTGGAGAGGAGCTTGCACTTGTCATACTAATCTCACGGAAATGCAGCAGAGGACGGAAATCGGCGAGAAAGGAAAAAAGGCGGTCTGCCATTGTTTTACGTTCCTGGTCCTTGCCTCCCAAGTTCGGAATCAATGCTGTAGTTCCCAAAGCGAGATCCATTCGCAAGAGACCTTTTTCGCGCTGCAGCAGGGTAAGCGGACTCGAAAACACGTGTCGTACCACAATGAAGAAAGACTCGTTGCTTCTTCCGGCCTTTATCAAAAACATAGTCATATGAAGATCCTAGCTAGTAGTACTTAGTGGATTAGTACCCACTTTATAGGAGATTTCTTCAACAGGACAGCTGTTGAAAGAAAAGGATGGAAAAAAACTTCATTCAACATAAACACGGTATTAACCACGACCGGTCTGTTGAATTTCCCTTTTTCCAGTTCAGCAGCGAAATGATAGCTCCAGGCAGTGCCGCCGCCAAGGTGCGCGTCGGGATCCTGTGATTAGCTGTCCCTCCACAGTAAAAAAGACACATAATAATAAATTTGCATAAAATTTTTAATCAGTTAATTTAAGACATTAAAAAGAGAGCATCATCCTGAAGAGGAACATATTTCCGTCTTTAGTGCTTTTTCCCGAAAAGAAGCACTCCTCCTACGAAGTGACTCCCGCCACATTAACAAACGACTAGCCTTAATGCGGGCCATTGAACCATGAGTTGACTAAAGCGCCGTGTGAAAACTCGTTACCAAGTCGACCCTGCACCTCATTTTGTACAAAGTCTTTCCACGGCCGATCGATAGATCTTTCCCATGCAGGATACTGCGATATCGAGAAGATTAGAGCGACCGCGTTCGCACCTTCCTCGAGAGTCACATTCTTGGGGGCGTCTTTTTCAAGTGGGACAAGGGCCAAAGATGATGCTGAGGATGCTTGAGCGGTAGCCGTAAGTAGAGCCACGTTTTTCCAGCGGGTAAGCAGAAGCGCATGAAGAGTCCAATCTCTGGCTCGATCACGATTCTCGTGTACGGAATTTGCGGCAAATTAAATGCGCTCTTCAACACCGTATACCAGGCTTGATGCAGAGATATGAAAGCTTCAGAACAAGAACGAGTGCAAAAACATTTGATGCGCTTTTCATTTCTTCGCTCAACATACACCAAATTACCAATCTAACTATAGCAGTGGTGGAGCCAGCCCAACTAGGAAAAAACCAAAAAGCACAACGTGAAGGTTCAAACTATAGTCTAAACTGATACGGTACTATTTTACTACCCTATAAATACTGCTTAGAGCAGGTGGAGATGAGCAGGTATCCAAGAACATAAAAGGCGGCAGCGTTTCAAATGAGCGCGGCTTACTCTCGAAGTAGTCCCACCTGAAACTGATCTCCGGAAGAAAATTATCCACGTAGACCGGTGACTCCGAGCGGTACTTCTCCACCTCAACACCCGCCGCGAGCGGGCGTGCCCGAATCACTAGTACAAATTAGAAAGGTAGGCGTTCTTGAAGAGGAAGTTCACTTCTCAAGGTTTAAGCACTCGAACTGGTTATAGAGGTTCACTACGGATTGATTTTTGAAGATGAAGATACAGTTAAACTCTAGGGCTTTGAATTTTTCAGGTCCATGCTCATGTCCTTAACTGAAGTCTCCACCAGTAGGCTCAAGAATGCTCACTGCCATGATTCTTCCTTCACGCAGGAAGTCAGGCCATGACGCGCCGACCAATTTTAGAATCCCTGTGAGCGTCTTCTGGACAATGCTGCCCTCCATGAACGAGGAGGCGCCATTTTGCCCTTTTGTGGACATGGCGGCACCCGCCTTCGGCCAGAAGCCAAGTTGTTGCAGAAGTTGCTTGAGAAAATCGCACCACAGCGTGGCAAGGGGCGAAGAAAGAGATGGAGAGGAGTTTCGAGACTGCGTGTCTGGCATCTTCACTTCCTTCTCCGATGTCCTTTTGAGATCCAGGAACTTTCTCAGAGTATCCTCACAAAAATCTTTATCACTCTCAGAGAGAACTGCATCAGAAGAATCTCTTCTAGGGGGTGGCTTAAACGTGGGGGCGACATTATTTGAAGTCCCCTGTATCACGAACAATTGGTCGCATGATGTTAGGTTGATACCACTACCGCCACCAAAAACTGCTTCGCGTACTTGCTCTTCGATTTCCGCCTTACTGAGCGGCCCCGCTTTTCCTGAAGAGCTATCGCCCGCAGCAGCTGCCGCCAATGTGGTGAGGCCTTTTTTATCGTCCACGACTAATCCAAGCCCTTGAAGTCTCTGTATCTCTTCCACCTCCTCTGGTTTTATTTGTGCCTCGTCATCAGACGCGGAAGCAGCTGTACTTGTAGAGCTGTCGCCGAGATGTGGACCTGCATCAAGACCAAGAGATGGTGCTTTAGGTGCGTGTACTAGTGCCTTCAATTTCGCAGGTTTTCGTGGCGGTTGCTCCCTTTCATGAGCAGGCTTCTTCATCATCGTATCAGCCTCTTCTCTCTTCGTCTGATGTGTGTCCACCGAAACGAAAGTGTTTGGCGTATGAATATTGTCATCCTGATGTCTTTCTTCTTCAACTACTGCTACAACTGACTCTCCTCCAGCAGAAGTAGACGTAGAAGTCTCTTCCACAATGTGCGGCCTAATAACACCGATCACGTGTTTGCTCTTCGCCGGACCATGTCTCCTCACATCCGCTTTCAAAAGCGAGGTACTATCGTCGTGAGGTTAGACCTTCCAGTAGTACTTCATAATTTACTTCATGTCTATTAACCCTTCCTGGTCAGGAATGAATCCATAGTCGTACTCTATCAGTAGACCCTGCTGTTATCGCTACCCTGACATACTCAATAAATTGTGGTGGAGCCGACCTAAGGACTCAATAAAAGAAATGGCTCATCCAGAATCAAAGCCCCAAATCTATTGTTCCCCGAGTGAGAGAGAATAGAAGTCCACGACAACTCTACTACCTAGTAGACATAGACTTCACACTTCCAGACAAAGGATTCTAAGTCATAAGAATGATGTAAGGATTGAGAACACTACTCTACTAGTCCACGAACGCTGCTGCAGACGGGGGGGGAGCCATCTACTAGGACTCTTCCGACTCTTCCACTTTTAGACACAGAGTCCAAAAATGCTCCGACTAGACAAAGGATTCATTCTAAGTCATAAGAATCATGCGTAGTTTTCAAGTCATAAGCATGAGTCCCAGCACCAGGCTCTACGTACAGCTGTAGAAATTTGCCGAGCCCCTTCGGTCCGAGGTTGGCGTTCAGGCGAAAAATACGCTGCACTGGAAACGGACCAATAGCGACACGCTGCAGCCGCACCGCTAGCAACGCCACAGACAGAGTCGTTACTAAAGCAAGAAATAACATTCTTGATGTTCAGATTTCAGGGGGCCTCGCTTCAGCCTGGACTTTTTTTTTGTATTCCAAGACGCTACGTGCGACAGCTTGGCGAAAAGAAAATACAACACTACTCGACCGCGTAGCCTGCAAGGCTCATCTTGTTATTTTGTTGTTCGTCTTCGTGAGATATTTTTCCTTGTTGTTACAATGATCGTGTACAAAAAGAACACTTCCCGGCCAAGTTTGAAGCAAAACTTACACAGGTAGGTACCAAACAATGGTAGGTACTAAACAATGAATTCTAGTGACATTATATCCACAATTCTCTGCCACCCTCTCACTCGCTCGGATAGAGACAGCTAGCTAATGTAAGTTAGTACTTACACTCAGGGATCATCTGGGGAGAATGACGTATCTTTGACGATAAGGGTACATGCTCTACGAGTTTTAGGGCTTCTTCTCGTGGAGCCGGCTCTCTTTTCTTTACAGGGATCTTCCTTCAAAGAAGGATGTAAGGGATCATGAGGAAGACTACTCTACTAATCCACATTCGCTGCTGCTTCCCGGGATCTTCTTCTTCCTTCAAAGAAGAAATAAACTCTGCTTTGTCAGTCACAACCTCTGAGGTTTCGAAGTTGGGGACCGTAAATGAAAGCAAATTCGTGCGTCAACACAACAGGCAGAGGATGCAAATTGCTCCTAGAGGACGCAACTGGTCCCTCCCCAAACGGTCGGTTGCCGCATGGGTAGAAAACTTCAAGCATTTTCGCTTTTTTCAACTGCTACAAGAAAGAGGACAATGATATCATCTACTTGATGCAAGCACTTGGGTTTTAATATTTTTTTCACAATATCGCAGGGCTGACGATTTTCAGTCGTAGAAATAAGTGATCACAGTCATCGATAATAGACATAGTTGAAAGACAATGTGTTGAGGTGATTCGTTCTTCGCTGTGAGAAATGTTCCGCGGTCGTATAAGTATGATGTTCTAATTTGGTGTGTTCCTGTAAGATGAATGAGTGTAGAAATATTGGATTCTTGTTGCTTTTACAACTAGTACCTAGTGCTGATAATTAAGATATACGCTGTGTTTCTGTTGTTCAAAGAAAAATAAATGCCGATAACTAGTAGAAGTACATATTGAAAATTTCGAGACGTAGATGAAGAGATCTCATAAGAGGAAGAGACGACCACACAACTAAATGTATTCTTAAGGCGTCGATTTTATAATAGCAGGATTTTCATCGGGCCCTGCCTTGCACTACGTGTGAAGAGAAAGAATTTCGTTGCTTTCTCCTACTCAACATTTTTAGCAGTTGTGTTAATAGTCCATCCTGCTTTAGTAATAATCTCACAGCCTACTTATGATCTCCGCCTCCATCATCATCGTTGTGACATCAGTTGTCCCTCCTCTTTAATATACGCATTCTGATAATTTGCTTCTTCCCTCCATCGTTCTGCGAGGTAATCTAATCAGTCTCCTCTAACCGCTCTTGAAGAGCAGCACTGCGACCTGTGGTTTAACAAAGTAAGAGAAGTTGTACTTTGGTCTCCTACAACGAACATCAAACAACAAGTACGTGAAATTTACAAAACCCATTGTTCAAGAAAGGTTCTTTTGGTGGAGTACCTGTCCCAAGTAGAAATAGATGAAGTGCTTTGTCTCGTGTGTGACGTAGCTCCCGAAGTTTCGGCCAACAACGCAGTGCCAAGTCTGTTGAGGGAATCATGGTTGAAATTTTTTCAGCTTGAGGTTCAAAAAGGCGACGATTGCTGAAGAACAAAGAAGTGTACTTCATAACATCAAAATTGTAGAATCGCAGCGTAAATGACAGCATGAAAACGAGCATCGTACATGAAATATCAACCAAAACATCATAGTCATTACCGGGTTGTACTTCTTGTCGAATTCCTTCTTGATGAAGGCCGCGATGTCTTTTTCGATATTGTACTTCTCCAACGCCTGCATGGCGCAATCAATTGCGTCCTGCTGCATGTCCTGTTTTTTGATTTAGAGAGAAAGATCCTCTCTGCTTTTCAAAAGAAGGTGAGTTGAACTGCTATAATCATTAGTCAGAAGGAAAACCAAATTGTGCGCATAATTGATGATGCAGAATAACAGAAAGAAAGAGAAATCATATCAAAGATTCAGATCATTAATGAGCCAAATAGAAGTACCTCTGCCATATCGGCATTTTTGATCACCGCTTTTCTGTCGGACGACATCTTGTCTTCTAAATTTTGTTCCAAGAACTACGTCTAGGATCCTACTACTACTACTAGTAAGGAAAATAGGAACTACAACTACTGTAGTTCTAATAAGCGCCTAACATTTGTTTGTGATTTTCCAAGATGGTCGAAATTTTGTCCAAAAGCAGTGTACTGAAATGGGAAAGAATCCAGTAGCAGATATCGGTTAATTATACAGGAGGAGGGCATGCAGAGGACGACGTTTGGGAAGTCAGAGGGGGTCAGTTGTGTCCTGAGAGGTTCTTGATGATACTGGAGATCATGGTGCTAAGAGACTTTCATGCACCAAGGTCAGGAAGAACTCAACATCATCATCGAAATCCATGTTATATGGAGGGTCCTGCAAACTTGTCTTTTCACATCATTTCTTTCATTTCTTTCAAACAAAGTAGTACATGCTTGTGCTACCTAACTTCTGATAAAAGTTTATTGAAGGATTTCCACGAGATAGATTCCTGATTCGATTCGAAATTCGGATTTCTGCATGACAAAAAGCAGGACTTTCGAGAAGCACGATTGAGGACATTGACACGTCTGTCTCTGGGAAAGAGGTGCTAGAGGTCGACATGAATTTTTACTGTCCAGAACACAAGAGGAAGAGTCCCCGAATCGAGCACTTTATCAATTGATTGATTCTCATAGGTGACAAGGTACAAAAAGACTCCGTGTGAGCGTCTAATGGAACAGATTGAGATTACAGCCTCTTTTGCGAAGAGCACTGCAACACACTGGGATGATCACATCTTTTGGGACGGTCAACACGTCTTGAATAAGGGGGTGTCAAAAAATATATCTCTTTTAGTGTTACGTCTTCAATCCACACTTCTTCAATATAGAGTTTTTGAATACTTCTTGGACGACAGCTACAGAATTTAAGCAGAACACAATCATGCTAGAAGGGACAAACCATGTATAGAATTGATATTTGAAGACGCAAATGTAGTATAAGCACCTAGATCATTGAGTTTTTATGCAGCGAAAAAGTGCAGTGAATGTTCTGTCAGGAGTCTATCACTTTTATTTACAGTCATGTACTTATTACAAGTTGCCAACCCCTACCCCAATCGCCATAAGTACAGTAGAAAAATCTGATCGATCCGCGTTTTTTTCTCTTCGTCCGTGAGACATGGCATTTTCCCCTCCCGCATCCACTTGTCTAACCAGTCGCACAAAAATTCATTCAGTTCGACGTGATTCAGCGTGTCCTGAGCGCTATGCTTAGAGATGATAGAACCACAGTGACGAACTTGCATCCTATGTATGAGAGAGTGAAAACGATTGAAAATTGGAATGAAGAAGTATGGAGATACAAAATTAGAATTACGACCAGGACTAGGGAGCCTTAACTCGGTACCAACCTTCCTGCTTGTTGCACTTCTGCGTCGCGTCTTTCAGATCCTCAACCAGCACTCTCCTCCGCTTTTGCTCATGGCAGGCGATGACGTCCTCTGTAACGTATACGAGGTCGCTCTTCTTCTTGTTCAGCCACCAGTCCTGTTCGTCGACGTCTTTCTTAGCCGCTAATCTTAGAGCAACCACGGCTCGCATCGTTTCCTTAGTCGCATCTTTTGCTTAAACTTTTCACCGATGTATGTTGAAGATAAAACTATGTATATAGTTGTTCCCCAGTTGTTCATGATCAAGTGACAAACAAATAAGATATTAATTGTCAACAGCTTTTGTCTGAGGGATGCGTCGATGATCGATCGTCTTAATAGCCACTCCACTTTGTTACGAAGTTCAGCTGTGTGCTTGATCCCGTTATACACAAAGTTCAGCTGCCGCTGTAGTCTGTGAACCTTCGAGCTCGGGTCTTGCAACCAGAATACCTTCGTCAGTCTCGTGTCCACTAGCGTTGCCATATCGTCGAGGTCGTCCCATGTTAGAACTGAGCCCGTGAACCTATTCGGCAATCTGCCTAACATTTCCCTGGCGACTCCTTCCCACTATTAGTTTTCATGGTCTGCATAGCCTCAGGGATTATCTCTCCCCAGTTTGCGAATTGGAAACAAGGAGATCCCTAGAATCGGAACAACTACTGGTCGTCCACTTAGTGCAGCTGAAGCAGTCAGCATATTAAGGACAAGTCGGTAAATATGTTGAATGTTTGTGAACACTAGGACTGTATATTTTCACCCTTGTGGTGATGCGTTTTTTTTATAATTCCCGGCCTGTTTCAGTTGTGCAAATTGTGAAGGTTTTGCATGATTCTCATGCGGTTGCAAAGTTGTCAAATGTGTGGACCTTCTTGCTCATAAGTATCACGATAAGGATCCACATCATTAGCATGGTACTTACTCCAGTGGTGTGATCTTTGTCACTATGGGATTGCAATGATTTCCATCATGTTCATGCTGTTGATGATCTTCATATTCATGAAAGTACTAGGATCATCGTGTTCATCTTCTTCATCTTCTTATTTCTATCATTTGCAGAACAGGGGAACTGGATCATATCCCCCCTTAATCTATACTCCATCGAATGAATGACGTGTAGATTACAATAATAATAGTGGTTGCAAGTTCGACTGTATTCCAGCGAATGAATACAATACGGAAAAAGCATGATGCATGTTATGACTGAAGATGAATAATTTTTGTTGCACAATATTAGAAACATAGGCTATTTCTACGTAGCCAAGTATAAGACTTAGAGTTCTTCTCCAAAGTCTTCTTCAGCAACATTCTCAGTGTTGTTTTGTTCTTCTCCGTTTTCCTCAGGGGCAGCGGCTGCTTCCGCCGGTGCTGCCTCTGCTGGTGCTGCTTCTCCCTTTTTTCTGGCTTTCTTCAGCGGCGGCCCTTTTGCTCCCCCGTCTTCTTGTTTACCTTTCCCCTTTTTGCCTTTGCTTTTGTCTCCTTTGTGCGGCTGCTGCACCGCTTGCTTCCCCTTTCCTTTGTGGTAGCTGCTGCTGTTCTTCGTCGCCGAACTACTGCTACTACTGGAACTACTAGAAGAAGAAGGAGTCTGCTTCCCAGGTGCCATTTTGTGGGGCACCCGCGTCGACGTTGGGCAGGCTTGAACGAGGTTAATTGTATTCTCCATAACTCCCATAGATCCAACGACATCCAGGTTACTCACCGTCTCCCGAGCGTAAATTAAACGGAGAATGCAATTGTGGAAGAATGCGCTTCCTTCTTTCCTCATTTTCCTTGCCAGGTCCCAATACTCAGTCTGCAGAGCAAGACCCATATCCGAGCACTGTCGACTGTAGTGAGAATTCATGTTCGGGCCGTGGTTGATTATCCACTCCTTCCAAACATTCTCCTCTTGGACAAGCATGCACGATAAGCATAGTTGGAATGCTTTTGCGTAGTCGCCGTCCGACCTACATCCTTTCAAAGTTGCGACGTGTCGCTCAGTGATCTCGTAGAAGATGTGACTCTTTATTCCGAGATCAGCTGGAAAAGCAGGCGAAGGGGGTCTTGTAGCAAGTGACACCTCGTTACCTCGGATTGCTGACATCAAAGATTGACGCCAAGCTTCCGTCCCTTGTAGTCGTTGAGGCTCCTTCGGAACGATTACTCTCGCGAAGCCCGACATTTTGTTTTTGTTTTGGGTAGTTGTAATCTTAATCTATATTGTTAGATAATTACAAAATACAGCGGTAAACTATTGAAGAAATACTATACGCGCACTAAATATTTATGACTAGAACCCAGCTAGAAATCGACGAAAAACAAATTTCGAAACAGTAAACAAGAATATGCATGAAAATCCGATAACGTTTAACGAACTTAACAGATGCAAGCATCAATACACACGAGATCCGACAACGAACCTCGATGAGTAGAAAAAAAATTAAGTTTACTTTTTGGGTTTTGTTCCTGCGATTTTATGGCATAGACTCACAAATGTCGGCTTATTAAGTGCCTTTGTGAAGATGTCTGCCTTTTGCTCGTCAGTGGGACAGAAGTGTAGATCTAATTTCCCTTCTCCGACAACTTGGCGGATCCAGAGTAATTTAAGATCCATATGCTTGACCCGACGAACTTCTGGCGATTCGCCGACCGCTTTCGCGCTTCGGTTATCGATCATTAAAGGAATTGGAGCTAAAGACTTTTTCAAACGGCCATGCGGATCCGTCGATTTTGATTGTCGGCTATTGCCTAGATTTTCAAGAGATTCCTGAAGTAGTCTCCGGAGGTAAACTGCCTCCCGCGCGATTTCAGTCGCGGCTATAAGCTCCGCTTCTGTCGTTGACAGTGCTACGACAGGCTGCTTTTTACTTCGCCACGCGATAGGCGTGCACTTGGTTTGGCCTAATTCGACGAGACCTCCACTGACCGATCTACGGGTCTTTTTACATGTTCCCCAGTCAGCATCTGACCAAGCTTTTGGAGTTAAGTCACCGTCGCGACCATCAATGTCTAGGGCGAAGCTCCGCGTCTTGCGAAGATATCCTAATAATCGATCACACACTCGCAGGGCCACTGGCGTGGGCTCCTCTAGACATGTGGATAGGTATTGAACGACATACGCAATGTCATACCGTGTTGATGTACATAGGTACATGACCGCACCGACAAACTTCCGGTAGGTCGATTTTTGTACGCGTGTAGCGATTTTCGGGCGAGATTTCTCAGAAAGCTCTTTTTCGAAACGATCTATCTCCGCCCGTGTTATGGGAGTATCGCACTCTTTCAGAGTTTTATCTGGGTCAAAGTCCTGCAGAATCTTATCGACCAGATTTTCTTGACTCAAGGCCAGTCTGCGTCTCTTCTTGAGAACGTTGATGCCTAGAAACTTATACAGTAGTCCGCCGTCCTCGAGCTTTTGCGGTTCACACGTATTGTGTTCGAACCTGTCGAGGATCGAGCCTCGAACCGCGGCTATGTCCTCTTTCCGACCTAGAAAGACTATGTCATCCACGTATGCGAGCATGCACACACGGCGCTCGCCGTGAAAAAACATGGACGGTTCGTTTAAGCTCTGTTTCCAACCGGAGCTGGTGGCGTGTCTTGCGAACGTCTTAGCCCAGAGAGCTGGAGCACTTTTCAATCCATACAGGGCTTTCTTGAGTTTCCATCGGACATTCTCCTTTCCTTTGCGCCATTCGGGGGGTGGTATGCAGTAGACGTCCTCGCCGACTATGTCTGCATATAGGAAAGCTGTCTTGACATCATATTGCTCGAGATCAAAGTCTAGCGCCATGGCTATCTTGAACATGAGCCGAATACTTGGGATCCGAGGGACGGGCGAGTAGATGCTCTCTTGGTATTCTACTCGGTTTCCGAGCACGACGGCGCGACATTTGAGTCGCCCACACTCTTTGACATTATATAGTACTCGTATCGGCACAGCCTTCGCTCCTGGAGGCAGGTCGTTGACCGATATTTCATCGAATACGTCTCGTCCCTTGATCGAGTTTAGCTCTGACGCCAGCGCGGCGGCCCAGCCTCCTGGATCCTCTGCGAGTGCCTGTTTTCGCGTCAAGGTCCTTAGCAGGAGGACATACTCATCGTGGGTCAGAGCGTCCGTAGTGTCGCCAATCTCGATTTCTGATTGATTCTCGATGATGTTGGCTATGAAGTCGACACTCTGAGGGGACAGGTCCTCGATGAATGTGACTGCCGCAGTGTGTCCACTGGGAAGCAAGGTCTCTTCTTCCTTGTGCTTACTGCGTCTCTCCAGTTCTCGCTGCAGGTTAAGGTGTACAGGCCGACTCTCTAAGCCCATTTCCTCACGGAGCGCTTCCGCGAGTGCCACTGATCTATGGCGACCTTTCGAGCACTGGAGCACGAGCTTTCCGCTCTTTTTGAGAAGTTTGGTCGCATCGCTGAGGAATTGCGAGTAGTTCTCATGTGTCTTGATACCGTCAGACACTTCAGCGCAGAGGCCTGTGCTGTTTGGAATGTACCTAGCTGGATCAGCTGGAAAATATTTATTGACTCGGAGAACAGCCGCGCCGAGGCGCTTGAGCTTGGCGGGGATTTTGTCTCCACAGCTGAAGAGTTGATACCGACTCAGATTCTTTGGGACTTGGAGCTTCTCCAACATATCACGCGTGAGACGGACTACGGACCCCGACTGTGCGGCGTCAGCCTTTTCTGGTTGTCCACTGTCTCCACTTTTGTCCGGTTTCGCTTCGGGAGCGATGGACGGGCGGGATGAATCCCCCCTGTATGTTGGCTCCGCGCCAAAGTCTACTTCCCTGGTCCTGGTGACCTTTTTCTTCTGCTCGTCCCAGACTAAATAGTCTGGCGATAGGTGCGAGTATCCTACAAAAATACCCGGAAGATACGCGCGCTCCATCTTCGTTTTCACGAAGTTTTTGTATCGGCAAGGCGTCCCGAAGGTCCGCATATGCTGCGCGCCGGGCTTAACCCCGTTACGCTTTTCGTAGGAGCTCACGCTCCCGAGTATCGCGCGTGGCGACCTGTTTAATGCATAGCAGAATGCCTGTGCCGCGAAACCCCAATAGGTGTCCGGGAGTCGCGCTGTATCTAGGAGACACTTCATCCCCTGCATGACGAGACGATTATGAACTTCCGCGCTACCATTTTGCGCCGGTGAGTACGGTGATGTCTTGCGCGGCCTGATGCCGTGCTTTCTCAACAGTTTGAGGAAGTCGCCGTCGAATTCTTTTCCGTTGTCCGAGCGGCAGACTTTCGGCACTCCAAACATGTCCATCCATTTCTGGAGTCCGGTGTGTGCGTCGCTTTTGCGCGCAATTGGGAAGACTTCTACCCACGAGTCATATCTATCCACGATGATGGCCCAGTAGCGGTTGCCGCCTATCGATTCAGGTAGCGGCCCGCAGAGGTCCACGCTGATTGTGTGCCCAGCTTCGGCCGGGAGGAGTCGTTCGCGCGTTTCTTTGCTGAACGGTTTCCGGCGAGCCTTATTCAGTCGGCAAGCCTCACAGGACGGCATGTAGGTTGAATGCCCCATCCTGTTGTGGATGACCTCTTGGGTCACGTTGAGCTCTCCCGAGTCCAGGTCAGGCCTGTAGCTGAGGCGGAAGAAGTATAGTCCTCCCCTCTTTGTGATTGGGATCAGCGTCCCGCTAGGTGTTCGCAGTCCGTCGAAATTTTCTGTGACGGTAAAACCTGCGTCCAAGAGCATGCTGAGACTGGCGATATTTCGCGCCATTTTCGGATTATAGTACGCACGGCGAAGGGCCAACTTATGCCCGTTGTCTGCCGTTAGTGTCCGTAGTGATGCCATGTAGCCGCCATTAACATGCGATCCATCCGCTTGTTGGATTTTCCCGCCGTCTTTGGTCGGAGCACGGATCATGTTGGAGTCTTTGACACAAAATATTGTGGCTCCACTGTCTAAGATCCACTCAGTTTCGATCTCATCGCTGACAGTGTGCAGAAGGATGTTTTCGAATTCTTGAACCGTGCGCATGCGCGCCTGATCCAAGGGCTGCCGAGTTCCTTCTTTCTGTCCCGTCGCGGACTGATGCTGCGACGTGTCGAGAAGTTGTTTTTGGTCGCCCTCGCTGACGACTGGCTCGCAGATGGGACGCCCATCCTTTTGCGAGTCTTGCCTGCACGCACACGACGGAGGTTGCCGCGGCGCCAGGCTGTCTTTGTCAATAGCATTGACGAGATCACCTCCCTTCTCACGAAGGAAATCGATCCAGTGTACGCTTCGTTCCTTTGCTCCATGCATCCCATGGAGGCTTTCTGATCCAGGTGGACGCCACCCGCCACTGGATCTTCTTACCTTGGGCACGGGGACCGAGTACGATACTAATCCCGTCCCAAGGTTTTCCATCCTTCTCTTTTGAGATTCGCTGTTGAGTCACAACGGCGGCACAACGCCGCCGAGCACTGTGATGTGCGAGGCGATGCCGTCCCTCTTCTTGCCTGACCCGGATGGATTGGTAGTCATGCCCTTAGGCTGATCCTTGTTTTGCGTTCCTCCATATTTTCCTCCTTTACCTTTTCCTTTGCCCTTACCTTTACCTTTACCTCTTCCACTGGCCTCTGTCTTCTTTTGAGCCTGCCTGGAGAGTATCTTCTTTGCCTGTTCGGAGATTGGTTTGGTGCATTGCCACATCGTGTGCGCCGAAGAGCCACAGTTGTAGCACGTGCCAGCTTTGTGCTGTTTGGATGTTGCAGGTGGGTCCGTGACTTGAAAGACTTCCTCAGCGCCCGGCGTGCGTGTAGCAGCGCGCCCGTCCAAGTTGACTTTGTTATGCAAGGAGTATTTTGCTTCCTTGACAACATTCTCCAACTCGAAGTCGCCTCTGAGGTCTCTTTGGATTCCCTGCATTTCTTGCGAAGGGATGTCACTCCCGATGCCTTTGAGGTAGCACATTCCTGCAACCTGCTCCATCGTCATGCCCTTGACTTTGGCATATATGATGCGGAAATCTCGCTCCGCGCTGACAACGTTTTTTGAGGATGCTTGGAACTCGATGAGCTGCCAAAAATCATCCCAGATTTTCTGCTGTTGACGGGGATTTATCCACCGCTCTAGTTCTTCCAGCAGTTCCTCGACGGTTGCGAAGGTTTTCGTCGCAAGGTGGTCGGCGCATTCTTGTCCGATCTTGATGGACTGTTCGACGCGATAGACGAGATCATCCAAGTCGAGATGACGCTCATACGTCGCGCGAAACTTTGCGAGCTTCTTGAGCCACATATCGCGCTCCTCAATCTTTTTGAGTGGCACTATGTTTTGCTCGACCTTTATCCTGCGGCGCGACTCCACCGTTTTCCACGGTGTTTTGTCTCCATCCTCCTCCGCCGGTGGAGGGGTTTCCTCACCCGTTTGCGAGGGGTCCTCCTCTTCGTCCGATTTGGCGAAGTCCGTATGGTTGTCGATTAGGCTACTGTAGATTTCACCGACTTCGTTGTCCTCTTTGAGAGTATTTATCTCCTGGAGGCAAGCATCAATTTGCGATTTCAGAACTCGCTCTTCCCAGAGTGGGTCCCCCTCTTTCAGAGGTTTAGCACCCTCAGGCCAGTCTTCCCTCTTGATTTTGCAGTAGACGAATCTGCCGCCGCCGTGTGCTTCCGAGGGGTAGCAGTCTACTTCGGCATCTTCGTAGTCAGGTGAGCCGTCGACGTTGATGACGCCGCACCTGTGCTTGATGCTGCCTTTTCTTTCGGCATTGTAGTATTCTGGCTCAATGTAGACAAACGCCATTCCACTGATGACATACTGCTCCAAGCGCTTCACGCGCGCAGCGTAAATTTTCATGGCTGGGGCCATTTTTTTTTTTTTCAGTGGGGTGGGATCCTGATCACCACCGAAGCACCCGAGATATCGCGCCTTGGCAAATTGCTGCTAGCTTTCCCACTGCGCAAGCCTCTTTATGGGGAGATTTTGCACGGGATCCGACTCACGTCAAAGGTCAAGTAACAAAATCTGCCGAAAAAAAGACAAGGTGTTAGATGGACGCGCAGCCGTGTGTCGCGATATCGCCCCTTCCGGGGTTTCGGGCGCACGAACTTCTCCGCCAAACGAAGAAGGACGCGTCTTTTTGTGGGGTTGCGGTCGCCTGGGCGAGCGCAGGTTTTTACTTTTGAAGCAGTCGCGTTTCGCGAAAGCTCGTTTTTCTCTTTCTTGGGTGCCGTCGGACTCAGTCCGAGGGTCTTTAGGTGGGCCGTGGCGACGGCTTTGCCCTGTCTTCGGTCGTACCGTGAGACTTTTTTTCTTGTATAGCTGAGGTCGTAACCAAAGCTAATCTGAATTACTGTCGAGGAGCCACACCCGAACAGCTACAGATTTTTGTTTATGGCTGCTGCCGACTAAGTCGGGAGCTTGGTGCCTTTTCTGTTTTGTTTTAGTTGCCCCGCCACTGGGCTAAAGTTGGTTTATTTTTGTGAAGCAGATGCTGAGTCTGCTTTAGGGTCGACGGGATCGTTCTCGACGTATCGAAGAACAGTGCCGCCTGGAGAAACGCGCGGGGCCAAAATCCGACTGAATCGGGACTGCCACTGCGTACAGGAACGAAAACGCCAAATTTTTCTAACCTAAAAAACCAAAAAAATACTAGACCAAAAAAGTCAAAAATTTGGTGGGTTCTAAGTCAAAAAAAATTGTTCTAGTGCGCGTATAAAAGGCTAATAACTCGCTGTTTGTGAGCACTAGGACTGTATATTTTCACCCTTGTGGTGATGCGTTTTTTTTATAATTCCCGGCCTGTTTCAGTTGTGCAAATTGTGAAGGTCTTGCATGATTCTCACGCGGTTGCAAAGTTGTCAAATGTGTGGACCTTCTTGTTCATAAGTATCACGATAAGGATCCACATCATTAGCATGGTACTTACTCCAGTGGTGTGATCTTTGTCACTATGGGATTGCAATGATTTCCATCATGTTCATGCTGTTGATGATCTTCATATTCATGAAAGTACTAGGATCATCGTGTTCATCTTCTTCATCTTCTTATTTCTATCATTTGCAGAACAGGGGAACTGGATCATTGAAATTGGAAAACTCACCATAGAAATGCTGGCTCAGAAGAACAAATCGGATGTAGATCGTGCTTGTGGTCTTCCTTGCCAAGGTGGAGGATGCAAAGAAGCTGCATCTGAAAGTTTTGCTCGGCTTTTTCGTTATCAAGGAAAAACTGACTGGCTGGAGGCTGAGGATTCGAAGAAGCGACGCTGCGCGCCACACGACCGGGAAGCATGCGATGCTTTATTGCCGCGTCGACTTTATGAAGGCCTCCAGCGATGTTGGCAAAGTCCATGATGGTAATGCTATTGTGAAAAGCCTCGCGAAACTGGAGCAGGGTAGAGGCCAACAGCATGGTAGAGGTCCGCAGCGCCTCCCAGGGACAGATGTGCAAGTCATTGTCGATGCACGAATACTCGAAGAGCGTACGGATATTCACTACGGCTGATGAAATTCTGAGGTCGGCAACACGACGCAAATCAAGAACCTTGAGGTCCAAAACCCTGACATACTGCTCAAGCACGTTCTTGTTCTTGTGGACATTTTTTACCCACTCTCGATCTCTTTCCAGTATACTTTTTCCTTGCTCCGCAATGGACATCGAAGTCTTGGAAGTATTCGCAGGCCTGAGATCCTCAGGCAGTGCAACCGCCAGCAACCAATGACGCAGCAAGCCCTCCTCGGAAGAAAATGCAAGTTCTTCCGGACTGATTTTTCGCAATTTCAATTTCGGAGGCTTCGGCCAAAGGGCCAGCGCACCAGCTTCCACACCCCTTCCGTCACTGGGCTCTCGCCTGGTCTTTTCTGTTACAGACGTTGCTCCAGCCATGCTGTTTGGAAGCGACATTTTTGAACATTCCCAAGAATCTTCTCCCAAGTTAACTTATTGATTGATTGCTTGATGTGCCTGGCAAGAGGCTCCTAAATGCACAAGTAACTTCTTCTGCAGCTTCGTGGTCTCATACACAATTATTGACTGTTGCATATTGAATATTCTCCATCAGCATTGCCACTGTCATACAATCTCTATTGCAGTCACTTCAAACACTCAAAGTGAACACTAACTAGAATTGAAATCACAAACAAATTGAACGAAGAGAAACTTCAACGCAGTCAAGTCTAGATTGCTCTTGTTAGTACGCCAACTCATACGAACAGGAGATAGAGATGGCCGAGAGATAGAAAGTCACTACTGCCGGAAGATACAGACTGCCGGGAGATTCATACGACCAGGAGATAGAAAGTCACTGTGTTCCACAAGGAAAGGAAGTAGGTCATTGTGGGTGCTGCGGTGCTTCGCGAAATCGCGTAATATGCCATTTTTCAGACGAGGAGACACGCGCGTCGCAGACCTATTTACACCGAGCGAGCAAAATCATTCGTGCGAGGTCCAAAACACCACTATAAGAGAGACTCTTCCGAGTAACCCACTGCACATAGATACATTTGAGATTGGCGAGAGCAGATTCTCTAATATCAAGTTATTTTTACAATTTCCCAACAGGTTCTGTGCATCATCGCCCATGTAGTTTGTCAATCTGTACATCAGATTCTCTGTTTTTTATCTGTCCAAAAATTTCTGTGCACGGTTATGTCTCAGTCTTGAGTCTACAATCTTCTCTCGAGCTCTGATTTCCAAACAGAATTCAATACATTTGAGACTGCTCAAGCAGTTTGAAGCATCTGTAAGACTTGTATTCTCAAAGAAATATCAATTTATGATGAGGACAGCCATGATGGATAACCTCTTCATCTGAGTCCACCTCAATCTCGTACCTCCAGCATTTAACTACTAACCTCATAAGCTACTAATTCTTCCATTTCCTCCGCTACCATCCTTTCGTACATCTGTGCCTTCCAGCAATTCGGATTGCCACACGCCTTACACATCCTAAATTTTTCCATTCTCATCTTGCGTTCACGGCGTGCTGCCAACTGCTTCTGCTTCAGGGCGGCTTCTGGTGTTAGAGGGAGATGATGGGGCTTTCTCTCTCTCTCGAGAAAGAGGGGACGCCAGGGGGAGAGAGGGCGGCAGGAGGACGAGATGATGACGGAACATGGGATGCAAGGAATACTTCAGTCACCGATCATTTCTTTCCACTTCCAGGGTGATCGTAGCTATGAACTTCTAACGAGGACCGCTATCGCGAAGCGAGTGTCAGTTTTCCTTTTTCATCCTTTTCCTCCTCTCCCTCTCTCTGGAAATCCGTACAAAGCCACACTATTCGGCGATCATCATCATCTTTGCTAGCATAACTCTGCTTCCGCACTTTTGCAGACGAATTTATGTTTAGGCCAATCTTTCGTTTGACATCCAATGGAGCAGTAGTACACTTCTAGATTGCATCCTCTGCGACACTTCGCATGTGTCGTCGCACGACGTTTACACTGGGCACATGCTGGAATCTTCGCACTCGTCGCGCTGCGGTCCTTCGAACTGCCTTTAGTAGAACTGGGAGCGGTGTCGAGCGATAATGCTGTGGGAACGCCTTCGAGCGATACAGCTCCTCCGTGTGTAGGAGAAGATGGCATACTGTTATTGAAGTATCCTTTAGATGTACTTAAGAGGTGTGTTTCGGAAACAAAACCAGCACTAACTGGAGTCTTACTTCCATGAGGACAACAAATAGTTTTTTTCACTCAACAGTTATGCAGCCTTTGTCACTTCTTTTCCATTTTGCCATGTAAATCCGTCAGCCCATTTTTTTTGCAGCTGATCAGCATCTGTTCATGACGAACACAGCTGATCTATCTTACGCCTTTCGACCTCTGATAGTGGTGCCTCTATCTAGCACTGTGTGCGTGCGTCTCTGTGGGTCTATGACTTCGTCATCGTGCTTTGACGTTTGTACAATGCGTCTTCGTGTGATGTACCAGTATCCGCTTCTAAGAACATAAAAGTGATAAGGGGTAGTCCAAGAACTTCATCTCACAACAGTCCAAGAACTTCTACTAGAGCAAAACTCATGTAGGTGCCCACTGCCTCCACAATCATCCAGGCCAATTCCTGATAACTTTCCGTGCGGGAGCGATGATGTGGCACGAGGAGATGACATCTTGTGCCCACTCTCTGACCGGCTATACACACTACTTGCGCATGTACCCCCAGCCTAAGGCACTTCTGGATCCAATCGTTCATAGACGGTTCACATAAGGGGTAGTCCAAGAACTTCATCTCACAAGCAGATTCACATGTAACAATCAAGTACTGTAGCATCTACATCACAACAGTTTGTTTCCTGCCGTTTTGACAATTGTCTGAAAAGACAGAGGATCTCATCTGAAAAATGGATCCACCTATCATCTCGAAGGCGGCCGCTCGACTTCCTCGTAGCTCTTTTGGCGGACCAGGTGGAGCTCTTCTCTGCTGAATCTCCGAATACGAAAGCACTCCTTCAGCAATTCGTTATGATCCAAGGAGGTGGCGTTTGTTAGAGAGGAAGAGAATGAAATGGCAATTATATTGGGGTGGCCTCTTGTTAAGGTCACTTGTAGCACTTTACAATGAGGGAAAGAAATGAGTGTAGGTACCTAACAAGAGAGCAAAGCATGACAGGAAAAGCGATTCTTGCAGGGGACGGACCACATGTGGTCTCAACAACAACAAACTAGAATGTTACTTCCATACTGAAAAAAATTGAACATCATTCATCTTCATAACACCGTATCCTTCAGCTTTGCGTGTACGATTTCCAGAGAGTCTCCCACTCTGAGCCTCGCTCGCCTCACGAGCGTCAGCGATACACGAAATAGCACCTTGACTCCCTCTGCGAAAAAACAGTCCCATACGCGAAACAACGTCGCCGAAGGAAGTCCTTGGGGACCCGCGAATAGGGTTAGGAACCTGTTTGAGAAAAAGGGCGACTAGTGTTGCAACAGCGCAAGGTATAACTGCCACGGAACCACGAGACTCGACTGCGGAAGCTGAAAATATCTAGTACTCACACATCTGCTGGGGAAAAACTCTTACATATGAAAATATAAATCATAGATCATAGCAAATTTTCATGCTGATTCTACTCAGTCTATTTCTGCTAGACACCAATGGTGACAGCAAAATACTCTTGCAATAAATCCTACCATGGTGCTTGAAACGCCACATCCAGTTCCGGCAACCACGTCCTTTCGTCCGCTATCCCCCTACTCTTCAACAGTTTTCTGAGCGTCAGCGCATCGGTTCGTAACAACCGCATGCCTGGCTTATAGTAGTCCGCTTGCCCTAACTCCCACTTTCCATGATCCTTGGGCAACGCAAAAGGGTAGTAGCCTTCGCAAATACAATCGAGTGCCCAGAACGAATCCTCCGGATCGAGAAACAGAAGAAAGCGGCCCACGATGTAGTTAAGACCTGAGGATCGAGAAACAGAAAAAAGCGGCCCACGATGTAGTTAAGACCTATATAAGCATCAAGAAGAGGTGGAATCCACAAAAACAGAAAGTAGCCGAACCTTTTTCTTTTTTGAGAAGGGAACAACAGAATCAGGCGCCACTTTGATTTTCATCTTCTGGTTCCAAGTACTATAGCCTTCCTTGTCCTCAGACACACGTACAAATCACAAACACAAGAATTAAAAAGCCACTCGTCTGCAACGAAGTACCTTGACAGTATCCAATCTTCGGTTGTTTCAGCGCGAAGGCTTGCAGCACTGACCGCAAATCTTCTTTGTTTAGCTTCTCGTGTCCGCAATAGGTTCGATCCAGATCTAGCTCTATCGCGTTCGCAACACTTGGTGGCAAGCCAACATCATGATCTGATGATTCTTCTGCTCCGTTTTTGTCTCCAGGCTCTTTTGTTCCTCCAACAGCATCATCGTTCCTTCGATTGGCCGCTCCAGCACCAGGATCCTTACTCCGTTGTTTCGCTCTCGCACACAGTTCCTTGTATAGATTCGGATTTGCTGCGCGCTTAAGACTTGAGCCTAAACAGTACGCCCAAACTTCCCCTCGTCTTTCGTCTGGTACGCCCTTGCGACAGATGGCTCGTATTTCGTCGGAAAAGCGAGGCGGTAACTGTCTCGGTAAGCGTGCTCTTCGTCGCTCCTTCTTAGGTTCGAATTTCTTTTCATAGTCAGCGTCATCGGCTATCGAGTCGAAGCCGTAGGAATCGCGATGCCGAAAGTCCCCTTTGCTGGGTCTAGAGGAGGCGAGTATGAAGGAAGAAAGGGGTAGCCAGTATAAAGTGTAAATCATTACGCCCTCTCAGGAGAAGTAATCCGAAATGACGATCAGTAAAACGCAGACTCGTACTATATGCACTACAAAAAAGCTACTCGGTCATCTATTCGAAAAGTGGAACAATCACTCATTAATTCATGCCATACAGCACGATGTTGTCCGTGGAACACCATCATCACTGTCACGCCTTTTCGAAGTATCGTCTTTTGGTATTGCGTGTCCGTCGTTCTGCGTCGTTCTATCGACCAAATCTGCTGCTTCCGCTGCTGCTACGCTACTTCTTCCTGCAGTAACCGAGGTTGATGATGCTCCGACTGAAGGTATGCCGAAGGAACTACCGCGTGAGACTTGACGTGACTGTGCAGTGCCGCTTCCTTCTGCTCTTATAGCAGTTGTCGTTGTGTTTGTAGTTGTACCATTACTTAGTGGCTGTTGTACTACTGCTTGTTCTGTTGCCGACGTATAATTACCACCAGTGATCTTCTCAGCAGCAGTCGTGATCCCATTGCTTAGCGGGGGTTGTACTACTGCTTCTGATGTAGGAGCAGCTTCCTTCCCAGCTGCTGTTGAAGAAACTGCTGCGCCAGAAGCTGCTGCGCCAGGAGCAGCTTCCTTCCCAGCTCCTGTTGAAGAAGCTGCTCCGCCTGCTCCTATGACAACGCCGCCCGCTCCTAGACCACTTGGAGAACCCGGCAATGTGCCGGAGTTTGTCGAGGCTTTCTCCACCATATCACGAAGTCGATGCTCACTGCTGTCGCTGTCACTTATTTCTACGTTGTGATCCTGCTCGTTGTCGACTTCTAGATCGCGTTGTTCACGGAAAGTGAAATAATTCTCAGGAAGGTCCGCTTCTGGTTGTGTCGGCGCTTTGTCTTTCTGGTGCTTGGAGCCAGAACGCGGCTGCCACTCTGCTCCTACCTGTACGGGTGTATCAGGTATCAGGAACAACGAATTTGTGATTCATCTTCTGGGCCTAAAGTACTAATTGAGTGTGTCCTCACACCACTTTTTCGTTCCAACATCAACATTTCAAACAAAAGACAAATCAGAAATTGCTCCAAACAGTCATTAGGATTCCTGTATTTTTTTGCGAAGTGAAATTATCAGTACCTTCGCGCTAGATCTGGAAAGAGACGCGCAGCACGCCTTCATTCACACCCTTTGTCAAAGGCGCTGATGCATTTATCCATGTACTTTTTTACTGGTAGAGAATTGTAGTCCTGTGATTGTATTCATCGCGTAATATACAAGTAGTTATTCCTTGATTGCAGAAGAACTAAGAATATACGAGTATGTGGGGACGCGCAGAGCTGCAGATCAACACTTGCACTTGTAGTCATTCGATTATGTCACTCATGTTGTGCCTCTATCTGTACTGGTGTTTCCGTCGCACAAATCGACGCATAAGAAAGTTGAGCTGCCTCGCTCTATGAGTGTCCAGTTCCTTACCTCTTTGAAGAACGGTTTCATTTTTTGTCTTGTTCTCTAATTATGTAGCGGCATTGGTAGTGACTTTTATTGGCTGGTCATTTTGATGTTTTTCTTCCCCACGCCAGTGTCTCTCTTTCACACCGTAGTAGATACATCCAAATGTTACACAGATTCCGATGTTGAACATCCCGCTTCTGCTGGATTGAAGTGCTCCGGTTCTATCAGTACCAGGGTACTAGCCGCACATGCGTTCTTTTTTTCTGACTTTTTTTTAACACTTTTAACACTATTCTCATTTGTGCCACAAGCATTCATACATTTCGTACGCCTGCCTGTCCCTTTTCAAGTCGCTTGATGTCGCTGTGTAGAAACCCAATGTATAGGAACTGTGAATCCTATAGAAAACCCAAATATTAACCCAGAAGTGATACATAGAATACTATCCCTTTTGTTCTTGCTTGTGGTGATACATCTTGGAGAAGGTTCACGACGCTGTCGTGTGGTGAAACATGGAGAGTTGATAAAACGTGGAGGTTTCGTGAAAGGTTTTCAACTGTGATTGAATGAATCTTAAGGGAGGATTAAATCAGTAGCTGAGGCAGAGGTTGTAGTCGCGTGTATGGGGAATGTAGAAGAGGCGAAAAAAAGTAGATGTAAAGGTTGCATTACATCATTATGTCGCCAGGCGCCTGAAACAAGGTGGATGCTTGCACCATTTGTGGCTGTCCTCCCATCATCATCGCAGGTTGTGCTCCCATCATGATGCCTCCTCCTCCTGGTGCGATCCCTCCCACAGCTGGCGCAACTTGTCCTCCGCCGATTGCTTCCCCGGTAAAAGGATTCACTGCCGGCTGCTGAGGCGCCGCAACCGCTCCTGCTTGAGGCGCTCCGAACATGCCCTGTAGTTGTGCTTCAAAGGTTGCGCCACCGCCGCCTGCCGCACTTTGATCTTGGCCCAAACCGGGCCCCCACTTGTAGACGTATATGTCGCCACTGGCAGTTCCTATGGTGAACATCTCCTTGTTGCCACAATCCGCTAGACTAGTAACATTGGAGGCCATCTGCTTGTTTACGCAAAATTCTCCTATTACGTCTAACTCCGGGACACCATACACGACGACCATGCCGTACCTAGTTTGGGGGAAAGAACAAGGACAGTATGACTCTCAGTTACAATTGAAAAAGAAACCCTATCACGGCAATATTATTCACGTGGTGTGATCAAGAAAATAGTACAACTCTGGCTTGATTGATCTCTTGATGCTAAAAAAACAAACCAAAACAACTTTAAATCATCAGTACTCGCATCCCAGCAAGAGGACGATTTTTTCGTTTGGGCCGACCATCATTTCTGAGCAGAAGACTTTCTTTGCGCTTCTTGCCCCACTAGTTTCGAATATTGGTTGGCCCTGAGTGTTATAGCACTTCACGTTACCATTCCGCAAAGCGACTACTACGTAGTCTTGCTGGTATATGAAAAACGGCCCTACTACTGGCGCGTCGGTTTTTATTGTGCCCTCGCATATCAGCCGCTGCATATTCACGCAAGCTATGCCTGTTTGGTGGGAAGAGGAGGAGATAGGTAGCGCGAACAATCGATAACGAGAGGATAGGATTGATAAATTATAAATGTGAGAAAGGACGCTACTAATACCTAAGTTACACCCGCCACCTAGCACTCTAAATTAAAATCAACTACCGTCATTCCCTCCCAGCCATATTCTTGCGCTTGCTACGTCTTGTCCTACTGTTCTTATGGCGCTCAATTCGCCTACCATCCCGTGTGCCGAGAATGAGTTTTTGAAGTCGCGCGTTGCTTCGTCTAGTTCCCATACTCGGAAGAAACCGTCTCTCGATACACTAAGCAGAAACTTGTCGTAGACGTCTGTGGTGGATGCATGGTGGTAGGAAGATAGTTTGAAGATAGTCTGATTTGTATCTTGCGCTGATACAGTTATTTACACGCGGGAATGAGGTCTAATCTTCATGCCGAGAAATTATGCGCTATACCATACTAAGCCACATCTATTAGTAATATTAAGACGAGTACTAGTTGTCTTTCCTTGGAAGATCCTGAGAGAAAAAAGCAAAACTCTAAGCATGGAAATAGTACAAAGTTGCGTGACTGCCATCGTGTGTCCCTTTAAGACGAGTTCAGTCTCCGGTCTTTGCTGGAAAGCTTTTATTTGCCCATTGAAGAGGCCTACGAAGAGCCACCCTGTGTTAGGCTCTACGCAAATTGAGGTAACACCTGCAGACATGCTCGCGCTTGTGTGCTGCTTTAGTCTCAACTGATCCCCTCCTGGTTCGCCGGTCCATAATGACATGGCTGTTGAAAAATTTTATGTTTTCCCAACCTCGCAGCTTCATTTCTTGCTGCACTACTGGTTTGAGCTTTTGCTCGTGCCAATCACCTCCAGACGATAGGTCTACAAACAGATTATTGTACTTCTGACAAATCAAACAATCCGCTTTTTCAACAGCCATAAGAAATTGTTGAAGAAGAACTACAACAACAAGATCATGGGTTTCAATCCTAAGACCTGCTAGCCTACTATATGAAGAAGTACGAAGTCTGTTATTGATGTTTCTTGTAAGCCTACAGTTGAATTAACAAGAGAAGTACATTTATCCCTGCTTCCTGCTACTATTTTTCCGTCCATCATTGCCAACGCGTCTACGCTGTCCCAATGCTTCATATGGTTGGGTAATGGCACTGCTGCTCTTTGTAGGACTTGGCAGTTCTGGTGCCCTAGATGCCGGACCTCCTTCACGAAAGGGTTGCTGCCTTTCTCGCCTTTACCTCCCTTACCGTAGCCCCCGCCCTTACTTGAGCCGCCATCTTTGCTATCGTACTTGCTGTAGCCCTTGTTGTCCCTGAAGCCGCCGCCGCCGAAAGGGTTGCCTAGGTCGTACGTAGAGAAAAAAAATAGAGAGAGGAAAAAAAATAGAGAGAGGAAAAAAAATAGGTAGAGGAAAAAAAGTACGCATGATGTTCCAGTGATGAAAACATGTTTTAAATCAAAATTTGGATCATCTTGTTGTCCCTGAAGCCGCCGCCGCCGCCGAAAGGGTTGCCTAGGTACGTAGAGAAAAATAATAGAGAGACATGTTTTAAATCAAAATTTGGATCATCATCTAGTTACGGTGAACCGGTTTCGGAGTTAAACTGTCAAGTGTCAACCATGCGCTCGTACCTCCTTTCCCTTTACTGCTTTTTCCGCCGAAATGGCCTTTGGAGCTAAACCCTCCTCCACCTTTGAAGCCGCCTTTCCCGCCACCACCGCCAAAGCCGCCTCCGCCGAAGCCGCCTTTATCGTTGCTGCCGTATCCCATTTTGTTGCAGATTCCGGCGTCGGAGGATAAATGAGTGTTGAAGTAGAATTGTTGTCTAGCTGGCCCAAAGAACCGTCTTGAAAGGCAAGTTGTAGGTCGTGGTCAGCTACAGCACCTGCAGGCGTTGTTGACGGAACAACCCTTTGTATCTATACTTACACACTGTTGGCCGGCGTGGCTATGCCGCAAAGAGTACCTCTGCTATCTCACCAGAGAGTCGTCCACACCGCAACGTCTAGTGCGGACACCGCAACTTCCAGTGCGCGGTGCCATCCGCGACTGGATGCTCCACAGCTGCACACTGCTCAACGATAGGCTCGCGCAGGAGCTAGTTGTACCTCATCTTTTTCCTCATCATGGACCATGCTTAAACACTACAATTTTCGTCGCTGATAGTATTCTTACAGGTACGTCGTGGTCATCGAGCAATACGAAATACACGACTAGTCTCTGGATGATACCTACACCATCTAGAACGAACTACTTACAATTAATCTAATATGTCCTTGCCCCCGCCGCCTACAAAAGCGCAAGGGCCCCTAGAAGGAATAAACTAGTAGCTTATTTCAAAGAAATGCGAAAAAAACACTGTGCGAAGGAAAGAATTACGAAGGAAGCTCTATGAGTGTACATGGTCCACATGCAACATCAAATCATCATTTAACGGTGATCATATTGGCATTGGAAATGATACTTGCTGCCGGGAAAATAGTAGGAGTCATGGGCGATTGAAATTCTGCTCACGTTATAAGGACTCACTTCTATATCTGAGAACAACAAGAAAACAACAATCAGGATCAGTTTTGATATCCTCTGAATATTCAGGAATAGACAGGATCGTCGGATTAATTGACATTAGCTTGATTCCAATGCGGACTGAGCATGGAAATGTCCCTCAATATGACTTAGAACATCGAAACAAACCAGACACTTGATAAACAAGTCAACTTGCAGTTTCAGCGAAAGCACAAGTACTTGCGTAGAAGATAGATTTTCATCTGTCACACTACAGAACATTTCATCTTGTCGCAGTAAAGTATAATTTCAGATGATTCCATAATACTGTCGCAGCCGTAATGTTTTGTTTCAGCAGGGAATGCTGGCATTTTTTCATTGTCAACACAAAAGTAAGTTCAATTTAAATATTCTTGTTCAGCAACCTTCTTCACCTTTTCAATACACAGGAGAACGTTGGATCCAGAAGTGTTAGTTTGTCGCAGTAGACAAATTATGCACATGTAGTGAATCAAGATGTGATGAATCAAGTGAAACATCTAGGCAGATGTGACTCAAGTTCGTCATGTGTGTATATCTCTGATAGTGCTGGCCGTAGCACCCGTAGAGACAAGCGCTGAAAGTGATTCAAGTTTGCTATGAGTTTTGGTGTGCGACCAACACAAGAACAAGAGCTATAATTTCTAGCTATTCAACACGATCTACTAGATGTTTAGCATGCATTCATTCCAACCGTCTTATCAAAGATCTTTTTTCGTTACCTCCTTATTCGTGCTATAAATGATCACTTACGCCTCTCTATCCTCTATTCTTTGATGTAGAAAAAGTTTTAATTTGGAGATTCACCTTGGATATAATCTATCAAGAATCTAAGAGTTAATCCGAAGGACGCCATTAATCCATGCACCAACATAATCAAAGTTGCTTGTAGTAAGTCTCGACGTATTTAGGACAATATTCTCAACAAGAAAATTAGATATTTGATCTAAGTGGTGTTGAGATCATCATGCTTTCGCTGTGGGTGGCACGACTCTCTTTGCGCATGCACAGCCCCCGACTTTTTAAGCTTTGTGCCGCTGTTCTTTTAGGTGGTTCGTATATTTTTTTCAAAGTCACGCTTGAGATAAACTTGGCGCAGCTATCTCGCTAAGTAGCGTTGCGCGCTACTGGAAGTTGCTGAAGATACGGCAATTAAGTAAGTAGACACGCATCTCTGCACAGGTACTCTCTACCAAGCCACTGTTCCTTAATAAAGATTCGGTTCGTATGCATGTGCGACTTCTTCCATGTCGTTTAGCTTTAGAACAGAGGCCGTATATGTCATCAGACGCGTTTTTATGATCCAGGCGTTTATTCGATTGTTGTACAACAAGGTTTGTGCCATCACTTGTAATAGTACCTACGAAATTTCATGATTCATCGTCGGAGAATCAACTACCCGTAGTCGTAGTGGGTCAATATCAAAACCAATATGTTTCTTATGAGTGCATGATGTGGCTTGCAGCTATGTTTTTGTTTTAGCAGGACAAAGAACTAAGAACTACTGTTTCTGGCGAACACTAGCAAGAACTACTTCTATCAAGAACTACTGTTTTTTCACACTCAAAGCTGCAGTACAAACAATTTTCCATCAAACAAGGTCGGGTGCGAAAAGAGCCTGTCTCAGCTGCACTCGGCACTCACCTGCTCGCAACGGTAACCGCATCTCCTCTGGCTTTAGATCCGTAAAGCGCGGCACGAGCAAAAGCTCAACCCGTTAGATTTAAATCAAGAGACCACAAGAAAACCAGTCGAGAGCTATCTTTGGCGAATATAGACAGAGACACGCGTAAGTTGCCTGAAAAAAATGCACATTTACATAAAGTACATGCTTCCATAAAATATTTTCGCGACGTATTGTTGACAGGTAGAATACCGTGACCGCTGTTGTAGGTTGTGAAATTGATCACCAGCACCACCTTGTGCGCGCTGATGGGTTCTGTTGTTCGGATATTCCTGTTTTTTATATCGGGGTCGGTACTTTTGCAATCTTCTACTTAGGATCACTGCATTTTTTGTTTTTGCTCGCACGGCTGCTAAAATTCTCACGCTGCTGAGCTCCTGTGGGAGCAGGAGTATATTGCGCTCCCCCATAGTCAACATCTTGCTGGGAAGATGTATAACTATAAGCAGGATAATGATTTTGACCATGCTCGTCTTGCTGAGAATGCGATGTGAAACTGAGAGCAGGATAATAATTCTGCCCAACATCTTCGTCTTGTTGATGAGCATTGCTATTGTCAGAAGAAACTCCTGGCACACCAAACACGACGTGGTCACTATTTGTTGATGTTCTTGTAGTATTAGCAGCAGTTGTAGGGCGGGATAGTACCGCATCAGTTGTAGGCCTCAGCATAGTAGTAGGTCTGACCGTTGACCATCGCTCGGAGGTGAAACGACAATGGAACTCCTTGTAGCGGGATGGGAAGAAACTATTAGAGATCTGGAAATACGAAGATCCATTCCCATCCCAATCCCCTCTTCATCCTGGTACATTTTTCCTTGTGTTCTTCTATGGGATGAAAAGGATACCAGAGAGACACCTTCTCATCCCTTGTGTTCTTCTATGGGAACCGAAGGAAATACCAGACAGAGAGATGCTGAGAAGAAAGATGGGGAAAAGCTGACCCCATAAAACTACACCAGTTTGCTCACTTCTTGTCCATGTTCTTGATGTGCTCGGTGTTTCTCTGGAGGTGCTAAGGGCTTCTCCTCCAGGAGTGCGAGTGATTGAGCCGCCGCCTCTTCCAGGATACGCGCCAAAAGGACCGTCAGCAGAAGAGCTCGATGGAATAAAGGCAGTTGCAGTCGTAGACTTGCTCATCATCCGACTTTCTGAGAATAGAAGAGGTGCGGAATTTTCTGTTTGAGGTTGTTGTTGTTGAATGGGAATTAGCGAAGTGCCGCGTTTGACAATATTTACTTTCCAAGAAGGGTCCGCTTCATCTTGATAACCCTGCTGATAAAGAGAAAACCCCTTGTGTTGGATCTACAGCATCAGCTTCTTCTTCTGGCTTGGGAGGAGGTTCAACATTTTCTACTTCAACGGCCTCGCTAATAGTTACTGGAGATGATAAGGTGGAAACATTCATCTGATCTCCCTCCTCTATTAGAGGCTGAAAGTTGCCCGATCTACCTCGCATATCTATCCTTTTTCCCTTTGAAAGGGTCATAGACATCATGCTCCTAGATAGTGATTGGCCAACTTCCAAGCCTTAACTCCCCACTAGCAATTTGTGGAGAAGCTCCCTCCCCACTACCAGTGAGCTGTGAAGATTCCCCACTAGTAGTTTGTGTGAGTTGTGAAGATGTTCTCGCACCGGATGAGAGTGCTGATCTCGATTTGGGAGCGACATTCTGGCGTACACTGGCAGAACTCATCGCTGCCTCCGCAAAACCACAAGCAAATAACGGAGCAAACAACATTTTCAATCAGTAAAAGTTTACAAGTACTACTTCTAGAACCGATTTCAGTAGTTTACAAATTTTACAAGTACTATAATCGGTTCGTCTACATCAACGCGTGTGAATCAACGAAGTAAGCAGGCATTTGAAATTATTACATCATGAAAATTTTTGCATCATGAAAAATAGTACATCATGAAAATTGCCTAGAAGAGGACTAAAACAACATTTTTAGTCTAAGCTAACAAACAGCAGTACTTTTAGTCCTACGACGTTTACGGTGTAGCAATGAAACAGATTATTATACTTTCAAATCTGAACAGCTGTGCTTCTGCATGCATGCGTCTGGACGATCAAAGCAAATAGGATAGGATAGGTAAGGGCGCCTCCACTTGACCGCCACATGTTCACATATCCTTGTCTTCTTCGTCTGACTGTAGGACGTCTTGTCGTATCGCCTGACTGTGGAGCAGACAGCAGCGACATGCGAGCCAACCCGCGCAGAGCTCGCAGGGCTGGGCCCTCTGAAGAGCTGGCGCGGCTGTCGTCTTCCTCTGGCTCCCTTCTTCGCTCCATTCTCGCTCCCCTGTGATTCGAGGGCGCGCCGCGGTGGCTACGGCTGAAGCATGACCACGCACCGCCCAGCGGCCTGAGGGCGCTCCCTCGTCTTTGCTGCTAAGTCGTTCCACCTGTTTGGCCGTCGGTCTGTCTGCTCTGTCGTTCTGTCTGTTCCGTCGTCTTGCCTGTATCGTCGTCTTGTCTGTCCCGTCGTTCTGTCTGTTCCGTCGTTCTGGCTGTTCGGTCTTGTGTCTGTCTCTTCGGTCGTTCTCCTTGCTTGGTCGTCTCGTCTGGTTTGTCGCTCTGTCTGTTCCGCTGGTCGTTCTGTCTGCTGCGCCGTTCTGCTTGTTCGGCTGTCTTGTCTGTTCAGTCATTCCCGCGCGCCTGTTCGTTCGTTCTGCTTGTTTTGCGTGTTCCGTCGTTCTGTCAGCTCCGGCGCCTTGCCTGTTCAAGTCGTCCCGCCTGCTCAGCCGTTCTGCCTATCTATCAAGCCGCGCGGCCTGTCCATTCGTTCGGCCCGTTCAGCCGGTCCGCCTGTCCAGTGGTTCTGCTTGTTCCGGCGTCCCGCCTGCTCCGTCTTTTTGGTCATGCATTCGGCCGGGCCAGTCGCTTCGGCTGTTCAGTCGCCGCGCCGGTGTGCAAGCGGAGCAAAGTAGCGACGCACCTGCGCACCGCGACAAAGCGACGCAGCGGCGGGGTGTACAGTATCCCCGGAGGCTTCCGCGCTTGTGGCCTGTGCTCTCACTGTGGTGGGTGGCGAAACACGTCCAAAAACTCCAAGGCGGCGAAGGTTTACCGGGTGCCGCTATCGGTTTCGCCTGGGTCGCTTATCCATCGGCCCCGGCTTTTGAGCACTTAGGGAGCAAATCCGCCAAAAAGCGAGACACACGGCGGGGCCTCACAGATGGGGAATGGCCACAACGCAAAACGCAAACGCGGGAAAAAGGCCAAAAAAGCGAAGACATCAAAACGCAAAAAGCTGCCGGCCGTTTTGCAAGTCCCTTAGCGGTTTCGGCTTGCCTAAGTTCTGTCGCTTAACAGTTTCGAACTTCATGAAGGGGCAGCGCTCGCGCTGCTTCGGTTCCCTTCTGGATTTCTTTGCCCCCTCTTGTCTTCGTTTGCGTCCCCCGATCCCGCCCAAGGCGTGGCCGCGGTTTGCTCTTGTGCCGTCCGTTTTGTCATCGGTTTCGCGCGCTGCCTTCTCTTTTTTTCTGTGCTTTTCTGGCGTCTGGTTATCGGTTTCGCTACGGCCGGGAAGCGATCCCGGGACACAGAGCGGGCATCTCTTGCCGCCTCGGTCCTGCGTGCGGCTCACTACATCGCGAAGGCCTTGGGCAGGGGTGGCGTGGGCGCTGGATGCTTTGGCGGCCTCGCGCTGGAAACCTCGCGAAACTCTTAAGCGAAACCGCTAACCTAAGGGACAGTGGCACTTCTGGGCCGTCTTCGATATTTTGCCACTTTTCTTCACAGTTTGGCACGCCAGCCCCTCGATCGCGGGGCCAGTCCGTCTCTCTCCTCTTCCCATTTCCTTATCGGTTTCGCCTCTGTCTTTCCGGGCTCTGTTCAGATGCTTCCGCCAGTCTCTTATCGGTTTCGCCGCTCGCTCGGCGTACCCGACTCCTCTGCAATCCCTCCGGCTACCGATACAAACCGAATGAGACGACAGGCGACACCGTGAGACATGGGCCCAACCTCCTTTCTAAGAGTCCGGAGCATCATCACAGGCAAGGGCTCGCCCTGTGCGCCTGTAGCTCTCAGAAGTGCGCCCGGTATAGGTAGCACACGCACACGAAGAGAGCCAAGGGGATAACTTCAATCGCGAACGCCTTTCGGTAAGACCGCAGAAGCATCGGCCGCCAGCGGGGCGATAGGGCATGCCTTAGTTCTTCAGTTACACGGGCGGCAGTTTGTCTGACGGATCCCCCCGCCTCCCGTTGTACCCCGCGCCCCCCGCCCCCCTTGTACAAGGTTACACGGTTGGGCACAGTCCGGAGACGCACTCTTCGGCGCAGGCTCGTTATAGGGATCCACAGTCGCGCAAACATTTAACCTTGTACAAGGGGGGCGGGGGGCGAGATGGTCACGCATTGCCCCCTCGTCCCTGGCGGCCTACGGCCGCCAGAGGGACGACGCGCCACGCTGCGCTTGTGGGCGCTGGTGCGCGCCGCATAATCCAGCGCGAACAGCCCAGCACGGCAACCCTCTGCCCCCTCGTCCCTGGTGGCCTATAGAGCTTCTCTAAATAAAAAAGAGAGCCCCCTGAAAGTATTTCTTTTCTTTAATGAGAAGCGTCCGCACATCAGCTCGCTCAGATAGCCCCATGGGAAGAACTCATCGCGGAACTGCGTGAGCATGCCCGGAGCCTCTTACGCAGTTCGACCCCCGCATGGTATGAACTGCATGCGCAGCTTTTCATCATATTTCAAAACACTCACCCGGGAACTATTCCCGCACTTAAAAAATGCTCGCAAATATTCGGCGAATATTCCTAAATATTCGCCAAATATTCGCAAAGCATTCGCAAAACATTCGAATACTCTTAAATATTCACAAAAAGAAGACGAAAAAGAGAAAGACCGCCGCAACGTCTCCGACAAAAATCCCCGCAAGGGTTTCCCGGGTCTCCTTATCGGTTTCGCTACGTCA